ATTTTTAGCCTTTTCTCACAGCATTAAATAATTAAACTTATGGCGGATCCAGAAAGGTTCAAACGACAATCACCAGTGACAACTGGACATTCACCACTTGTAAAACCCCAAATAATTCGGACTTCGGAGTGGGTAACGTTAGAGAAAAAAGAGACTGCCACTGGCCCACGCGAAAACAAGGATAAACATCGGTTCAAAACGGACGCAGAGACGGCTTTTTTTCTTTTAGGTCAGGTAAGACATTTCAATAGTTCAATCGTGTAACAGTAGCACACTTGTTCGCTTAATTCACACAGTTACGGAGTTTCCTGTCTTTATTCGTTTAGCTATTATGGTAAATATTTTGTGCTAGCTATGAGAGGGAGCAATTCACCTCTACTCCAAGCAAACCAAACCGGCCTCCTCCGAAATTATATGTAGTTTTAAATATGCATCGGATTACAGATACGTGTTTTTTTTTTCTTTTTTCTCAAAAAAACCCAGTAAAGAAACATTAATTTATTGGTATGACAATTAGAAATTAGACTGCACAGAAATAGAAACTGAACTACAGGGTAATCATAATACACATTAAATGTAGTCACAATGCTGATGTTGATTATTTTAGAACAAAGTATAATTTGAAAGGTTTGACGCGATCGTTATATTTAATCAGCACGATTTACTGCAAGGCTTTCCCCCCTTAGTTGATGTGGATGTTACTTACTTGTTCAGATGACATTTTCCGATGAAAATTCGTATGTTGTCATGGTCATACTGTAGGCCTACTTCCAAAAGTAGAATGTGTGATTCTGAATGCCAGTTTCCACATCGGCGCGGTGACTGACAGACTCGCAGTCTCAAAACATTGTGTTCATCCGCGCTGTTTCATGCCGATGTGCAACTCACGCAAAGTTAATAATTCCGCGAATAACTGCAATTACAGATTTCAAACAGAGATGGCGACAAAGAGGAAAAATGCCGGACTGCAGCTTTAAATAGGCGTAATTTATTTAAAAACATTTATTGTCCTGGAATGAAGATCTGTTCAACTATAAAGATTTTGACAATAAGTGTGATGGGTAATGACAGCAGTAATTTGGATGGATGGATGGAAGGAAGGATTGATGGACAGATGGACGGATGGATGGACAGATAGATGGATGGATGGACAGATGGATGGGTAGATGGATGGATGGAAGGATAGATAGATGGATGGAAGGATAGATAGATGGATGGATGGACAGATGGATGGATAGATGGACGGATGGGTGGATGGACGGATGGATGATAGACAGATGGATGGATGATGGACAAATGGATGGACAGATGGATGGATGGACAGATGGATGGATGGATGGATGGACAGATGGATGGATGGATGGACAGATGGATGGATGGACAGATGGATGGATGGATGGATGGATGGACAGATGGATGGACGGATGGATGGACGGATGGATGGACGGATGGATGGACGGATGGATGGGTGGGTGGATGGATGGATGGCTGGATGGATGGATGGGTGGGTGGATGGACAGATAGATGGATGGATGGATGGATGGGTGGATGGACAGATGGATGGGTGGATGGACAGATGGATGGGTGGAAGGATTGATGGACAGATGGACGGATGGATGGACAGATAGATGGATGGACAGATGGATTGATGACCAGATGAACGGATGGATGGATGGACAGAAGGATGGACAGATGGATGGACGGAAGGACGGATGGATTGATGGACAGATGAACGGATGGATGGATGGACAGATGGATGGATGGAAGGATTGATGGATGGACGGACAGATGGATGGACAGATGGATTTTTTTTATGGTTTTGCTTAAAAGTACATTTCTCTAATGTTGAACCAGATTCCTTTGATTTCACAGAATTTCATAAATTCATTATTGTGGGAAGTATGGTGATTCTTTGAAAACACATTCATACACTCACCGGCCACTTTATTAGGTACACCTGTCCAACTGCTCGTTAACACTTAATTTCTAAGCAGCCAATCACATGGCGGCAACTCAGTGCATTTAGGCATGTAGACATGGTCAAGACAATCTCCTGCAGTTCAAACCGAGCATCAGTATGGGGAAGAAAGGTGATTTGAGTGACTTTGAACGTGGCATGATTGTTGGTGCCAGAAGGGCTGGTCTGAGTATTTCAGAAACTGCTAATCTACTGGGATTTTCACGCACAACCATCTCTAGGGTTTACAGAGAATGGTCCGAAAAAGAAAAAACATCCAGTGAGCGGCAATTCTGTGGGCGGTAATGCCTTGTTGATGCCAGAGGTCAGAGGAGAATGGCCAGACTGGTTCGAGCTGATAGAAGGGCAACAGTGACTGAAATAACCACTCGTTACAACCGAGGTATGCAGCAAAGCATTTGTGAAGCCACAACACGCACAACCTTGAGGCGGATGGGCTACAACAGCAGAAGACTCCACCGGGTACCACTCATCTCCACTACAAATAGGAAAAAGAGGCTACAATTTGCAAGAGCTCACCAAAATTGAACAGTTGAAGACTGGAAAAATGTTGCCTGGTCTGATGAGTCTCGATTTCTGTTGAGACATTCAGATGTTAGAGTCAGAATTTGGCGTAAACAGAATGAGAACATGGATCCATCATGCCTTGTTACCACTGTGCAGGCTGGTGGTGGTGCTGTAATGGTGTGGGGGATGTTTTCCTGGCACACTTTAGGCCCCTTAGTGCCAATTGGGCATCGTTTAAATGCCACGGCCTACCTGAGCATTGTTTCTGACCATGTCCATCCCTTTATGGCCACCATGTACCCATCCTCTGATGGCTACTTCCACCATGTCACAAAGCTCTAATCATTTCAAATTGGTTTCTTGAACATGACAATGAGTTCACTGTACTAAAATGGCCTCCACAGTCACCAGATCTCAACCCAATAGAGCATCTTTGGGATGTGGTGGAACGGGAGATTCGCATCATGGATGTGCAGCCGACAAATCTGCGGCAACTGTGTGATGCCATCATGTCAATATGGACCAAACTCCCTGAGGAATGCTTCCAGCACCTTGTTGAATCTATGCCACGAAGAATTGAGGCAGTTCTGAAGGCAAAAGGGGGTCCAACCCGTTACTAGCATGGGGTACCTAATAAAGTGGCCGGTGAGTGTACATACATGCCAAAAGAATTAATGTGATTTTTTTCCCCTTATAAAGTAAAAAAAAATGAGAATCTTTCCAGGACAGAAAAGTCCTATTTGAAGAATCACTCAAATATCCAGTCCCTGTCAGAGTGTGTCTGTGGTGTAATGGAGTGATTTGGAGGAAGGGCCCCTGTCGCAGTGAGGGCCACTAGGGGCCCCATAAGGGGCCAAACTTACGTGAGCACCTATTTAGTACTGGACTGTTCTCTTCATCTGAACTGTCTTCTGTGGGCAAACAGAGATGAGCACAAACAGCTTTGCAAAACGAGACAACTATGTTAATGAGGCATTAACACACACATACATACTGTACATGCACACACACTCGCATACATACGCACACACACACACGCACACGCACACGCACACACACAGTTCTGCAAGAGACAACATAAGCGAAAGAATCTATGATAACAGAAAAGCAAGAAAAATAGTAATCATTCATTAAACACTCGTAGGCTAAAAGAGATGTAAGAGATGAATACACCCAGCAATACTAAAAATAAAAATCACAAAAGAAAAAAGAAAAAAATTATTTGCAACATCAGCCAAACACAAGATAAAAACACAAAGCGAAGCGATGTAGAAAGAGATTCTAGTAGAAGAGATGTGATGCATCTGAGCCCATGGTGAGAAAGCGGTTAAACTATAAAGAACAAGTGAAGTTAATAACTTCAGAAACTTCAGCTTCGGACACATGGTTTCATGTTATCACAGAGAGAGCGGTTAGAAGCCAGGTGAACTGTTGACCACAGAATTCAGTAATGGCCTTACATTGCCTACAGCCAGTTCAATTAATGGAGTATGATCTTAAAAGTTTCAGTATCATGAAGCCTGAATGTCACAGAGAAATGTCTCGGTCATATATAACCCCAAAATCAAAAAAATAAATGACAAAAAGACAATGAAGCCTATTTTAGGGCCATTAATACTTTTTTTTACATTGTGACAAAATTTCATGAAAATTAAGCAAATGACCCCCTGTACTGAGCATTCTCATTAATGTAAAGTGAAAAAATTATTAAATATTATTTGAATTGTAAAGCATAGTTGAAAAGTAGTTTGTAAGCATACTGAAAATCAAATATAAATCATTTCAGGACTAAATATTACATATTTGTAGTATTTATTTTTAAATGACAAAATTATTCATTCATTTCTGGTATTACTGCAATTATATACATTTATATTAAACATTATTATGCATTTACTTATGTCCTTATTTCAGTTTTTTTCTGTCACGTATGATAATATAGGTTTCCTTTTCTTTATAGAAACTATTTCCTGATTATTTTTTTTTTTTAATTTTGGGGAGAGATATGACCTGATTAGAATTTTCATGAGATTCAGCTGAATATATAATGCATTACAAAGGTTAATTTTATGCATTGTAATGCATTCCCAATGCCTTATAATTCACCTTGTAATCATTTATATGTTCTCATGAATGGGTGCAACCACAGTTAAATGACATCATTACATCATTCACATCACTTTTTAGAGATTATAATGCACTATACCAAATGCATTATTTGTTATATTGGCACTTGTTAATGTTGGTTTACTAAATGTATTGTAACTGTGGTTATAATACGCCTATTCATGAAAATAAAACAAATTGCAATGCGCTCCTTGGACAGTTTCCTCCAATTCAAGTTCAACCTGTGTGGTAAATAATCTCGGAAGAGAGTGTAACCAAAAGCCCTAAACGGACAGGACTAGAGAAATTAGAGAATTAAGAGAAATTCGTGTTTCACTTATGTGCGTTATTATAAACAGACACTTCTACACACTCGTGAAGTTTACTTATAATAAATTATAATTTATAAATTATACTAAAATTATATCAATAAATAATAAAAGCAAAAATATATGTCATGCGTGATGCATGCAAGCCCACAAACTCCCAGTAATAAACACGGAAATGTTAGTCCTGTCCGAATCAGTACATGTAATCATAAGAATTGTGACTCAAACATCGTTTAGAAAACAAGTCCCGTCCGAATAGGGCTTAAGATGACATGATAATTGCTGACTGAACATAGGAGGTACCTTGTTCTGTACTGCAATGCCATTGGCTGAAGTTGCGACCAATGAGAATGAAGCTCCTGGAGGTGGCAGGTGGTTGGCTGATGTGCTGGATGATTGACAGGGGGACATAGATATCTCCCTGAGGACAGCTGCCGACACACACAGGAAACAGTTCATCAGTTTAAGCATAAACTGAATCGACAGAAACATCTGATGGCACTATGCACCAACTAATCACATCATTTGAAACACATCTGGACAGTTCGGATGAATGCTTCGACCAGGTCAGGACTCAGGAACGCACCTGGTTCTTTCGAACACTTTGACTATGGTGTCACTGGCCAGAGAGCTGACAAGATTGACAATTTCTGAGAGGATGGAAGGCAGGAGGAAATGATGCGAGACTTCAGTCGAGCAATGCTGGATGGACGGACAGCCTGCAAGACAACAAGAGAAAATAATCCTTTAATCAGGGAACTTTTTCTGTCTGCTAGGATGATATGAAGAAAGAAATGTTCTGATTTTTCTAAACAATCTTTTTAGGTTTTGAATAGATTATAAATCACTTTAAAGGGATAGTTCACCCTAAAATAAAAATAAAATCATCACTTGGTATTGTTCTAATGCAGTATGCCGTTCTTTCTTTTACGGACCACAAAAGGAGATTTTTTTTCAAAAATGTCCCGCTCGCACTAGTCCATATAATGGCAGTAAACAGAAACCAGCATAACATTTTTTTTTAAAAAAGATGCAAAAGCATCACAGAATAATCCCATGTGACACGTGCCATATATTCCATGTGTTCTGGGTGTATAAGATAGGGTTTGGTGAAAAACAAACCAAAATGTTATGTATTATTTAACCAAAATCCTGACTTTGGCTGATGGTCTTCTGTGCGTGAGACTCTATTAGCCTCTGACTCGCCCAGAAAAAGCGCACGAGTTGTGATAAATCAAGATAACAAAAAGCCACATGAAATACAATGCCTAGAAATCCCCCAAAAGTATCTGTGTACTTTCTTCACTTCACAGTCAAATATCACCGGACCAGAACTGCGGTTGTCAGATGACAGTCAGTCACAGTTGACTGTTCACCGTCATTATATGACAGTTAATAAAATTATAAATTTCTCTTTTTGTGGTCCGAAAAAAAGAAGAAGGGCATACGGCATTAGAACAACACCAGGGTGAGTAAATGATGACTTTCAGTTCATTTTAGGGTGAACTAACCCTTTAAACTTTCTTTTCTTCTTTAATTAACATTTCCTAAGTTATTAAGAGTGTTGCCGGGTGAAATGAGTCTTTTTTTGGGCTTGTTGAACTTTCACTTTATAATAAATGAATAGAGAAAGTTAAAATCAGGGAAATTCTAATTTGTGGTTTTTCATAAGAACTTCAATTATAAATTGTGCATATAAATGCCAAACAAATCGGTATACGAAAAAGATTTACATATTCTTTATTATTTAAATTATTAAATATCTTCTTTATTTATTATTATTTCGTATTTAAAAAATATTATTATTATTATTATATCAAAGAATTGCTGTTCTCAATACCGCTAGCTAATTTGTTATTATTTGGTTGTTATGGAAATACAAAGTGTATATGCACCTGCCCGTGTTTCACCCATATATGAAATCTGATTTAAGTTTCAAATAGTCAAAAGTGGCCCATCATGAAGAGTGGCCCAGTTTATTACATCATTGTAAATTAGCACAGTCATAAACAGAAAAGCATTACACGGATGTGGTAACTCACCCAGTTTGTTCATGAAGGTGACCCAGGGCAGGTACGTGGTCTGGTAGACGGTTTGAAGAGTGCCAGTATCACCTTCCTCCAGCTGGACTGCATGTCTCCTACAACACAAAGACATCCAGACATGTCTATAGGCCTACGCGGATGATAATTGCTTTTGTTAGAGGTCATTACGTCTCTCAAGTTACTGCCATCTGAATCAGAAATGTCAGTATTCTCCCACCACCCACGACCAAATTATCTATTGTATTCTGACAACACAAAAGGATGAGTGGTAATTTAATTACCATCCAAATTGGGATCTCAGAATTTGCCAGGAAGAACTGGCCAAAAATCATTTTGGAAATCGGATTATTCTGATTTGGGTATTTGGCACAATGGAGGCGTTTCAGAGAACATATGTGACCCGTGCTGACAAAATAAGTGGCAATAAGCACATTTAAAAAAAAATTAGTTACATTCTCTATTAAAATACACAACATTATGTATGATTTGTTGGAATCAGACGAAAATTACTGAGCTACACCTGCTTGAAGTTGATAGAGTCAGTTTTTAAGTCAATTTGAAGAAAAATCTAGTTTTCTAAAGGTTTCAAAACAAAATCACTAAGCAACCATACCTTAAAATCCCCAGTAATAACACCAAATTTGACATACACCAAGTTAAAACATAATATCTATAGGAAAAATATATATTCAACTTTTTTTTCCCCATGATACCACAATTGTTTGATTAACTTTTTTTATTTTAACATTTTATTTAACCGACAGCTCATATATTAAGACCTACTGTGCCGCACGGATGTAATATAATATTACATATCAGATCATTTTCCCCAACAGTTAACCTAACGTTTATTTAAGACATAACAGATAATGTTTGCATGAATACTAGCCAAGACAGATATTTTTAAATACTGTGTACAGTATGTGTATATCGGGATCACACGCTGTCTAAGGCGTCTTTGTGCTCATGCATCAGATCTGAGAGTCCGCGCGAGTAAGATCGTTTTGTTTACAACAGCATGAGTTTTAAAATCACATTTCACTGGTTCACACTCATGCCATTGAGAATTCGGTATGAATATTCACAACGTTGGAATACTGCGCTTTAAAACAATCCCAAACTTGTGCTGAGGGGAAACGCGAGAAGCGAGCTGAGAAAAACAGCACTCTTAAATGGACAAAGGAAAGGTACTCCTCTCAGAAAATGAACAAATAAAGATACTTTTAGATGTTTAATTGCTATTTGGAGCATTCGGATCGCTGGACGAGGGCTTAAGGAACACATTTTTGTGAAAATCTCCAAAATCAACAAAAATTTTCACCTGTTTTGCCTGTAGCTCAAATGTATCCCGTACGCATTCTGACTCCTTTTGCAGCACAGGTCAAATATACATTTTTTTTTTTTTTTTTTGCTTTATATCAATTAACAAAATCTTTTTTTACTATTTTTCAGTTTTAAATGGAACACTGGGTCTGTTTTTTGTCTTACCATCTGAACATGAAGCTTGTGCAGATGTCATTTGAACAAACATAACCAAACAAATTGTATTTTGTACCTCTGGGCCTGCTCTTGTTCGACTGCCATGGCTTTCTCATGGTTCCACTGCTGTTTGACACTCTCCGTCTTGTGTCTCCGTCTGCCCATGCGACTGTCCTCGGCACGCTCCGGTATGATGTCATCCGTTGTCTTTGGACTGCCAAGTTCAGAAGTTTCTGGTTTACTCTACCGGACACACACACACACACACACACACACATCATAAGACAGATAACTGGCACCAGTCCAATCACTTCTCTAGCATCTATGCTTCATTGCACATCATGCTGACCATCAATGCAATTTTGAAGGCGTTGACAGTCGTAATTAATGAGAGCAATTTGCTGTTAATGAAGACAGCACATGCTGAGTGAGCACACGCACCAGCATTTCCCAGAAGCTGCGGCGGGTGCTTTTGCCCGTGGGCGTGGTGGACTCGGGTGTGCTGGCTCCGGTGTTCGGGGTGGAACTGGGGGCAGATATTAGGGTGATGGGAGAGGGGCTGGTTCTGAGCCCGTGGGCTCCACTGGGCCGCCGATGACTCTCCTTCACCTCTTTACTGTCGCACTGCAGAAGACTCAAGGGAACTACAGTGACAAAACACTAAGGATCAGCAAAACCAGGACAACTTCACCAATATACGCTACCGTTCAAAAGTTTGGGGTCAGTGAGATTTTTTGTTTTTTGTTTTTAATGTCTCTTCTGCTCACCAAGACTGCATTTATTTGATCAAAAATACAGTAAAAACAGTGAACTATTATTACCATTTAAAATAATTGTTTTCTAAAATATCATTTATTCCTGTGATTGAAGCTGAATTTTCAGCATCATTACTTCAGTGTCACAGAAATCATTCTAATATGCTGATTTGAAACATTTCTTATTATTACCAGTGTTGTCTTTTTTTCAGGATTCTTTTGATGGATAGAAAGTTCAAAAGAACAGCATTAATTTGAATCTTTTGTAACATTATAAATGTTTTTATTGTCACTTTTGATCAAATTAATTCATCCTAGCTGAATAAAGTTTTTTTTTTATATATTTTTTTTTTATCGTACTGACATACTTTTGAATGGTAGTGTATTGAGCAAAACGTGTGACAAATAAAAAAACTCAAAAAAAAAAAAGAAATTAAGAACAAAAAAAATCACACTAAAAGCATCAGCACAAATAAATACAATAGAGTAAAGAGACAAATAAAATAAACAGTGTTTTTCAGTTTTTTCAGGTAGGTCTAACATTAGTTTTCAGATTCAGAAATTGAATTGAAAAGAGATCAAAATGTAAAACAATGCATACAACCCTCACTGTATAAATTAAATTAAGATTAATCACTATTAAAGTTACAAAAGCTAAGTCTTTTTTTGTTTGAATAACATTAAAAACAGACAGACAGCAGAAATATTAGGCTTCTGTCACTTTAAGACTAATGCACAGATCCAGCACAATGATACTGATACACATGTCATCTATATCAAATGTTTACATTCACTTAAGACATATCCTACTATGTTTGGATGTGTATGATGTAGGATACTCGCCAAGACGGGCATGTTGAACATTTTTGTGTGAACTTTAGAAGTCTTTTGTAAACGTACTTGTGCTTTTAATGTCTTGTGAATGTTTATTTTAATTTTGGGGATGAACCTAGATATTTCTTGTACAGCACTTCGGTCAATCAAGGTTGTTTGTTTTAAATGTGCTTTATAAATAAACTTGAAACTTGAACTTGTCCGTTCAAGCGCAAGACTTGAAAGAGAACTCAATATTTGCACGCTGTACGCGCGCTCCTATGTGTGTGAGTGCACACACAAATCTTCTCACAGATCGCGACTCCAAAAATAACAAAAATGTAGTCCATTCAGCATATCACCTGTGCTTTCATCCCGTTGGGCGGCAGCAGGCAGACAGAATGTGTCCAGACATAACGGGTTGGGCAGCACGCGCATCTCCATGATGACGTCACCGAGGGCGTGACGTAGGGCGGCCCTCAGCCTGTCCGTCAGCTGCAGCGGGCTGACATTACCCTGCTCCCACACGTCGAAGCGCACACGCACAGTTGCTCCTGCACACATACATCAACACACATGTAATTAAAGTCAGTATGAAACGGAAGTTGCACTAGACTATTGTGACGAACAGGGCTTGACATTAACTTTTTTGCTAACCAGCCACTAGGGCTAGTGGTTTTCTAAAGTTACTAGCCACTGCATTTTCTCTGGCCACAATTTTGACCATCATGGGGCAAAAAATGCCATATAGATATTTTTAATATTATCTCATAATTTGTCAGCAGGTATATTAGGCTGTTGTCACTTTAAGAACTGACGCATGGATCCATTATACTGTTACACGTGCGTTTCTCAACTCACTTGAAACATAACTGACTGTGTTTACGTGAATACTCACACATTATTTTGTGTGTATTTGACTGTTTATGAGCAATAAGCAGCAAAAAAGAACTCTAAGCACTGAGAGGCAGCTTTATGTGTGCGTACTTTGGGTGTGCGCACAAAATCTGCGGGAATGAGTAAAATTATGCGCAATATGTGCGATCCCACGCCGAAAGTCAAGCCCTGTAACAGCAACAACATTCATCCGGAGCAAATGAAACGAGTGAGTGAGAGGAGGCGGGTTTGTGTGTAACTGCGAGAAAGCGCAGCTGGTACCGTGCGTCTATTCTGCGGAAAATGAGTATTGGAAGCATTTCATATATTTTAGTATCAATAGGTAACGAAAAATCTATATTTTTGACAACACTACATTGCACTTAGTTATTATTTCAGATGCCTTTTTAGAAGACTACAATTGAAAAATGTATATTCAACCAGCCAAAGTGGCTAGTAGTAATTGACTGCCTTCAGCACCACCGCTGAAATACATCCGCATTTGGCGAGTGTTAACGACGTCAAGAGAATTGATTAGATGTTTGTGGTTTTCTATTGGTGGAACTCATGTGAGTGACAGGTTATAGCCCCGCCCTCGTCATCAGAGAAGAGAAGAGATGATGCAAGAGGGAGGGGAATTTAGTCTGATTCAAGATTATGAGGGCACGCACATGAATTACTGTTTGTTTGCAAAAGCTTCCCAACCTGAGCTCTGGCTGAGAGAGTCCACCTTAACAACCGTCGTCAAGGCCTCAAACTGGTCTGGCTGGAGGGAGATGGTGGAAACGTCAGCTCTAAGTGCCGGTCCGCTGCCGTCCTGAGCGGGAACCTGCAGCACGCAGTCGTTAGCGTCCACGAATGACAGCGCGATGCAGGCGATACCTGGGGAGCGCAGCAAGAGAACAGGGTTAGAGGAGAAAGTGATGGAGGCGAGAAGTAAATGAGCTTGACAGAGAACAGATGCAAAAAATGATGCAAACTCAAATGAAAGCAATAAATTCATCTAGTGCTGAAAGACAAATGGGGGTTTGCTATAGAGACGCATGACGCATGCTATAGAGACGCACGCATTCTGTGCTCAAGGGGATGATTTTTATTAAAAGGAACATATCTTGTTATATGAAGGTCACATGAAATCGGTCTTTTAACTTTTGAACATATCCTCATTTACTATGCTTCTTTTTCAAATGCCTTTTAATGTACAGATCTGATGACCCTCGACAGACACAGCATTTCAATATTAAAATATGAAAAAGCATCTTGAAACTATGATGATGTAACAAAAGGTGAAATAAACAAAACATTTCAATATTTTTTTTTAAATGTATTTTTTTGTATGCATTTCAGAAATTGTGCTGTACCTTAAAAAACTAATAATGTTAGTTTTTCAAAAGTCATGCAGTTATATAGCACTTGTGAACAGCATGTTTTTATTGGGTGTAATTTCCATTCAAGCTGTAATTTAGTCAAATTATGCAAAAAGTGTGAAAGTATTATTTTATACTAGAGATGCACGGACACTAAATTTCTCGGCCAATCCCGATAGGCAATTATTCAGAATGGTATATGTCGATAGACTGATATATGTCGGTGACTGGCGTCTGTGGGGGGGCGCTGCACTGTGGCGACCTGTAGAAGCAGTAGCAGAGAAGTAGTAACGCGGTGTTTGTTTGTCTTTGTTTGTTTTTTATTTTAAACTTCCTCCGTTGTCTACATCTATGGTCTACATTGAACCATCATGAAAAAACTGAGAAAAGATTAGTTCCTGTGTGGTCTGGAGACTCAATGCAAGAGTTGATGGGGTGCTTTGAATGTACCGATTGGTAATTGTTTAAATCCCAGTGTACGGATTTAGATGATCTTACTGAAATTGCGACTAATTGACCGTTTGCTAAGCCCCGCCCTCCTTAGTTACTGTTGCTACGCCTGTCAAGCTTTCGCGGCTGCCATGTCTATTACAGTGTGAATGCACCGGTGTCAGACATTCCCAAGGAGATATTTAGTCATTTTTGGCGAACAAGTGAAATATCTGAGAGAGCAAGACAAAAGGGACTGCAGTATGCATTCGAGGGATATATCCACGACATAATATGCAACCGATTAGAGAATAATTTCATCAAAATTGAAGCTAAAGTCTATAACGTTAGGTCCCAGCGCAAGCAGCAGCCGCCTCCTTAGCAGACCATTCACATGGGAAACACAAATTGAACAGCTATATTCATGCACAGCAGAGTAAGTGAAATGTGAAGATAATCTAATAATTACAAATCAAACAGCTTATCCATCAATCTAACACCCGGGAGAGCCGCGATCGGATTGGGGTAAAGTTACAGGGGTAACGTTAGTAGGCCGTCGATTAACAAAATGCTGAAATATATTTTAAAGTATGTCAGTGAGCCTCCGTCTTGCCTTTAATCGTCTTATTTTACGTTCAAATATGCATTATGAACAAAGAACCGCCATTATTTCCAAGCAATAGGCGGGTTTTTTTTTTGTTGATCCTGTCTACATTTAGTTGTGAATGGGTCTCCACACTGCCTGATCCCCGCCAGGGATTTCTCCCCTTTGGCTTTAAGGTTTCGGGAAGAGAAAAAATGCCACCCCACCGTCCAAACTTTAAGAATACACGATTTTTTTAGAAAATTTTTAGATTTGCACAATCCATACGCACACCGCGTCGGCATGTTTCCCTCGCTCGAAAGCTTGACTGACCTCCCGCGCCTAAATACGGTTGCTAAGCCACGGCCAGTGGCGGTTTTCGGGCGTGGCTTAGCGAAGGGTCAATTATATTGTATTTTGTGAAGATTTGGTAATTCAAAAGAAACCTTGCATAGTTTTTCCGAATAATAAGCCATGAATTACTAAACATGTCAAAAACTCGATTAACCTAAGGAATATTTATTTTAAACAAGGCGATAGTATTCGGTACAAAGAAGCCAATAAATTAGTTAGAAATTAGATCAAATTAGCAAAATTGCGGTATAAGGAAAGGATAGAAATTATGTTTACAAATGGGAAGTCTCATGTAGCTTGGGATGGAGTGAAGTCTATAATCGGAACTAAACAGAAGAATAAATGTATTATTTTAGGAGGAAAATCTGATCATGAATTAGCTGATGATTTTAACTCTTTTTATTCACGTTTTAAAATCATGATTTTTCAAAAGAACTGTCTGATTATTGTGGGAATTCAGTGACTCAGAATACTATTGTTAAATTTCAAATTAATAAAGCTGATGTATGTAGTTGTTTTAAAAAGTTTAAGGTTGGAAAAAGTCCAGGCCCTGATAACATTGGTGGTAGGCTCAGGCCAGCTGACAGTCTTGCCTGGGCCCGGGACAAGATAATCTTAGATGGGGCCCCCCCCCACGATTTTTATTTATTTTTATAAAACACCATATACTTTTACCCAAACTGAATAATAAAAACACGTTGAAATGGGTACATTTTCTATAAATGTCTTCATTTTCTTTTCTGACATAGCCTACTGCAGTTCTTGTTAAAACACACTAGACATGCAAAATCTGTGCATTTTGGGCACTTTTTGTGTGAAATCATATTTATTTTTTGTCCATCAAAAGTGTGCTTTCACTAGTTTTAAGCATGAGCAGCGCAGCAAAAATAGACTCGGATCTGAACCATTATCTGTTCACCGATGATGACAGTGATGCGTTTCAGCCGGCTTTTTATTTCTCATCTCCATAAATATATCTAGTAGTAAAGCTAATGCAAGGGCTAGAAATCAATGGATTCTTTGCTAATACTTCCTCGTCATCATGGAGAGCGCAGTTCGCACCGCTTTCTCCTTTCCACAAGCGTTTGCTCTCCCGTGGCGTCTGTCGTTGCTATGCAACAATGAACTTAGGCGCGCCTGTAAAAACGAGCGCGCCGCGTCGCTATTATGAGCTAATATCCTAAATATTTCCATATGTGGCTCTTTCCTCATTTCTTATCAACAAGTGGATTTACAGCCACCACAGCAGCAGCACCGCCGGTCGCCATGTCTCAGCGCTTTTATGAAGAGGACGCAACTGCACGCGCATCAAGTACCGGGTTTGAGAAAACCTGGTACCGTGGCGTGACGTTTAAAAAAAAATTAGTGCCGACTTGGTACCGAAGTGCCGGGTCTTTGACAACACTCATAAACGTTGGCTGCACTGTTTCTTACCTTGCTCTACGTTGACTTTACTAACGTTAGTTCCAGCTTCACCGTCACCACCTTTTAAAAAATATTTGTTTAGGACATCTCGAAGGCCTCTGTTTTTCTTCTTCTCTTTTCTTTTCTTCTTTTCTTTTCTTTTCTTTTCTTTTCTTTTCTTTTCTTTTCTTTTCTTTTCTTTTCTTTTCTTTTCTTTTCTTTTCTTTTCTGAGCACCGGACTTCTGCTGACCGGACATTTTGAGCGTAACGTTAGCCTACTGAACTTCAAATCAAATGACAACATCATATTTTGATCATTGGCCAAACCATTTTTGTTTTGGGGGGGGGGGGGGGTCTTGACCACTATTTCAAGGACAATTAGGAAGAAAACAAATAAAAAGCTTTTATGTAACTCAAATATTAGATATTTTTTCCACAAATATGCCTTTTTTTCTCTTTTTTTTTTTACAATTATTCCATAATTTAATGAGGGCCCAGTTCTGGGCCCCCCTCCCTACCCTGGGCCCGGGACAACAGACCCGTTTGTCCCCCCCTGTCGGCGGGTCTGGGTAGGCTGTTGAGGAACTGTGCAGAGCAGCTTTCAGGGATTTATTCATTTATTTTTAATGAATCATTACAACTTTCTAAAGTCCCTTGTTTATGGAAAGATGCCATTGTGGTGCCAATTGCGAAAAAAAGAAATTCTCCTTCTCTGGAAGATTACAGGCCTGTTGCTCTAACCTCCTTGGTTATGAAATCTTTTGAAAAAATAGTAAGGAAGGAGATTTTAGCCTTAACACAGTCAGCACTTGATCCTATGCAGTTTGCATACAAATCTGGCAGAGGAGTTGATGATGCCACCTGTACCCTATCAGTCCCAACTAATGCTGTAAACTAAATCGAGGACCCTCTCATTCGGTACATTACTATAATATTAGAGGTTAACGCATTAACAGTTGAAAAGTAGCGCCGTTAAAGCAGGCTGTTTTGATCCTGTCTAGTCTCCAGGTCTGTGCTTTTTCAGTACACCAAACATTATTTGTAGTGTGATCCTCATCCAATAATCGCAAAGAGCTTTGTGCTTACTTCTGATAAGCAACAAAGTCTCAGCTTTCAAACTATGTCCATTTTTTTTTACGAAATTCAAACATTAAATGGCATTTTGATGCTCTGAAATGTGACAGATCGCTGTAGCGCCTCTGTTCAAGTGGCAACACGGAGCGGGAGTCTTTTCTTCCTCTAATACAAGTAAATATACAAATAGCAGTTGAATATAATAGTTTGGGCTCTGTTGTTCATTTTAATGTAGCATTAACTTGCCCTAAATTCAACACACATTTTCTTCACACAAAGTATGAGTTGCAGTCTGCCACTGTATGAGTTGATTGATAGGATATAATCAGCCCTGATCATCGGCTGTTTTAAACTATCAGATGATGGCTGACATTGAAAATAATAGCTTTTTTCGGCCAATACCGATTATTGGCCGATACATCGATGCATACCTATTTAATTTTTTATTTTGGATCCATAAAATGCTAGATATGGTCGGCTAGTCTGATATTTTATTCTAAAACTGCTTTAAACCGTTTCCACAAGTGTCATTTTCACCACAAAACAGTGTTGTTTTCGGCAATAGAAAACGTTGATCAGATGAAAAACTTAAACAAAAAAAAAAACTTAAATGAAAATAAGAAATGTTGTCTAACTGAAATAAATACATTAAAGTTGAAGAGCTAAAATGACTAAAACTGAAATAAAAAATAAATTAAAGTAGAAATAGAAATATTTAAGGTTAAAAAAGGGCAAAAGCTCATAACAAAATGTGCCAATTTTGTTTAAAAGTGTATAAACTTTTAAGAGAGTATATTTTCTAAAAGTCCACAAGGATGAAAGTGCCAACAGTTGAAGAAACACCCATATGTAGCCTTAAATTATATAAACACAACTATATTTCAGAAAAACAATGCCTCTACTTGAGTACAAACTCTCATAAATCCTTTAAATGGGTTTTTCTGCTGTTGTATTGACTCGGTTGTGCTGTTTACAGTGTGAAGCCGCGGCTCTGATAAGCGCAGAAAGAGAGAGATTTCCATCATTAGATTCTCAGAGATCGATGGCGCCTTCGCTCCAGTGGTTGTGGCTATAAGAAAGCCTCGCAAACAGAGCGGCGGTCGCATTAAAAGGCATTAGCAGCAAACAGTGGAGCGCGAGCAGGGATTTATCCAGCTGCTTGTATTAGCGTATGACGTTAGCGGTTTGAAGCATGATCGATGTGTAAGTGTGTGTGTGTGTGTGTGTGCCAGATATCAGATACTAATGCGTTGCACACACAATCATCTGAGATAAATCACCCATGTGCGCTCACATGCTAAAGTGTGCATGCATTCTGCATAAGTGCGGCCTGGATGCATGTATGAAAGATTGCATTGGCTCTGAAACACACAATACACGAGTACATAAATGCTTCCATCTAAGCAAGTTCAATTTCCTGCATCATCGCATTTCTGAAATGTGTCAGAATGTGATTCACAATGCAAGTACGTGTTGCTTTCAGAGCAGTGCCAATCAATGAGTAGCTTCTCTTTGCCCTCTCATCTAAGAAGTCCATTCGCTGTGATCTTTTAAGAGCACTTGATGAGGTGTGATGTAGTGTGGCGTGACCTCTGCGCTCTAGTGAGACTACATGAAGACAGAGAAGGGCCCTTCAATCTCTGCTGGACTCTGACTGTCTGACTGAAGCCCTAGAGCCCATCATGGAAGTCACTTTCTGATTTATAATGACAGCGCCAGAGAGTGTGAATGAGATGATTTTGGACACACAGAAAATCTGATCTCATACACACGGTACAAAGTGATAATTTTAACAAAGTAAAAATACACAATGAGAAATTGTCATATGCAATGAAAGAATAAATGTAGCATTACTTGCACAATTTGAAGGGTTGTTTCAAAAGATACCTTAAATTTATGACGAAAACACGAAAAGTCTTTGCGTGATGCATCACTTAAGATTATACAGTAGCACTATAAGTTCACCTTAAAGTTTTATACATTAACATTAGTTGAAGAGAACATGAACTAACATTTCTTAACTAGTTTCTATGTTAAATTATACATACTACTAATCCATTTTAACATTTTAACAGTCTACTGTTCAAAGGTTTGCGGTCAGTATGATTTTTTTTTTTGGGTAAATAAATTAATTATATTTAGCAAGGAAGCATTAAATTAAACATAAGTGACAGTAACAACATTTATAATGTTACAAAAGATTCCTATCTCAAATAAATATCTATTCATCAAAAAATATATAGTATAAAATATAGTAAAACAGTAATATTGTGAAACATAATTACATTTTTGATCAAATAAATGCAGCCTTAGTGACTTTAAGAAACATTTACCCAAAACTTGTCAACATTATTAATTGCATTTTGAACTAGCATGAAAAATAATTAACAGTTACTACTAGATTAATGCTGTAAAAATGCTCTTTGTTAGTTGCATAAAAAAATTATCATAAATATCATTGCTGTGTTACGCTATATGCAAAGGTACGCTATTATATAACTCAAATAATACAACTCACACTATTATTGATGGTTAGTTTTAATATTTGTTATATGTGCTGGAACCATAATTTGATTATGAAAAGCTAGGAAACGCATGAGGACCCGTTGTTTAGTATTATTAATTTAGATGTGTTATAAATCATAAAATCCAAGCAGAAGGCCAGTGTAACATTCATCTGTGAGCAGCATCTGCTTCAAGAAAAGCTCATCTCTACGTCAACACTGTCAAACACATGAACGCACTGAAGCTGGAGGCCCATTATTGTTTCCCCCCTCAGATTTCAGCCACATTTACATCAGTGTTTGAGAATGAACATGTACGTGACGAGTCAGTCAGCGGGTGAATGTTAACAGCCCTGTCTGTGTGACAGCTACTGTCTTTGTGGCTTCATGGAACAATGAACAGTGACCAATGAGCTCCATTCACACAGAGAAACTTACAAGCCCTATACGCCGATTTCACGCAGCCGCCATTTTGAAATCGAAAGCGAGGCTCCGGTGGGAAGAACCCCGGAAGTACAGATAGACAACAATGCCTTGGACTACCAACCTGAAGCTGCTGCCGCATTTAGGGTATGTATATAGTTCGTTCCTGCTTCTTTTTTTACGTTCTGATTTATATATATATAAAAAAAAATGTATTTATAAATGAATTTCACTGTATATAGTCTAAAGTATGAAAGAAATGTATGTACATTTTTATGAATAACTAATTTCTACATTTAACACAACAAGATGCCATCTCATTCGCGACTCTCCTATGATTAAAGCCGACACTTCCGGTTTTCTTCCCACCGGAGCCACTTCAAAATGGCGGCTGCGTGAAATCAGCGTATTGTCTACATCTTAAATGTTGTTTGATACTGCCTAACTAAGCAAACATAAAGGCACATATTGCAATACTACTGCAAGATGTCATTTGGTGATCGTTAGCACAATGCTCTTTTTCTCAGTGAACTTCACACTGACTGACTGCAAAATTTTTGTTTTAATATGCGCCAGAAGCATTCAACATCTCCTAGCATTAGCATGGTGTTTTGAGTTGGTAATTGGGCAGCCAGCTTAAAAGAACAGTTCACCCAATTTAAAAAATAAACACAGTTATTTATTTTCTCTTATATGCATCTGCATATTGGTGCAAGACAATCCGTAATGAAAAAACCCAGTCCGGCTTCCCATTTTTCAATCTGAACGTGAAGGAAAGTTAGATTTTCAGCAAATAACCGATTCAAATTCAATCAGTTCCGCATATAAAGTTATGCAATGGCTTCAAAAGATTTGGAATATATATAGTGCACAGGTCATATGGACAACTTCTATGATGCTTTTTTTATCAATTTTTAAGCTATAGCTATATATAGCTATAGAGATTATGTTAAACTTTTCCTTCTGTGTTCCACAGATTAAACAAAAGCTATGTTTCCATCCAAAGTTGTGAATTTTACTTGTGCGCAAAATTGGAACATCGTATCAAACATTTGAAAAAATAAAGCGCTGTTTCCATCCAGTGAGTCGAACAGAACAAAATCGGCACTTCCTGAAAACTGCCGCAAAATGTCACTAAGAAAAATGCCTTCTTTCATATATGAATTAAGGCTCGTACACACCGGGACGAATATCGGCGCGCGTTATTCGACAGCGTTTTTCAACGCGTTTTTTGTGTTCACACCCAAGCGATTTTCGCTGGCGATGAGCCGAGTGAACATGTAAATTCTTTCCCTGACATTAGATGGCGCCCATTTGCTCTGCAATACCACTCCATATCCATAACATTCTCTTTTATCAAGATTTTTGTAGTCGCTGTCGCGTTTGTCATATAGTTCTTTATGATCCGACACCAACGAGAACAACAGCTCTACATTCATCTTGCCTTGCATCTTCCTCGTCTTATTTTTTCCCGGCAGGAAATTATTTTTGCTCGGCAAGACCGTTTTGTGTTTGAGCGCCCCCAAGTTGTGTTTTACTGTAACTTCAGAAGCTTCAGACACGTGAGCAAAAGCGCCAATCTCATTGGTCGGATAGTTTTTGACGCGGCGCGTCAAACTAAAAAAAGAAACCCGAGGCGTTTTTTTTCTTAAATGACGCTTTTACGCGTGCCGTTTTTCGCGTCGGTGCGCACACTCACATTGGCGCCCTTTGTTTAGTCACGAGGCGTTAAACGTCGGCGAAGTGAATAGGCCTTTAGGCTACTTGCGCAAAGAAGGAACACAATAAACGCTGTCATGTTATCTTGTGTTCGGAGGCGAATGCCTGCTGTTTGAGAATGCAGTCGTATAAGACAGTTCTGGGAGATAATTAAACCGACAGACTTTGCTCAGGCATTTCAGAATGATCAAATCAATATTTCAGATGCTGTGTAACGAGATCGGTCCGCAGTTATGCCATCCCATCGTGCAAAGTCACATAGCTGTTTCAAGAGCAACGAAGAAATTATTCGGGTAATGGGCTTCCATTCTAGTTTATGCGCATGTTTTCTATCAGATAAAAAAATGTATGCGCCTTATTTGAGCGCATACACTTTTCATGCGCATTTTTAGAACTTATGCACATCTTATGCGCCTAAATTGAGCGCACATCTTGGCGTTCCCATCTAGCATTTTTGTATGTTGTAAAATCTGGGTATAAAAATAGGTGGATGGAAACAGCTACAGAGAGATCTAACGACATGAGGGTGAGTAAACTTTCATTTTTGGGTGAACTACCCCTTTAAGCTGTGATCACGTGACCATGCAGTTCCACACGCAGCCAGTGGGGGCGCCGCAGGACACACAGCAGAACAGTGGAGTGGGAGGAGGGTCTTATACCTTGAAACTGAGAGGTTGGGAAGAGATTCTGAACAAGGTCTGACATTGTACCTGAGGCACAACAGACACCCACAGGACAGAAACAATGAATGGGACAAATCAACATTAATGATCAACCAATAAGCAGTGTTGGGGAGTTAAGAGTAGCGGCACCAACTTAAAGTTGTAGTGTGCGATTTCTTCGTCACTCGAGTCGCAGCACTAAAGTAGTTTGAAGTAGCATTGAGAAGCAGTGTCAGAAAATCTGTTTACTAGAGTTTATTTCAATTAACCAGTTTTAAGCGTTTCAAGATTTTTAAGCAATTCAAGTCATCAATTAATGTTGCTCGCAAAAGTCCGTTATATATAAAAACGCAACTAAAAACCTCTCTGGTTTGAAAATCTTAAGGGGTTTTAGATTTCAGATTAGATTTAAAATGAAACATTATTTTTAAAGGCCTTTCAATGTGACACAAATGTAACTTTATGTCAGTTGTATTGTGAGTACATTGGTGTTCAGGTTTGAATCAGCTACTGTAATCGGCATCCTAATTGTTTTTGTAACAGAATACTGATTTAAATCAAATAAAGTTGCTTGGCAAGCTACAATTTCAGAAAACTACTGAGAGAGATGAAGAGAAACAGGAAGATGAACATAGAGGTAACATTCAAATGCTAATTTAAATTAAATTGCCTGCATTAAAATCAGTGTTGTTATTGTTAACTAATTTTTTTTAAATAAAATATGAAAATGAGTTGATACACCTACTTAAACAAACAAACATTAGAAATGTTCCCTTGGCAAGTAAATTAATAAAACTACTAAAACTAAAACCAAAATAATTGAAACCTTAATAAATATATAGATTTTAAAGTCGAAATAAAATGACGAAAGCACAGAAAATTACTAAAATATAATAATAATATTATATATATATATACACACACATACACAATAAAATAATCTAAAAATAAAAACATGGAATATATAATTAATGCTAAAATAACACTGATTAATGTACTTGCGTGTGATATGTTTTGAGTCATCCCAGGACATGTAAAGGCTTGTGGGAAATTCAAACCCATTTCATACACACACTGCACTGGTCAGGCTGATAATAGTGAACATCTCAATGAAGTCCTGCCAAATGGCCGCCTTCAAAACCCCTGGAGGAGCTGCTCCGACCTCTCAGGAACTGATATTACTGTCATCCTGCATCAATAAACCCACAAGTAGACAATTCTAGGAGCCACAAAGCCCTTTATTTACATTCTGATTAAGTGCATGATCTGTAATGGTGGAAGAGCATCCAGTAATGGTCCTTTTAATAGCGGGTGCATTAGGAGATCTTCAGGAGCAGCTCTTCCAGGTATTTAGGTGGACTGTCAGTTCATTAGTGTTAGGGAAAGAAGAGGAGAGGAACCCCGTGGCTCCAGTCCGAAGCTGCTACCACTTCTGCTGTCTCCTCCTGACAGTTATCTCTCTGCAGTTTAGGATCAAGTCATATTAGGACCCTAAGAGGCTTGTTAAAGACGCTTCACGTTAATGAGACAGACCTGGAGCCTCACAAACTTTCCACTCGTACTCGAGTATATTTATAAACTCCACATTCAGCCCAAAGGAGTGTTAAAAACACCCTGCTTTGAGGACCTAAAGGGGTCGCATGCAGATTTCAGATAAGATTTAAAATGAAATGTTATCTTTAAAGGCCTAATTTTAAACTGTACCGTAATTTTCCACTTAAAGAAGTTCGACTGTATTTTGTGGTGTCAGTTAAAGAATCATGGCAGAAGACCATTGTTATTAGTCATAATTAAGCTGTAATTGTGAATTTTGCCTGTCTAAATTTAGATGTTGATGAAGAATAGTAAAAGTATGCCAGAAAACACATGCTCATCAAGACTGCATTTATTTGATCAAAACAGAAAGAAACAGTAACATTGTGAAATATTATTACAGTATAAAATAATGGTTAAAAAAAATTTAGAACCCTTTTTTCAGGATTCATTGATGAATAAAAAGTTAAAAAGAGCAGCATTTAGTCAAAATAGAAATATTTTCTAACAATATAAATCTTTACTATCACTTTTTATCAATTTAACACATCCTTGCTGAATGATGTGTATTCATTTCTTTCAAAAAAGAAAGAATTACTGACCCCAAACTTTTGAACGGTAGTGAATATTGTTACACAAGATTTCTATTTTAAATAAATGCTGTTATTTTTTTACTTTTTATTCATCAAAGATTCCTGAAAAAGGTATCACAGGTTATAAAAAAAAAAAAATTAAGCAGCACAAATGTCTCCAACATTGATAATAAATCCTCATATTAGAGTGATTTCTGAAGGATCATGTGACACTGGAGACTGGAGTAATGATGCTGAAAATTCAGCTTTGATCACAGAAATAAGTTATATTTTAAAGTATATTAAAATAGAAAACAATTATTTTAAATTGTAATAATATTTCACAATATTACTGTATTTTTTTTATCAAATAAATGCAGCCTTGCTGAGCATAAGAGACTTCTTTCAAAAACATTAAAAATAGTAATGTTTCCAAACTTTTGACCAGTACTGTATATATACATACAATGAATTTTATTCATAAAAAAGACATTTTCATGAACATTTGTGTCCTTAATATTATGTACAACTTCAACCACTGCTTAATACCTATTAGTACCTATACTAATACTAAGACCTATAACTACCTACTAGTGTACACTTAGATCCAGGAACAATGAATTAGGGAGAGGAGCTCAGTCACAACGCACTTGTGTAAATACAGAAATGTGCTCGCTTTTTAATAAGGCTGAAGCGAAACAACACCGAGCAGTCCGCAAATCTAGCGAGATGGAGCGAACCTGTGCCAGCAAACACTGATGGAAGGAAGAAATAAAACTCACAACATTTTGGCAAAGTAAGCAGGCAAAGTGTGTGTTATTCAGGACCTCAGAAATAAGACTTAAGGCCCGTTCACACCGCCAGCGACACGCAGCGACATGATCCCATTCATTTCAATGGAGCGCTGGCGACATCCGGCGACCAGTGACCGTTGGCGACAGAATGTGGGCGTGTCAAGCGACAAGAGACACGCGACAAAAGTTGAGAAATTTCAACTTTATGCAAATGAAAAGCGATTTTCGCGAGCGACAACCAATAGGAAAGAAGACTCTCAGTGGAGCTCACGTGGAGTGCAGGCAAGACAGAAGAGTTTGTGGGAGATTTCACTGTTTTATATGATTTGACTGTAACCACATACATGGATATAATAAAATGAGGAATGGAAAAGAAACTGTCGACAGTCTCAGTGAGTTTAATTCATATACATTTATAGTTCGAGTGTTGTAATTTTATGATGCAAGTTTAGCACTGCTGCAGATCATTTTACAGTTTCCCTGCATTATGTTGACTATTAGGGACAAGAAAATTGATTATTTGTCAAATTCGAATGACGTTTTAGTAATTTATGACAGAATGAGTGAGTTTAATTTGTTGATTGATCGATCGTTAATCTAGTAAATGATCTAATCCACTGAACACTGCTGTGGTAATATAAAAACACTCTCCTAACAGCATACTGTTTCTTTTGAGCCTAATTCCTAGTCAAATTAAAATGATATAGTTGTATATGTCACTTCTGATGGTATTTTGTATAGATATATGGCTAGACGTGCAGTCTACCAATAACATTAGAGCGACAGCTCGTGACGTGTGAACGGGGCTTTAGGAGGCGCTAAAGGAGTCACAGTGAGATACAAATCAAACCACAGAAAAAGGAGATGCGGATGATGTTTGCTAGCTGGGTTGGGAGAATATAAGTGCCTTTACCTTTGCCTCCTGTTCCTTGGCCTCCAGGTTTATTGTACAGATAGATGTCATGATCCGGCAGCTCGCTGCTCAAATGGAAGTAATGCTAAGAGAGAAAACGGCGAGAAACAAAGAAAACAGATTTATGGAGATTGATCATCTAAAAAGAATGGTTACACTTTACAATAATGTTCCAGTAGTTACCGTTAATAAATGCATTACCTAACATTTACAAACAATGAGCAATTCATTTGTTACAGTATTTATTCATCTTTGGTAACGTTAGCTCAGATGCATTAATTAATATATTAACAGATACACTTTTTGATTTCAATAGTGTAATAGTAAACGCTGAAATTAGCATTAAGATTAATACATGATTTAGAAGTGTTTTTCATTGTTAATAACACATTTTAACAAATAGAATCTTAATGTAAAGTGCAACCAAAAAATTATGTATGCATATTTTATTTATTTATTTTTATATCTTCATAATGATTCTCATTTGAAGTTGCACAATACTGGCCATAATTATTGATTTTTCATTATTATAGATATGATTAGGTACTGATATTTGTAATTATTAGATATTGTTAGCCTTTTTTTACAAATCAGACCGTAAAAAGGTACTTAATGCAGACAAGTTGTAATTATAATCACTTGTTCGACATTATGTGAGAAAAGCAACATGACTATTGTGCACTTTAAATTCTAAATCACATATTAGCTTCTAAAAAAGGGACATTTAAGAGAATACAGAAATGCAACAGTGTGTGTTTTGGCTCCCGGTGGAGAAGTGTATTATGGGAGCTCTCTGAATGAACTCTCAGTGACCTGTTAAACAGAACCGCACTCACTCAGAGAGCACAAATGTCTAAACACGTTTGCAGAGCTCTGCTGCGCTCACACGTTATCTGTGGTGCCTCGCTTCACACTCACATCAAAGTATAAACCGCTTATTGGCAAACCACTTTGTTACACTTTTCTTTTTATATATATATATATATATATTTACGTAATCAGTAGTATTTCTGACGAATGGATTTCATCAGACCATTTGAAAATGATTTGTGAAAGTGAAACATTTAAGACCGTTGCTTTTCTTTTGAAAAAGGCATATTTCATTTGCAAAATATTCAGTTTTGAAAAATAATAAAAACTTATGCAATAATAAATAATAAAAAATTCCTAAGAAAATATTTAGCAAAATATTCAGTTAAAAAATATAATAAAAATAATAATGCATAATAATTATAATAATAATAATAATTCAAAATAAACCATGTGATTATTCTTTAATATTTTAAACTAAATATTTCATTTTATGATTCATGAGTCATTCTACCCCTGTGTAATATTTGTTCACAAAGGCTTAAATTACATCACGTTTACCAGTAAATATTTTGGTATGATTCTGCAGTGTATAAACTGTACTGTTGTTTAAATCAGGGAACATTTTACAGATTTATAATGTCATTTCTAAACCTAAATCTACAGCAGTGCTTCTCTGACACATGACCATCTCTATTAATCAAATGCACTGGGAATGTGTCCGTCTGTCTCAGCGGGATCAGACTGAGTGTACCTTGAAGTGATGCTCGATGTTGCTGTCGGTGTATTTGGGGATGTGGAGGAAGATGAGGAGGTTCTGGCGGAGGTAGTGAGCCACGGCCTGGATCCACGGCACACAGTACTGAGGCAGACAGAACTCCATCACTTCCGTCGCCGGAGAGCCGGGAGGCTGAATGAACTGAGACAAAGAAGAAAGAGTGGAAATGAAAAAAATTATGTGTAATCAACACAAATCACATCCACAGTCTATTATCCAACCATTAAATCTCAGACGAGATGCCTGTGACCGCCCACAGACGGAAACTGAGCCTCTGAAGTATAGAGAGAGAAACAGAGACCGCACCTTCCGCAGCTTTTCGGTGATACTTCAATAAAAACTCGCTCTGAGATGAATCGCAACATTACAAGCTTTGATTCAAAGCTAAAAGTATTTAAAAAATCAGAAAAGAGCAAAAAGGCTTCAGAAGACTCTAAATACAGTGCATGAGTTTTATTTTATGATACTTTCATGCTATTTTTTCACAAATGTCTGTCTCTGCATAACGAAGTTAAATATAATTTGCTTAAAGTCCCCCTGAAGTCAATAATTGTATCCCTTAAAACTCATATTTGATCACCAAAATGACATATTTAAAAGTTTTTTCCTTAAAAACATTTTTCATGCCTTAAAATAGCTTGAATGTAATTCGACACCCTTGCCTCATTTAGTATATGTGGTTCTATGAATATGTAAATGAGCCCCACCTCCACTCACTCACTCAGCTCAGAGATCCACTGGTTGACGATCACACGTTGACCTGGGGCGTGTTTCCCGTACAACGACGTAGCTCGATGCTTCACTATCATAGTACGATGCATCGTTGAAAAAAATCAACTAGCAAGTCACGACTGTTTCCCCAAACCATATTGTCGCAAAGTGGTCGTTCAACCACGCACGTGGTGGAGTAATAACTTATTTTAATGAAACTGTTTGAGATCGAATTAATGCTAGATGCTTTGCTATAAATTACAGACATGGCATCTGAGGAATATTTCAAATTTTTCTCAGTTATTTCGCTTTATTTCCAAATTCAATCATAGGCTCGTTCTTACATAGTAGAGCACGCTCACACATGCGCACGCTTCAAAAACTGCTTTAAATCTCTTGACAAACTATACAAATGATATTTGTATGTATTCTAAATAAAAGACAGGTTGTACTTAATGTCAGTTTGCTTATTTTGCTCAAGATACGGATTTATTAAGTCCACATGTCATGCAATCTAGAAACTCTGCTTCTAAACACAGGTCGAGATCTGTCGCTCACACACACAACTTTGCGATGCCGTTTGCGAATGTTCGTTGGAACGATGGTTTCGGGAAACACCGACTCGTTGAACTATGCTGGTAACGACGGAACTTGCGACCATAGTTGGCTAACGATGCTTTCGGGAAACACACCCCTGATTGGTTACAAGGTCGTTTGTGACGTCAGAAACACCAGTGATTTCAAACCGTGATTTTGAGACTGTCTTTGGTTCACTGCAGTTTTAAGGAGAAAATACTCAGCAATGCTGTCGACTTATGAATTTGTACATGGCTTGTCTTAAAGCATATTAAAAAGGCGTATAAACAACATTAAAAGCTTGATTTTCACCACAGGGGGACTTTAATCTGTTCTGCACCAGCCTGTGGTTAAGTCAGACACAGAAAAAAGAGGGTTGAAAAGAGAGATGGTGGATGAGACGGAGAAAGAGAGATCACCTCCACATCTGCAGGCGTCAGTTTACAGTTCCTGACCAGCATGACTGTAATAATGTCCAGCGTGGCCTCGTCCAGACGCTTCCTCAATACCTTCACTAATTCATCAGTGATCTCTGGACCTGTACATCACAAAACATAACAGCTCACTATAATTTATGTCATATTATGCAGGTAAAATTGTTCACAGATTGGAAGCCACTTCATATTGACTTTTGATTTATAAATTAAGCCTCCCTCTCTAGCAGGTGCCGATATCCCTCAGAGCTGCTCGCCTAAGCATGAAAAGTCCCTATAAATTACAAATACGCATTTAAAATTAAACTGATAGACTGGAAATGATTTGTCTTTGGGAGTGAAGTAAAACATTTACAGGAATGAAATGGGCGTATATATAACAGGAGGACGTGTGCGAAGGCCAACAGCGCCTCCTGTCAGATGCTGATGCCACTGCATGTGCTGATGGAGAGTCCTGAGAGTTTGACTTAGCTAAAAAAATCTATGCTGTTTCTCTGTACTTAAATTATTATAATTTAAGTACATATATATACACTCACCGGCCACTTTATTAGGTACCCCATGCTAGTAACGGGTTGGACCCCCTTTTGCCTTCAGAACTGCCTCAATTCTTCGTGGCATAGATTCAACAAGGTGCTGGAAGCATTCCTCAGGGAGTTTGGTCCATATTGACATGATGGCATCACACAGTTGCCGCAGATTTGTCGGCTGCACATCCATGATGCGAATCTCCCGTTCCACCACATCCCAAAGATGCTCTATTGGGTTGAGATCTGGTGACTGTGGAGGCCATTTTAGTACAGTGAACTCATTGTCATGTTCAAGAAACCAATTTGAAATGATTAGAGCTTTGTGACATGGTGGAAGTAGCCATCAGAGGATGGGTACATGGTGGCCATAAAGGGATGGACATGGTCAGAAACAATGCTCAGGTAGGCCGTGGCATTTAAACGATGCCCAATTGGCACTAAGGGGCCTAAAGTGTGCCAGGAAAACATCCCCCACACCATTACACCACCACCACCAGCCTGCACAGTGGTAACAAGGCATGATGGTTCCATGTTCTCATTCTGTTTACGCCAAATTCTGACTCTAACATCTGAATGTCTCAACAGAAATCGAGACTCATCAGACCAGGCAACATTTTTCCAGTCTTCAACTGTTCAATTTTGGTGAGCTCTTGCAAATTGTAGCCTCTTTTTCCTATTTGTAGTGGAGATGAGTGGTACCCGGTGGGGTCTTCTGCTGTTGTAGCCCATCCGCCTCAAGGTTGTGCGTGTTGTGGCTTCACAAATGCTTTGCTGCATACCTCGGTTGTAACGAGTGGTTATTTCAGTCACTGTTGCCCTTCTATCAGCTCGAACCAGTCTGGCCATTCTCCTCTGACCTCTGGCATCAACAAGGCATTTCCGCCCACAGAACTGCCGCTCACTGGATGTTTTTTCTTTTTGGGACCATTCTCTGTAAACCCTAGAGATGGTTGTGCGTGAAAATCCCAGTAGATTAGCAGTTTCTGAAATACTCAGACCAGCCCTTCTGGCACCAACAATCATGCCACGTTCAAAGTCACTCAAATCACCTTTCTTCCCCATACTGATGCTCGGTTTGAACTGCAGGAGATTGTCTTGACCATGTCTACATGCCTAAATGCACTGAGTTGCCACCATGTGATTGGCTGCTTAGAAATTAAGTGTTAACGAGCAGTTGGACAGGTGTACCTAATAAAGTGGCCGGTGAGTGTGTATATATATATATATATATATATATATATATATATATATATATATATATATATATATACGCACCATATACACACATACACATATATATATAAAAGAAATCTTAAAGACCCCAAACCTATACAGTTCAAAAATACAGTTAAAACAGTAATATTGTAAAATATTATTACAATTTAAATATATATATGTATATTCTTTATTGTAATACATGTTAAAATGTAATTTATTCCTGTGATCAAAGCTGAATTTTTCTCTTTCTGACCTTATACTTTTGAGTGGTATTGTGTGTAATACATACACACTAGGGGTGTAACGATACACGTATTCGTATTGAACCGTTCGGTACGAGGCTTTAAGTTCGGTTTTCGGTACGCATTTTTGAACCGAACGGTTCGTTGGACCATTTTTCCTGCCGACCAAAATTTCGTTATTTCAAATGAAGGCGCGTCACGCGTGGCAAGCGCGCTCATAATGTGCGTGACCACAACATTGCCCAACATCAAATGGCAAATGTAATGTAAGCGGAACGAAACCACTCGTTATTGTGTGGTTGAAGGACCGTTTATCAGTTTGGACAAATACAGCGCGAGCCGATCTTAATCATCAGCACTGTTACTACACAGCCAAATCCAGTAAAGAAAGCATTTGAATTCGCCACTGAAGTAATAACATCGCTGCAAGATCTAGTGAGAAACATTCGCATTTCTCCGTTATTAACGGATCAAACAGCGCTGACGTGGAAACCAGGAAGAAACATTGTGCCATGAATGAACTATCCAGTGTCCACAGATCAGCAACATTCACCATGGGTTTACTGTAGTAACACTACTAACTGTAACCATGGAAGTTTGGCAGGAATAGTAGGCTATAATGCTTTCAAGTAACATCACGTCGGTTTTATTTTGACATTATGAATACAATTGCTGCCCTCAAATGTTAATCTGAACTAAAATAAACCTTTGTTTATAACTACTACAATATTACATTTAATTTTGTCCAAGGAGCTGTTTTGTTTTATAAGCTCCTAAGAAAAGTCAAGTATAGCTCCATCATTGCTCAAAGTTAAAAAATATCATACTTTATGATGTTAGTTTTAATAAAAATATAATTAAAAAGATTAAATCAAGGAAATTTCTCTGGCATTTCTTTCTTTTTGCTGTATCGGAAACGTACCGAATCGTACCGAACCGAACCGTGACACAAGTGTATCGTATCGAACCGAACCGTGAATTTTGTGAACCGTTACACCCCTAATACACACACATAAAAATTCTCCCACATTAGGATTGTACCCTCTTTTTTTGCCAATATAAATGTACTATAAACCTTTAATATGTAAAAAAAGGGGAAAAAAAGAAAAGAAAAAGGAAATCGTAAAAATACTGAATCACTGAATAATTCTTATAATTCATTATTAAGTTTTAACATTTTTTCTATTATTCTAAAATGTGCAAAATAGTCATAATATAGACCTAATAAATATTTGCTCCACAAAATTAAGATAAAGGCAGTTTGTTGTCATACATGACTCTTTCTTGTTAAACCATCTCAACTGCTAAAAACACATCTGGTATCGCTACACTCTTCTATTCTACTGAGTTGTGTTCTTGCCAGCGTGTCTCCACCTTATTCCTGACGAGTTTACTGCGTTTTGAGTTATGGGCGGCACTTCCGGTTTGGGGAACTTCCATTCAAAAAGACTGAAACAAATAATTTCAAATCATAAGATCCCCTTACAAATAAAGCTGATCCGTCAGTTTGACTGGATGAGCTGTCAATTTTCCTTCATGATTTATTTTCAGACATCATGAGAATAACGTAACACTTGGTATTTTTAACGTGACATGTTCTAACAAGAATCTTTGGCAAGAGCTCGTTTCAGTTTCTGCATTCGTTTCCTCGTGATAATTTTATTTTTTCCCTTTGCATTTCGCTGTTATAGTATGAAAAAATGACAACATATACCGCACATGTGTGGTCTGTTCTCCCGATTTAGTTTACGACATATCCCATTCATAATTCACTGGAATGGAATCTGAAAATTACGGAAATCACTTTGAAATAGTATCAGGCAATGAAGTTAATGAACATTTATGATTAAGGCAACGTTTGTTACATAATACAGATATGTATTACTGATATTTAACCCGTCTGTAATTGCCGAGGAAAGAATCTCGCTTTTGGGGTTATTTATGGTCTCTTGTTGAAAGTACCTTGTTGATGCTTTTACACTTTTAATGTCCTTTTAATGTTTGATGGTTGAAGGGTGAGTAGAATAATATCATCTCATTGTACACAACGTACAGAAAAAAAAGAAACACGTATAATTGCGTTCATAAAGTGAGCCTTTCATTGATTGTTTACAACTTAGCGGAAGTTACACCCATAATTTGTGCAAAGCGTCATGGGGCGTGGGAATGTGGTGGAAATAAATGCAAGAACTTGATCCGAAATGAACGGCTCCTTATTGGTTCTGCTCTCAGTTAGTCTGGTTTGAGAAGGCGTGTTGCCTGTAGTCATGTAATATCCCTAAGAGAAACAACACACTTCATTGCATCTTGTGTTTCTAGAGTTGCACCGATTACAATTTTCTAGGCCGATTCCGATTTCATTTTTTCTAACCACTTTACAGCACACACAAATATTTCATTTCTCTCTTTTCTTTAGCAGAACATTTTACATTTTGCATAAAACATTTTTGAACAGTAATCGCTATAAAATAGGACTATATAAATGACTCCTGGTATGGAAAATTCACACACATCTAAAGTGCAGTGTTATGGAAGAACCATTTCCTTCTTTTCACATCCAATATCCAACTAAAAAAAATGTGTTCATTTCAAAATGAAAATTACTTAATTATACTCCAGTTCTTGTTAAAACACACCAGACATGCAAATTCTGTGCATTTTGGGCACGTTTGTGGGAAAACATATTTATTTTGTCCATCAAAAGTGTGCTTTCACTTTAATTGAGCGTGAGCAGCGCAGCAAAAATAGACTCTGCGCTCACGTGCGGCTCCCGGTGTGAAGGCACTCATTGATTAACATGCACGCCGGAAATAATGCGCGCTGCTCACGTTTGCGGTGTGAAACGGCCATAATTCACAAGGTTTCCTACATGCGTGTTCCGTGTGCACGTGTGATGCTGATGTTGCGCGATGTTAATCATGCGGCGCCCGAGTGCATTTGACCGGCATAAAATCGGCATATGTCAGACTGACCGGCCGGTCACCGATCATCGCCGATCACGTGAAAATCGTCCAATTCCAGCCGATCAATCGGTGCATCTCTAGTTTCATCTCACTGTTTTCACACATTTATCTGTCCCTCTCGCTCACCTGCAGTCCCCACGCCATGCACCAGCAGCAAAATGTGTTTGTCCACCAGTCCAACCGGCCTTGAGCCTTCCAGAGACGAGCGTGATCCCTATGAACACAAGATACATGTTATAACATACTTACATCACATCAGGCACATGGGAGCACGGTCTACGCCTGTTTTCCAGGCAATAAACACATAATTACTCAGATCTTCTATCGCTTATCTCATCAGAATGAGCCTCATAAATGGCGTAAACACAAGGACAGGTCAGTGCTTTGCAAGTAGCAGGTAAATCATTCCCTCCGGAAGGGGATCGGAGCCCTAATGGCTCCTGAGGGCTCTGGTTTCCTAAAGCGTAATGAGAAGTGACAGTATGTGAATGTTACCGTGAGGTCCTCGGAGCCCAGCGGCTCTTGGCTGCGGGCCAGGCCGACAGAGCGTGTGTGCATGTTTCCATCCAAATCACTGTACTTCCCTGCCTGAGATGTCTCTGAGAGTCTGTGGAGACGAGACAGATGGGACGAGAAGGTCAAGATCATGAAAAGAATTCAAAAAAATTCTAGTGATCATTTCGCCCCTGTTTACTTTACAGCTTTGGTCGATCGGATCACAATTAGACGAGGGAGACACATTCCCGTTTACACCTGGTGTTTTAATCCATATCTTTTGTCCACTTTCAACCCTTTTAGGGGAGGGTCTATGATGTACATTTTATGTTTTTTTTTTTTTTTCAGATCTTGCAATTTAATGGACAAAATAAGGTCGCACAACTTGCATATGAACGTGACTGGAGACTTTATTCTAGAGCTGCTGTAAAGCCAAAACAATCTCTGTTACTTTAATTTCCTATTATCACTGTAAAGCTGCTTTGAAACAATCTATATTGTTAAAAGCGCTATATAAATGAAGGTGAGTGACTTGACGACAGAAAAACACACGGAGAGCATCAGCTTCAGTTTGTGCTCTGACAGCCAGTGTGTGTTAGAAATCAGGAATGGCGAGAGAACATTGTGCTTGGTACGTTTTTCATCTTCAAACCAAACTTGGGTCTTCATCCGACAAAGTTAAATCCCGTCTGGCTAGAGCTCTTCCTATAATGTTCACGCATTAGTTCAGTGGACGGAGAGTAGACGGTCTTTTGTGGCTGTTTGAACACATTCGACCACATGAGCTTTTACACTATGAAAGCAATCCGGTCGAATGCGTTTTCAACTCCCTCTGGAAGTGGTTGAAAGAAGACAAGCTCAACTTGTTTTAGACCCCGTTTACACCTGTATTCACTTGTGATCCGATTGACCAAAACACATCTTAATACCAGATGTACACAGGTCTAATCTTATAGTGATTATAGTCTAATCTTATAGTAGATTATAGTGAGACTGAAAGAGAGAAGCCACAGGTGGAGAGAGATATTTTACAGTGGCATACAGATATATCAGCACATTTTCTGCTTTTAATTATTTTTTAAATAAATCATGTGAATCAGCCATCGACATTTAGGGAAGTTAGTTGGAAATGTCAGCTCCACAAACTACAAACACTACAGTTCACTAACTAAAAGTATCTAATTGCCTTCAGGCTATTTAAGGGAACAATATCTTTTTTAATGAGATTTATTTGGTAATCAGAGCTGGATTTATCTAGCACACAACAACGAAGACTGCAATTAGGGCGATAAATCTACAAATAAAAGAATCAGAAAACAAACTATAGAAACAGATACACTACTGATCAAAAGTTTGGGGTTAGTAACTTAATATATAGTTGTTTTTTTTTAATAAATAAATTCAGCAAGGAGGCATTAAATTGAGCTAAAGTGACAGTAAAGACATTTATAATGTAACAAAATATTTCCGTTTCAAATAAATGCTGTTCTTTTGCTATTCTTGTACTTAATCAACAGCAAAGAATCCTTTAGTTAGAGTAACTAACTGTTTAGTTAGAGTTATGATGCTGAAAAATCAGCTTTGATCACAGGAATAAATTACATTTTAAAATACATTCAAATGGAAAACAGTAATGTTAAACTGTAAAAACATTTGCTGTATTTTTACTCAAATAAATGCAGATTTCAGATTCAAAAACATGAAAAAAATTATTGCACGGTTGAGCAAGTTGCAACATTAACATTCACATATAAGCATTTGGATAACATTTTCACCCATAGTGGTTTACTATGTTCTCCATATATCAACATCATCCACTAAAAAACTCAAACTGGTCAGTCACTAATATGAAGGCATTGTGAGCTTCAGACTCACCGGAGGTAGAACACAGATTTGGTTGTTCGCTCCTGATAGACAAACATGTTTTTGCGGTTGACCACACAAAAGGCGTTTAGAACGGAGCGCAGAGCATGGATAGCTGAAAGAATCAGAGAGAAGAATATCATCTTAGGGTACAAGCATACCAGTTTTTCCATGGTAAAAATGTGTCTTCATGAGGAACCACCTGATTGGTCCACTGAGGTGTCACTCACCCCGGGACACGCCCATGTTGGGCCCCATTTTGAGCCGTGGGTGAATATAAATAACGGTCCTCCAGACCACGTCACAGGCGAAGTATCCATGTATGAACTGCATCGTGGCGGCGAGGTAGTCCCGCGGCTGATAGCTCTCATCGGCGCTGTAGTCTGGGCCGGAAAAAAGGTGCAATTATGGGAATGAGACTTTCATCTTAACAAATTCATAACAAAAGAGAGATTAGCAGGATTATCTGAACCCAACAGGGCACCTCAAGTTGTACAATACAAACGAAGCATTTGAGCGTTTATCTCTGTGGTCGACCGGATCCAATTCATTTACACAGTCTGAGGCAGAACATCAGGCCATATTAAGACATTAGTGCAGTAATTCATGCTAAACAGCAGTTATAAAATTGTAGTCAATGAGGCGAGTGCTCAGACTCACACTGCTGTCTCATTATCACTACCCTTGAATTGACCTTCCCGACAGGCTTTTTTTTTTTTTAAGTCTGTGTGTTTGTTTGTATTCGTGTAAATTGTGCTCCATTTCACAGCGGCATCATCAGGCGCTATTAACTTTCTTCTGCATATCAAGAGAGCAACAATATCGACAGATTTAATTTAAACAAAGCCATACGCATGGTATGGGGCAGCACGATTACTTGAAATTGAATTGGCTTTGTGCGATTATTGCGTTATGGTTGCTATTCAATTAAACAAATTACGTTTCAGAGTTTGGGTCGGTTCTAATGTGCATTTGGGAATGCAACATGTGCCAACCATCTTCCCAAACCTGTAATAACAAGCGCTCATAAACCGGCTGTTGTCAACAAAAGAAAAGATTTGAAGGTCTCTCTGCTGTTTTCAGCCTAAATAAAAGCTTGAGGTTTTAAAGTTTCAAAATGAAGAAATCATATATGGATCCGGAGCAGGGTTTGGGGTGTGAGCAACATTTAGCCTCATAATTAAGGTTTTTTTAGATTAAAAAATTTGGAATCCTAATTTTCTAATAGATTTAGCTATTTTTTAAAGGAAAAACATGCGCAAGTGATTAAAATGAATTTAACCACGTCAAAGAGGCTGTGGACTCCTGCTCTGGTATGTATATGGCCATGGCTTATAGAAAGAGTGTGTGTCTGTCATTCAGCTGGGTTTTATACCATCAGAGTTGGTCATCCTGGGCCGGTAAAGCGACTCGTGCTTCCAGATGTCCTCTTCACTCTCAGCAACCAGCAGAGAATGGCACACGTGACTATCATGCAGGTCTTGTAGTAGGAGGCGCTGTGGAGAAAGTCACTGAGAGGTTAAAGAGCAACAAAGTGGAAAACAGTGGTAGAGGATCTGGGGTGATGAACCAGAGATAGTGGGACTTTCTCACTAAGTGAGCAGTTATTGGCTATAATAAGCTGCAAAGTGGACCATGCTGATAGTGGAAAGGCAAGGCTATTCTTTACCTGGTTGACTATTCGGCACATTTCCCCAATCCTCCTCACCACCAGCTGATGAAGACGCAGGTATTCTGGAATCTCTTCCTCTTCCGCTCTGTTAAAACTCCTGCCAACGCAATGTTCAAGATTCACAAGATTCAAACAGTACAAAGTGTTTTAACAGTCTCAGCAGGAAAAATGCAAAACTCAGTTTTGTTTTCACGTCTGGGGAAAACTAAAGTTTGCATTTTAAGCATTACAAACAGATATTCTGCTCATTTGTATGCTTCACATTTTTGAACACGCATTATAAGCTGAAAACTAACAAGGAACACAATTTTTTTTTGTGCAGTTTACACAAATAGGTAGTGTAAACCTTTCCATAAATTACAGAAAATACTTTATTACAATAGCTTACATAAACATCAACATAAGACATTTTAAATGAAAGGATATTATTTACATACCATTTATATGTATATATACAGTACATATTTATTAAAATAAAATAATTTATAAATAAGTTACAATATTTGTTAAAGGTGCATTGCGCAAGTCTCTGAGTTTTTGCAGAACTACGCCCCCTCTGGCGACAAACGAAACTGCAACCAGAGGTGTGAACGCTCATGGACCACATGCACACACACACACGCACGAGCTGTTCATAACCAAAGGAGCATCAGCCGCACAAATCTTTTGTTTACACAGTCATAATGTCTTCAGAGGTAATAAAATTATAAATCTGCAAGTCATTTTAAATATATGAAAGGAAAGGCATTTGAGTAAATTACACACGTATGTGTGAGGGGAAAACTTCAGTTTTTGTTTCCATCTATCTCCATGTTGAACTGTTTTATGTGTTTACTGTATCCACTTATGATTGTATTATTATGGAAACTCATTCATGAACAATATAAGTTATTACTTTGTAAAAGCCAACTGAGGATCCCGTGTGAGCCCTAGAGCAGACCGGAGATCTCTCCATTTGTTGAAAGCCTTCCCGATGTTAACTCTCGTCTTATTCCGACGCCTGTCTGACTCCAATTAGGCCCTTTTGGTGGCACTAGACAAAAGTTTTCTTTTCTTTGTCTTGTGTGGAGTTTGCGTTGGGGTTTGGAATGAACTACAAGCCGGTCTCTTAGAATCCATCTTCTACTTTTGTCGAAAGTTGACTAAAGTTTTGTCGCTCGAGTTGTCTTCGCTGATACGGAGAATGGCGACGAATACACAAACCTGCCAGACATAGCCAGGTGAGCGCGAACGCGCGTGACGTCACGCCCAGTCTCAAAATCCGTCCTGAATCTCTCTTATTTATTTTACTGTACAGGATTATAGAGGCAATCGCAGTGATCAGAGAAGGGCTCATTCAGCCCATCAGCCAATTGTTTAAGCATGTATGGGTTAGAAAAACGGGTATTTTTAACATGAAATGTTGCACAATGCACCTTTAATTAATGAATAATTATTAAATAATCAATCCATTATCATTTATATTAATTAATAAAAAAATTTTTTTTTAAAGAAACTGCATATTCCTCAACCAGCCACAATCATTCATGTTAATTCAACAAACTATGAGACTGAGCTGATGTTTAATAAGTGGAAAACACCAAGTATGATCAATAAAAATAGTAGTGCTGTCAAACGATTAAAATATTTAATCACGATTAATCGCATTAATGTCATAGTTAACTCGCGATTAATCGCAATTAATCGCACATTTTTATCTATTCTGAATGTCTCTTGATTTCTTTTTGTCCCATTATTTTTTCTCATTTTAATGCTCTTATCAACATGGAAAAGTGGATCGGCTTGCTTTGTGCAAATGTTTTTTATTGAAAACAACATTGACATATACTGTGTTCAATTTCACACTAACATTCTCACTTGGAGCAAATAATCTCTCACACAATGTAACACTGTCCATCAATAAAAGGGTGAAAGAAATACTGACGAGGTCCTGATATTGACGAGGGGGCCGTGAATTCGCATCAGCTGTGTGTGTGTGTGTGTGTGTGTGTGTTTGCTTGGCCATCAAGTGGTATTTCAGACTGGACGTGCTGCGATGATGATAGCTCAGTTCACAACGACAAAACACACGATCACTTTGGTCTTGTCAATGTAACCATTTGGCAACTTTTTAAAAGTAAACTTTCCATTCAGAATCTTATTGTCAACCATTTCGGCGTCTCGCACTCGTCATCCACTCAAAACGTAACGTTAACCTACTATTTGGCCGGCTCGCAAGCCCAAACAAGTGCGTGCGGCGTCGTGCCTGTTATTTTGTTTCCGGTCTAGCTAGATCCGCTTGCGCTTTGGTCGACGAAGCAACAAAACGTCCTCGCGCGGCGCAAGCCATTGAAATTAATGGGTTTCATCGCCCATGCCGCGTCATGTTGCAAAAGCATGTGAAACAAACTACAAAGTTTGCTAGGCCAAAAAGGCCGCTAATCGCGCGATAAAAAAATTGACGCCGTTAAAATGGGTTTGCGTTAACGCCGTTAATAACGCGTTTAACTGACAGCCCTAAAAATAGTGATGCTTGCTTAGAAAAAGACTTCATGTTGATTCATATAAAAATCAAGTGTCAAACCATCTTTCTTAAATTGTGATTTTAACAAAGTCTACCGGCCAATTCTTTTACTTGCTGATTTTTGCTTGCATTTGGTGCTTTCTGAATGTGAATTTCGTAGCCTGCATGCCGAGCAGTACCTGGCGTGGGAGAAAACCTCCACTCTGTCCTGATGAATTCTGATGATGAGCCAGAAATCAGGCATGAGCGGCATCTGTCTCTCCTGCTCATTCATAGTGGGTCCTTCACACTCAGAATCACTGCTGCCGCCATCATAACCTGAAACACAAACGGCAGAGAGGAGAAGGACCGTGAGGAATGATGATTGTGAGTGTGACCATGTTGTCTGTTCTGTGAAGTCTCACCTAGCATGTCTGAGTCCAGGCTTCCCTGACTGGAGACGACGCTCTGAACTCGACTGGGCCGCAGTTTCCCACTGCCTGAAAGCAACAGCAATCAAAGCCTTTATTAACTTTCTTTTTAGAATAAAACTAAACAACCAGGGGCCTCATTTAGAAGACCTGCGCAAATACAATTAATACCATTCTTCTCCTAATTGTTTAGATTTTAAGAATGCACATTAGCTTGAATGAAAATGCAATTTCACTCTCTGATAGCAGATGGATCTTATAGCAGTTACCCTGTTAAACCCTTTATACAGAATACCCGTTATAACCCTTTTTCCAAAAATGTGAAGAGTTTGCCGATATGATAATGCGTCATCGGAGAAACAGTAATTAAACATCACTGTTTCGGTCAATACATTTCAAAAACCTTTTTTTCCAAAATGGAAAATTGCTGTTTCAGCCGAAAATGTTCAGCTTATCCACCCGCTGAAAGAAAATGCAGCAGGTGGCTCTTACGAAAAACAGAAATATAGGGGTTACTATCTTGTATACAATGCAGCTGCTGTGCTTTTTAGTGATGCAAAGAGTTTGCAGGTTTGATATAAACACCATAAGGTAAACATCGTCATAATTCATCAACAGTAGATCAACAAGCAAACCACTGACATAAATGTGTGGTGCTCTATCTCGATCTGCTCTGAAACCGAACATGCAACTGCTTTGAATAAGAGCTTTTTAAAGTTTAATAATCACACTAAGCCATATCATGATTCCTGTTTTTCTGTCATCAAATTTAAGAGCTCTTGACTTTTCCTATATCATGAATTTAGGACTTTTTAAGGACACTGATTTAGGATCATTCTATCCACGTCTTTATAAATGAGGCCCCATGATGAGGTTAGTTCTTAGTAGGGGTGTGCAAAGCAGCCGGTATTTGTATCTGTTTTTTTTTTGTTTTTTTTGTGGGGGTAAAAGTATTTGTATTCGAGTAAAATTCAAAATAGACCTAAAAATCTAGTTTGGAGTTGACTGGATTGTTGACGGGGTGGGAGATGGTGACTAGCTTTCATAACGCACACATGCAAGGTCTCTCGTGCGTATCTATACCACGAATGTTATTTCTCGTGCCATTTATACGCCAAAACTGGTTTTCGCGTGCATATGATACGCACTTTATGGCGTGTAATACGCACGCATCCCCCACCCCCCTAATCCTACCCAAGGGTTTTCAGTGCGTAGCATATGCACGCAAACGAATTTTTGCGTGCATATGCTACGCACGAGAAATAACATTCGTTCTATAGGTCTCTACAATAGATTTTTCAAGAAAATCTATTGTAGTTGATGATGAATTTTGTTTCGGGAATGAATTAAACATCTTTTTTACCAGATTTGAACAAATTGACAAACACAATAAGATCAAAGAAACAATAGATACTGTTCCATCATCATTGGATAGAATTGTTATTGAGGTTGAGGATGTTAGGAAAACGTTCCAGTCTATTGACACAAAAAAGGCGGTTGGTCCAGACGGATGTAGTGCAGGTCTTCTAAAAAAATTTGCACATGAATTAGCACCGGTGTGGCATCCAGTATTTCAAGCATCCGTTGACACACACACTGTTCCTGTGATTTGGAAGACCGCATACATTAAACCATTACCGAAAATACCATGTCCAAGAGAACATAAAGATTTTAGACCAATAGCTCTCACCTCTGTGATTGTGAAATGTTTAGAGAGATTGTTACTCCAGCATTTAGTTAGGACAGTTAAAGATAAATTAGATCCTTGGCAGTTTGCCTATAAGAAAGGCTGTAGTACTGAAGATGCAGTTGCTGCTTTAGTACACATCATCTCTAAACATGTAGATAAACCTAAAACAATTGTAAGAACTTTGTTTTTAGATTTCTCTTCTGCATTCAACACATTACAGGTTGACAGACTGGTGTCAAAACTTGCACGGTTGAACGTTAATCCCTATCTGGTCCAGTGGTATACTTCATTTCTCACTGATAGAGTTCAGAGGGTCAAAGTGAATGAATCTGTGTCGTCTGCAATCATTACAAATGTCGGAGTCCCACAAGGTTGCGTTAGTTCTGCCGTACTTTTCACCTTATATACAGATGACTGTCGAACTGATATGTCAAATCAGTATATTTTGAAATACTCTGATGACACTGTTTTAATATCTGTGATAAATGATTCGGATAGTTCTGAGTTTCATCAACAAGGTGTGACTAAACTGATTGAGTGGTGTGAGAATAATGCTCTTGTCATAAATACCAGTAAAACTGAGGAGATTGTATTTGGGTCTGTGGCCGATATAATGCCTGTTTTTATTCATAAGGAGGAAATTAGATCGGTTAAGACATATAAATATTTAGGAGTGATTATAGACGATATGCTGTCATGGAAAGATCACATTGACACACTATATAAAAAAACAAAGCAGAGAATCTATTTTCTTCGTCGTCTTAGATCATTTGGAGTAAGAAAACAGATTCTTCTATTGTTCTATAGGTCTGTGATAATGAGCATACTGCAATATTGCAACTCTATTTGGTATAAAAGCTTGTCTGTTATGCTGAAAACAAAGCTGCATAATCAATTAAAAATTTGCTCAAAGATTGTAGGTCAGCCCCTTGAGAAGCTCTACGACTCAGCCTATCATAACAACTTGCTAAGGCTAGCCAGTATTATAACTTCTAACCCTATGCATATTCTGCATAAAGAGTTTGAACTTTTACCATCAAAGAGGAGGTATAGAGTGCCCAGATTTAATAAAGTGAGGCTGAAACACTCTTTTGTGTACCAAGCTATCCTAGCATTGAACAAAACATTCAATCAGAGATCAAGAGTACTGTGAAGGTGTTAGATGTATAAGTGTTGTATTGTTTTGAAGATATAATATGTGACGTGTAAGAGTATGTCAAAGTAGAATGTATGTTAGATGTACGTTGTATGTATGTTGTATTATTTTGAAGGTATAATATGTGATGTGTAAGTGGATGTCAATGTAGAATATATGTTAGATGTTGTAAACATACACTGTTATGCAAGAAAAATTTCAGACTCGTCTGACAATAAAGTATAAAGTAAAGTAAAGTAAAAACCAGTTTTGGCGTATAAATGACACGAGGAATAACATTCGTGGTATAGATACGCACTTTCATGAGACTGTGTTACTCTCCCTCTCTGCCTTGCGCGCGCTACACGGTTTGGAGCTCAGTATGTTCTGTCTCGCATGCGCGTTAGATTCTGGGAGATTTAAACTAATTTGCGGGCATCAGGGAGCCGCTATCAATAGAGACTTGGGATGTCTGCGTACCATATAACTCCCACAAGTGCATACAATTCGACACAACTACACAATCATTTTTTAACCGAACGTTAACGTTACTCTGTCAACAGCCTATTGTCTAAATTACCGAGCTAACAGAGCTACGTAAACAGAGCGAACATGAGAGCATCCGACTGCAGACGTCAATAACGCAGCGTAATGGAATAATCTTCCGATCAAACTCCGCTTCCTGAAAGTTATAAACTGCCTCCGGAATCCAGTTAAGGTACAAAAATCTATTCAACAAAAATAGTGATGCAGTTAAGTGTTTTTCGCTCAGCCGAGCCATCTCTGTTGCTGTGTCTGTGGAGCAGCCTGTGTCAGTCACCTCTTCCTGAACGTCACTCACTCATTCACGCTCTGTGCTCTCGTGAGGAAACGCAGCTTTTTGATATAAAGTTTTTCGTGTTCCCGAATACAAATATTTTTTTTAAGTATTTGTTCGAAATAGCTATTCGTAAAAAACACGTTATTTGTACCTTTCTGAATAACGTATTCGGGTTCGGCTCCACCCCTAGTTCTTAGGTATGTCTTGTGACACTCACTGTGTGTGGCCGACTGCACGGACTCGGCCAGGCTGGCAGCGGAGGGTGTTTTGGGAGGGGACATGTGATCAGAGGAGCGTTCGGTGCTGCTGCCGGTCTGCAGGTGAGCAGTCTGAGGTCGAGTCTCCTCGGCATCGCCCTGTTTGACCTGCCCGGGGTCAGAGGTCTCGGAGAGCGACTCGCTGGCTGAGTCAGCGGCTGCTGAAGGCCGAATTTCCCTGTCATGTCCCCCACACTCGACCTGCTGCGGGAAAACACAAGAATCATTATCCAGATGATGAGATAAGACAATATAATATTTATAACATGGCTCTTTGGGATACTTAAATGTGAACGGTCACTCACTGCATTCTGTGATCATATATTTTAGTATAACGATGCTAAAGTGTTTAGCGAACCTTTATCTCAGGCATGCTAGTTTCATGTTTCTTGTATCAATCCACTCTTTTTCTTCTCACATAATTAAATAATTTGCAATGATTCTGGTGTGACTGTTTAGAAAACGGTTACAATACTCCTTTTCTGCAGTATCGGTACACCGATAGCAGCGAAGCATTCTTGCTCTCTCTTCTCTTCGACGGCAAATTGACACACACTCACTCCGGTTGAATAGTGCTTGTATTGCACGTCTTTTCCGAGTATTTAGGTAAATGCAGTCAGTTTTGGAACATAACTAGTTGAGAGAACGCATGTTTGTAACGGTATATTGGATCCGTGCATAAACTCTTAAAGTGACAGCAGCCTAATAAACCTAAAAAAACACTCGCTGCTCTTGACTGAATAACTTTAATTGTAAGCATTAATCTTTATTTAATTTTTACAATGAAAACTATCCAGTGTTATTTTGCACTGTAATTTGATTACTTTTGTTTCTGTAGTATTTCTTACCTGAATACTGTTCGACCCACCTGAAAAACTTAAAGCCATGTTTATTTCATTTGTCCCTTTATTCTATTGTATTCATGTGTGCTATCATTAACCATTTGTTCTTATTTTATTACCGTTTACTTAAATGTAGTTAATTTAATCTGTTTGTAAATGTAGTTCAACGATTCAATTAAAGCCTCCTTATGCCATGTGCAAGATATTGCAACAAAAATACCCAAATTATCAAAAAGTTATGAGATAATAACAAATCTGTAAGGCAGTTTTCCCCGTGGTATCTAAAATGGTATCGAATATCGATATTTTTCAAGGTTTCGTATCGAAGTTGGAAATTTCAGTATCGTGACAACACTAGTTTGGAATTATTTTCATTTGCAAAATAGGGCAAAAACATACAATATTGACAATAGTGTGTCTAAAATGTAAGTTACTTAATATTAACTTCTTGTTCATCGAACTTTTGTATAAAAATCAACCTCATATTTGCAATAGTTCGGAAAACAGCAATCTTGCTCGTGTGAAATGTTCTAAATATTAAAATCAAGATACTGGGCTTTTTTTTTGCCCAGTATCTATGATTTTAGGAGCATTTTTATTCATTTTGGTGACATTTTTGACCCAGCTATTTACACATTTTCTTATTTGCATGAGTTACTCTTAAAATTATAGCTTTGTCATTAAACAAATGGAACGCATTTCTTCAGGCATGGTTAAAAGGTTTTTAATAATTACCTCAGCGTCCAGCTCCTTTTTCTTTTGCTCTCCTTCTTTGTCCGATGTAGAGATGTTTGCTGATGCTTTGGCACCATCCTCCACCTCAGGACACAGGCTGTCTTGCTTGGATGTGGTTTCTGTACCCGTTGAGTACTGAGCAGTGGTGTTAGACAGCTGTCTTGCAGCCTGGAGCCGGTGAGACTGCTGCCGACTCAGTGAGATGTAGTGGAAGTTGTATTGCTCTGCATTTAGCAGGTAACCGGGAAACGATAACCTCTTGAACTCCTGCAGCGAGGAGGCAGAGACGTGTTATTAAACAGCAGTGCAGAACATTATCTCGTTCTTGACCTTTCCTGGGAAGTCTTATCACCAATAATAGAGGTCATCGCATGAGTTCACACCTCTTGAAACTTTTCCAGTGACTGCTCGGGACCAAATACGAACTGCAGGGGAACGACCTCACAGTGGCACTGCGGGCGGCCGCTGGAACGACACACGTGCTCGGAAACTTTCTGCAGGGTGGAGGAATTGATGACAGAAGAGTGCCGTAGAGCAGAGACGATCTCATCCTCCAAGAGCCAACGGATCTGAAAGAGACAGGGTTATTATCGTAAACTAAATTAAACTCATTAATCTTAAACTAAAAGATAATTGTGACTTTTTATTTCACAATTCTGACTTGTTTTTCTCACAATTGTGATATTACATCATGCAATTCTGACTTTCTGACACAGAATTGCGATATATAAACTCTTTTATAATGACTTTTTTTCTCCGAATTGCAGGTTTTTATCTCACAATTCTGACTTTTTAGCATCTCAACTGTGACTTTATCATGCAAAAAAAGTCAGAATTGCAAAATGTAAACTAAATAAAATAAAAATGTAATCCATGGCGGAAACAAGCTTATATACAATAATATACAATATCCAAGCAAATATGCTCGTTTCCACCACTGAATATATATATATATATATATATATATATATATATACAGTATATATATACAGTATATATATATATATTCGGAAAAATACAGATTCTCCTCCTGCAATAATAAACGGTCCTGAACTTTGTATATTTCATATACGGTGCTTGGAAGAGTTTAACTTTCATTAGTGGTTCAATGATGAATAATTGTTTGAGATAATGAAAATATTTTTTTAATAATATCACTATAGTTTTTCATTTTCATTTAAATCTTTGCATTCTCACCTCATCCATGGTGGCTAAAACAGCCATTTTGTGTGGAATAGGAAGTTTGGACAGGGGATCTCCAGACATACTGCAGAAGATGACAAAATAAAGAGTTAATGCTCAAGATGTTTGGCAACAGATGATGTCTGTTGACCTCTAAACGCTGACCTTTCCACACCAACCCCACGCAGGCCGTCCAGGTTCCCCATGAGCTCCTCTTCAGAGCGATATGATGAGGGCTGTCCAGGGGAGCGGTTCAGAGACACACTGCTCTCAGACGTGTACCTACATGCACAGAGAACCATCATGATCGCTCGAGCTGAACCCATGATGCTCGTCTTTCATAAATCTAGGATAGTTCACAATCACTGACCGGTTGTGGCGGAAGTCAGGGGCCATGACCTCGATCTCCAGAGGTAACGTGAGCACAAAGATATCAAGAGTGACTGACAACTCGTTCAGATCCACCGACTGAAGATTCTCAGCGTTTTCAAGACAGGTTATGACTTCACCTGCAAACCATAGATGTATATTCACTAATATTATTAAAAACACGTGACCCAGATTAACACTAATCAGAGGGATACAAATTTAGATTAAAAAACCCTCAAAATACTGTATATGGTTCCTCTTCATCACACCAATGAGTTGTTCTTTATTTATATTATTATTATTTTAGTAATTTTGTTATGCACTTTTGTCATTTGTATTTTTTACATTGCTATTTTAAGGCATGAAGACTTTTTCTTTAAGGAAAAAACACTTAAATGTGTCATTTTGGTAATCAAAGATTAGTTTTAAGGGATAAAATGACTGTAGGAGGAATTTAAATGTCTGTAAGAGTAGGAAACAGGTTTAGTCAAAGGCAGAAAGCTCAGCAGTGTGTTGAGGGTCTTACCCAGACAGGTTGGCAGCGTTTGCGTGGGCATTGAGCCATGGCAGCTCTTCATGTTGACGGAGCAGGTGAGGTGTACAAACAGAGGCGGCATCTCCGGCTGCGGACCATCAGCCTCCAGCAGAGAGTCTCCGTCCAGAATACTGAAGGAATCATCGTCCTGGTTGACTGTGTTGGAGTCAGATGGAGATACGCCTTCACTTCCTTCCTCTTCTCCAGCCTCCGCTTTGCCATTCCCACATTCCTGATACTCCACCTCCAGATCCGTGTCACTCTCCGTCACGATGCAGCAGCCGGACACGTTCTCTGTGCATATGCAAAGGATTAACACAAGTAACATGTTATCATATATTTCTAGTTTACTAACAAGTGCAAAAGACTGCTCATATAACTTTACAAATAACATGAAATCAAAATGAACTCTATTAAAGTCCTTATTACATGTTTTAGTCTTGCTGTGAATGATTCATCAGTGATCGCAGCGCTTAAGACTAGGGATGCAGCGAATCCAGATTTGTCAGGTTCGGCCGAATACCGATTAAGATTCTGCCGAATCCGAAACCGAATACCGAATCCTACTCTCATCCTCAGTCCATTAACAAAGTAAACACATTAATGAAGTAAACAACGTGGATTTTTCATTTTATTTTATTTTAACTGTAAAAAAAAAAGAAAGAAAAAAAATGAATAAGCAACATTATGCATTTTAACAGCGGCGATGATGTGTATTGTTTAGAGTCCTTGCCACCATGAGACAAATTGGCATTGCAAATTGAACATGTAGCTCGACTTGAATGGCCTTCTTTTGACTGAAAGTACTGCTTAACAACACTTTTTCTGCTCAAAAGTTACATTTTCACTTTCTCACAGCCTACTGCATTCGAACGGTCCACCTACTGTAACGAGTGGAAATAAGATGTGTCCCCTTTAAGAGCTGCGCGCTCCCTATTGAACTGTCTGCAGTCTGTATTGTATGTGCCGTGCGCCTCGAACACCCCAAGTATGCGAGTTATTTCTGTTTGATGCTCATTGTTATCTTATTTTGTTAAGTAACGCTGTGGACAGTAGAACGTGTGACAGACAGTTACACGAGTTCGATTGGGGAATAAAGTGCGAGTTGTGAGATCCAGTCGCCTCCGTGAGTCCTCTTGACACAACGCGTAACACTACAGGCTTGTTTGACTTGAACTGGCGCTGTACAGACCGATCGGTTTATGACATCAAAGTACCGCGAGAGCATTTCAAAAGCATAAGGAGCCGTCTGCTCTCTATTCGCTCTGATGTCATACTGATGATATACTCTGATGTCATTCACCAATCGGTCTGTGCAGCGCCGGTTCAAGTTGAACAAGCCTAAGGTAAACACCTTCCTGTAATCAACGGCAGCGTGACATCGACGTAGCGCGCGTAGTGCAAGCCTAGGGTTCGGTGGAAAAAAATTCTAAGGTTCGGCAGAAACCGAACCCTGTTACAAAGCCCAATATTCGGCCGAATCCGAAACCGAATCCTGGATTCGGTGCATCCCTACTTAAGACCAAATCATTCATATCCAAAAAAACTAAAAAATAACCTTTAGAAGATACTTAATAAATCACAACAGTGGATAAAAAAAAAAAAAAATCATTCTGGATAGCAGCCTTCTTCAGTGCACCAATTTTGTGCATGCAATGAAAAATATGAACCAATAGAATTAGCTAACTTTTCAGAAACCAATGAACTTGAAACCATTGACAACATTTTTGTCGGCTTTCCGTGTTTTCATGTTATTCAGTAGGGGAGCTATTACACATCTTCTGAAAGAGTACAAGATCTCTGGATCAAAACACATGCAAAAAAGAAGCATAAACAAGCGATAAAAGCACTGCCGATCCACGTTGTAGTCTTCGAAAGAAAACATGATTTGTTCAAAATGTTGCTTTTTTAATGAAACTTACCCGCATTCAAGTATTGATAAAAAAAAAAGAATGCATAAAGCTAGAATAAAATGTTTTCGTTTTTTTATTTAAAAGCAAAGTCTCTGTTTTTTCTTTTGATATATTTCATGTTCAGATATTCATGCAACAACATATTCTGGGGGCCTTGAACGTTTTGTAAAAATGATCAATAATGCTGCCGTTGGCTGCCAACTTAAAAAAATAATAATAAAAAAAACGCTGGCGGGGAAAGAGTTAAAGTTCCATTCAACTCACTGGGTTGTTAAATCGATTTTTTTTTTTACTATTAATCTCTTTATGCATAACACATATTTAGTGAGGGAAAAATTTCTAAGTGCACCTTTAAATATGTTACAAATGGCATTAAATGTCAAATTAGTTACTGAACGTGAACTTTATCAAAACAGCCTGAGTTGGACCCTTAGATATGAAAGATATTTCTGATTAAAAAGGCCATAAATGATGTCTAACCGTCTTCTGTAGCCAGTTCAGCTTCAGACACCTCGCACTCTTCACTGGGTCTCCGCTCTCCTTCCCTGTCCGAGTCCTCCTGGAGAAGATGAAAGAGAGGAAAGGAAAACGGGTACTGAGTCTAAGGTCCCATTCAGGTACACAAGGTCTCTGGCTGTAAAGTTGAGTGCTAATGTGACAGTCAAACGTTTGATTGTGTAAGACTATCCGAGTTTCGTACACAGTTGTGATTTTGAGAAGGGTTGTCTAAATAAAATAAACCAAACTCTTTTGAGAATGTTCTACATATTGTCATATAAACATCCAGTAATGTGATGAGCTAAGGACAAAAAAGGAAGGAAAGTATCCATTTAATATCACAACACTAATACTGTGCCATCATTTTAATTATTTTTATTATTAAAAACTACATTTAAAATGACACAAATCAATAAAAATGCATTACTATTGCAATAATACTACTGTACTGTAAAATAAAAAAGTATTTAACAATTATAATAATATTTTACACAAAAAAAAAACAGTACAATTACAATACTAATATTTATGGCTGCCTTAATTTCTTTGCTTTTAAACTACAGAAAGTGTGTTGCGTTTTCAAATGCATGTTATAAGCGACCCAAACTCACAGTGCTTGCAGAGATGAAATCCGTATAAATACGGGAAAGAAAGAAAAAAACACATACCCAAGTAAGCACTCTGATGGATAAAACTGATTAAAATCGATAACTCATGAATTATTCCCTCATTAGAGACATTTTCTCATGAATCAGACTACATTGTTCACGCTGTGTGCTTATTTTTCCAACACAATAGAAAGGTGTTAATTTGTATTTATTTTGTCTTCCTATCTCATAAAAAAAATTAAAATGCATTTTCAAAATCACTGAAAGGAATGGAATGCTAAAATATTTCCATAACGCACCTCTTTTTTGGAAGATGGAAGGCAGTAAAAGAAATAATGTGGGTTGGACGGTACAGTCTTGAAATACTGAGCACCAATTTCCATGAACTTCTCCTGCAAAAATGAACAGAATGCGTGACATCGTTAATACACTTTTAAAGATGATGTTTCTACATCCCTTGCAACACTTGGTGTCTGCAGTACCTGTATGATTTTATGCAAATCAAGATACACTTCACACTTCTGCTGGGACTGGAGAAGAGACAGAGGGAATTCTGGGATTCTCTGAGACTTCGGTTCATCCAGGTCCAGCGGGGAGGAGGGGACAGAGAGTTTTCCTCTGGAATCAGCTTCGCTCCCGTCCTCCAGTTCAATACTTTAACAAAATACAAACTGGGTTAAAGGGGTGGTTCCGAATTTTGGACATCGGGCCTCATTTCCAAGTGAGCCTGGGTGTTATTTATCAGTGGAGACGGTTTTCAAAAATGTTCATCCAGTCGTTCCAGTTGCATAGTGCTAGGCTAGCGCGAGTCAACGGTAACTGCTAGCCTGCCATTAAAAACAGTTTTACCCACTCCACAGTACACCAAAAGCAAATACATTATAACGCCAGACTATCGATGTAAATGTCTGTTGAGAGAATAATGTTAGAAATCAAACTACTCTTGCATCGCATTGCAATAGTTATACTTTGTTCCCTGTATTTATTAGCGCACTCTACAGCAGCGGCGGAGTGATATTAAGTTAACAAGCCAACCGAGAGAGGTAGAGAGAGATAGTGAGAGAGAGAGGTAGTGAGAGAGAGGTAGTGAGAGCTAGTGTGAGAGAGAGAGAGAGAGAGAGAGAGAGAGAGAGAGAGAGAGAGAGAGAGAGAGAGAGAGAGAGAGAGAGAGAGAGAGGTAGTGAGAGCTAGTGAGAGAGAGAGGTAGAGAGAGATAGAGAGAGAGGTAGTGAGAGAGAGAGAGGTAGAGAGAGAGCTAGTGAGAGAGAGAGAGAGAGAGAGAGAGAGAGGTAGTGAGAGAGAGGTAGAGAGAGATAGTGAGAGAGAGAGGTAGTGAGAGCTAGTGAGAGTGAGAGAGAGAGGTAGTGAGAGCTAGTGAGAGAGAGAGAGAGAGAGAGGTAGTGAGAGCTAGTGAGAGAGAGAGAGAGAGAGAGAGAGAGAGAGAGGTAGTGAGAGCTAGTGAGAGAGAGAGAGAGCTAGTGAGAGAGAGAGAGAGGTAGTGAGAGCTAGTGAGAGAGATAGGTAGAGAGAGATGGAGAGAGCGAGAGAGGTAGAGAGAGGTAGTGAGAGAGAGGTAGAGAGAGAGAGAGAGAGAGAGGTAGTGAGAGCTAGTGAGAGAGAGAGAGAGAGAGAGAGAGAGAGAGAGAGAGAGAGGTAGTGAGAGCTAGTGAGAGAGAGAGGTAGAGAGAGATAGAGAGAGAGAGAGAGAGAGAGAGAGAGGTATGTATTTATTTATCTATTTATTAAGATAGATTGTGTTTATTTATCTATATATTTACAATGCTACATATGACATGATTTATACATATATGTTCACTGTTTGTTTTATTATTTATATTTAATATGCTTTGGCAACATTGTGTTACACAGTCATGCTAATAAAGCTAATTTGAAATTGAAATTAAATTAAATTGAGAGGTAGAGAGAGGTAGTGAGAGAGAGAGGTAGAGAGAGAGAGAGAGAGAGAGAGGTAGTGAGAGAGGTAGTGAGAGAGTGAGAGAGAGAGGTAGTGAGAGAGAGAGAGAGAGAGAGAGAGAGAGAGAGAGAGTGAGAGAGAGAGGTAGAGAGAGAGAGAGTGAGAGAGAGAGAGAGAGAGAGTGAGAGAGATAGAGAGAGAGAGAGAGAGAGAGAGAGAGAGAGAGAGAGAGAGAGAGAGAGAGAGAGGTAGTGAGAGAGAGAGGTAGAGAGAGAGAGCTAGTGCAGGTAGTCCCGACTGTACTGCGCTTCGGTTCTGTGTTTACTTTTCGGCGCAGCGCTACTAACCGGAGCAAAGTAAAATTCCGCCTGTAAATGTAATGCGATCATTGAGATGCAAGAGTAGTTTGATTTCTAACATTATTCTCTCAACAGACATTTACATCAATAGTCTGGCGTTATAATGTATTTGCTTTTGGTGTACTGTGGAGTGGGTAAAACTGTTTTTAATGGCAGGCTAGCAGTTACCGTTGACTCGCGCTAGCCTAGCACCGGCGAACTATGCAACTAGAACGACTGGATGAACTTTTTTTTTTTTAAACTGTCTCCACTGATAAATAACACTAAGGCTAACTTGGAAATGAGGCCCGATGTCCAAAATCCTGAACCACCCCTTTAAGGGTTTTCTGTTGTGTTAGCGCCGGCGGCCCCTAAGTTAATAACTAATGATCTTTGCAACGGAAATGAATCAATCAAAACTAACTATAGCTGGACAATATATTTATTCTAAAGCCAAAACAATCTCTGTTACTTTAATTTCCTATTATCACTGTAAAGCAGCTTTGAAACAATCTATATTGTTAAAAGCGCTGTATAAATGAAGGTGACTTGACAAACAATATCTAAATACAATGAAAACAAAAAAAGTCCCACAATGCTTTGCTCTGTGGTCAGTACCTGGATGAAGATACCAGTGTGGCTCTGTCAGCTCCATCATCCTCTCCCTCGCCAATGATGAAGGTGGTGGGACTGCTACTGGACTTGCAGGTCAGCTCGTGACGTTCACGGAAAACACGTACGTGTCCGCACAGGGTCTGCAGGAAGGAAGTGATGTCGATCTCCTGCAGCGACTCCTCGCAGTAATCCATGGCCGTCAGAACGTCCTGCGAGCTCACATTGTACGCCTGCTGCAGACTGCGGTAAACACCTGTCAATCAACACAGGCACATGGTTGATGAAATCATTCGCTATGAAAATGACACTAATTGCATTTTGCATAAAGAAAACTTAATAAGATTTTTTTAATTGTAACATTTTTATGAAAATTAAACACATTTTCTGCCCCAATTCACATTACTGAAATACATTTTTTTTAGGAATTTATACATCTTTATTATATGTATATTTGTCTATGTATTTCAGCATATTTTTTATATTTTATTTTAGACTATTACACATACAAATATATATATATTAAATAAATAAATACCATTAAAATTAAAGTCCAAATTAAAGGCATTTAATTAATATAATATATATATATATATATATATATATATATATGAAAAGTAAATCAAAGTTTTTTTATACATATAGCTGCAGCATATTTTTAATATTTTATTTTAGACTATTACACATAAAAAATATATATATATATTAAATAAATAAATTAAACACCTTTAAAATTAAAGTCTAAATTAAAGGCATTTAATTAATATATATACCGGTATATATATATATATATATATATATATATATATATATATATATATATATGAAAAGTAAACCAAAGTTTTTTTTTTATACATATAGCTGAAATAAATAAATAAGCAAAAATAGGAAGATTATTTTTAGCATTGTGACATTTTTTTCTTGACATTTTAATTCTCATTACAGCATTGAGACTTTTTATTTATTTATTAATCATTAATTAATTACATTTTTTGTAATTCATTATTCACAATGGCGATTGAGTCCAGAAACATAATATATATATAAAAAAACTTTGGTGAGAACATGCACTAAATAATATTTCTACTTTTTCCTTTTTTTCGTTCGTGTGGTTGAGCACCCTTATTGAGCTTTTTGCCCACTGGATGTGCACACATTTGTTTAATTCTAACTATACGTATATATGCATATGTTTGTGTGTGACCTTTGACATAGCTCTGGTAGTAGTGTTCCTGTAGAAGGCTGCAGTAGTTGGCCAGTTCCTTGTGTTTGTGAGGGTGCGTCATGAGCTCAGTCCAGGAGGAGGCGCTGCTGCGCTCCTGAGAGATTGACCTGCCAAGAGACACACAAACACACACACCAGATAACACGAGGCCACAATCTGCCACACATTTCCTGCAACACTACACCAGACACCAGCCTTAAATAGCAGAGACAAGCAGCAGGAATAGTCAGCAGGATATCTAATTCAAATATTCACCCACATGTTTAATATAGGGAAGCACCACTCTGGAAAACTGGCACTTTCTATCACTTATTTGAACTTTTGACATCAGATCTCCATTTTGCAGTTGAATCAGATCTACATTATACGACAGGCACAATGTTAGAAAATAATAAAAAAGAAATAAAAATTATATTATGGCGATTTATTACCAGATTCTGAAAAAGATATATATTGGCACCATCTTGAAAACAATCATGCTCTCTAATTTTCTGAATTTATTCATTTGGGTCTGCCTTTATTTATTACATTACATACAGAAAGAAGGTGATTATTGACCTTATTAAACACAATAATTTAAAATAAGTTCTAAATGGATGATTGCTGATGGTGTTCATTTTAAATATTAGCGGCCGATACATCGGTATTCCTGAGTGTAATACTTATATCAAGCAGCACTCCAGTGCAATAGTATTACATTTATCTACACCGTCCAAAGCATCATCAAATGTAAATACCGGTACTAGTCGTGTTTGCTGCTGAAGAGGACAGGAAAATATCAAACCAGCTTTAAGAGCATGCAAAACAGGTTTACAGCCATGAAGCAACAATATCCTAGAATATATGGCATAGGTTTAACTATTTCTTGTGGTCAACAAAGCAGGAAAAATACATTAAAAGGAAAAGCGAGGTGGAAAACAAGACGTTGAGGACACGAACATAAAATGTACCCTAAAATGTTTGTTGCACTGAGTATTCAGACACTACCACCAAGACAGTTGAACATACCAGATTAACAAAGACTCATTTTTTTCAAAGACTACTAACTTCATAAATAAAGAGGACAAAAGTTATAATCCAGTCATTTCACCCTAATTTTGAATGTCTTGGGATGTCCTAAATGTAAATGATGTCTACATGTTGGGAACTAACCTCCAAATTTCAGTATGTACACTATCAGTCAAAAGTTTGGACGCATCTAATCACTTTTACCATTTCAAAAACTCTGAAAAATTGCAAAGAAATGTGACACAAATGAAGCCTCCCTCATATTTGAGCTGCCTTATGTCTAGATTCCAGCTCTGCTTAATCGTGAGGTGCATCCTGGGATGCCGTTGAAACTGTATTGAAAATGCATGAACACGTGGAGCACATGTGATGGATATGCATTGTCGTATTACTTCTCCTTTTCCACATGTTATCAGAAAGTCAGAAACAGACATTCAGTCAAATACGTCCAAACTTTTGACAGGTACTGGACATCAGAAGGCAGAGAAAACAACCCTCAGCAGGAAATGAGGTCTTAAAACATATAAGACAACGTAGAGCAATCTAAATCACTGCGCGCCTGAATCAATAACAATATAGATCACAGATCGTAACATTTTAAATAACAGTTTTTCTATATGAATATATTTTTTAATGTGATTTATTCCTGTGATTGCAAAGCTCGACTGTCTCATGATCAGTAAAAAACAAAACAAAAAAACACTTAACGTTGATTTGCTGCTCAAGAAACATTTCTTATCATCAATGTTGAAATTTTTTGTGATACATTTTTTTTGCAGGATTCTTTGATGAATAGAAAGTTCAAAAGAACAGCATTTATTTGAAATAGAAATCTTTTGTAACATTATTAATGGCTTTACTGTCACTTTTGATCAATTTACTGCATCCTTGCTGAATAAAAGTATTAATTTCCTTCAACAAAAAAATAACTGAGCCCTAACCTTTGAACAGTAGTGCATATACACAGATAAAAGTTTGTTTTCCTTCTGTTATTTTAAGACCTCATACCCATACCTAAATCTTCTGAAGCCTGATACCCCCTCAGTCACCTTCCTAGAATAGCAAAACCCTCCAGAGAAAGAGAAAGAAAGAAGGACCATCCTTAGTGTAACAGGGCCGAAACGGCCCCGTCGTACCCCCCCCGCCGCCCCGCTCCCGCTATAGGGCAACAGCAGCAAGCAGTGAGCAGGGCTACCTGTATTTGGTCTGCTGACTGAACTCCCAGTTGTCTGTCTCTTGAGCTCTTCTCATCCAAAGAGAAACCAGACAGTAAAACATTAGGATGACCACATGATGGCCTCTGAATGATTAAACACAACAGCTCTGTCCCAAAACATAGCGAGCTGCCTACCTAGGCAACATTTTAAGGCCCATGTGAAATCGTGTGACATCATTTCGATCAAAATCAGCTCAAAATGAAGCTTGTTTTGGAGATCTCTTCTGGAGTTCGAAGCAAACTTTACAGAAAAGTTGACTCTGACTTGTAAATATCTTCGAACTACCATTGGTCCGTGGCGATTACATAATAGGTAGGTGTGGCTCTGCTTTCTTTGAGGTGGAAACCTTCTCTGGTTCATTTCTTCTGTAAAAACAAACTGGAGAGCTGCTTTATAGTAGATAATGAAGTTGTAATTCTAATTATTTTTTCTTGCTTAATACTGTAAAGCTGCTTGCTTTGTAGCAATCTATTGTATAAAGTGCTATATAAATAAACTAGTGCTTTCAAACCGCGTTTTTGAGACTTTTGAGACCGCGTTTTTGTCTTTGTTTCACTGCCGTTTTAAGGAGAAAATACTCAACAATGGTGTTGACTTATGAATTAGCATGTGGTTTGTCTTAAAGCATATTAAAAACACCACAGAAGCCCTATTCACATGGGATAAGTATTACCTGGTGACCTCTAGTCATTTGTAATAATTGCGGAGGTTGTCTGTGATCTTAATCCCGTGCGAATCGGCCATGTCTGTAATTTGTAAAGTAAAAATTCCCCCGCAAATGACCAACCATATTTCGCCGAACACCGAGGTCCTGTGATAATATTAGTCCCGTGCGAATCGGCATCTCTGTGATTTGGCGGGGTGGTTTATAATTTTTTCAATGTTTTTGTTTCCTGTGCGCTTTTTTATCCATCTTTCACGAAGAATAGAGGCTGCGTTGGAGTGTTTTGATAGTATTTTGGGTGCTGGGTCATATCGCTATACACCATACAACTATACAATTTGCAGAAAGAGAAAGCTGAAAATCATCAGAAGAGCAAAAACAAAAAGAATGATTAGATCGAGATGAATGACATGTATAGCAGCATACGGTAAGGACAATTCGTCTGTTTATGATATATCATATCAGCTAGACATATAATAACGACAAGACATTTCCAAGCAATAGCCTAATGACATCATATCCGGGAGATAAGTCAGTAAATTCGAGTAAAATCACAGGCTTCGCTTATCCCGTGCGAATGCGCCACACGAAATTCAGATGTGGGTGGGTAATTTCAAATTCACACGAGGTCCCCAGATTATACTAATCCCGTGCGAATAGGGCTATAGACATATAAACAACATTAAAAGCTGGATTTACACCACAGGGGGACTTTAAATGTAGCCTGGTCCCACCAGACTCTCGTACATTTCATTTGTACAGAGAGTCTGGCCTCGCTTCATTGACAAGCGTTAACTTCCTTGTAGGCGGGTCCTCTGTTGAAGTCTAAAACTATTGGATCTGCCATAACCAATCGCTGACGTTTGGTCGTGACGTATGACGACTCAAACTAGCGCACGACATCAACGTCATCGTCCTCAGCCACTCCCTCTGTTCGCTGATTGGCCCGGTAAAAAAATTGATCGGAGAAAGCCAAAGAATACAGCACAATCCCAGACGTAGTACTGAAGGAAAATGAAAATTGAGCGGAAGTACGTAGGAGGGCGGAGCCAGGCTAATTTAAATGACAGACAGCAGCAGGTTTATTAGGCTGCCGTCACGTTAAGGCCTGACGCAGATGATGTGGATCTGACACAAATACCATTTTCTCACAACTCTTTACGTTTATTTAAGACTTCATTTAACTAATATAAGAGGATACACGAGTAAATCGTTCAAGCGTGATAAGACACAAAAGAGAACTGGCGCGCGTCTGTGAATCTCCTGTCTGTGTGACACGCGCCAGTTCTCTTTTGTGTCTTATCACGCTTGAACGATTTAAAAGCATTTGCATGAATAAGAGCATGATCAGTGCTTTAAGAATGTTATTGATGCTTTTATTCAAAGCATGCAGTGTTTATTGTTAATAAAGAGCATTTAAGTTTCAGATGTTTCAGATTTCAGATGCTGTATTGGAAGGTAGTTGTCTAGGTAGGCAGAAGCAGGGCCGGATTAACCATTAGGGCAACTGGGCACTTGCCCAGGGGCCCACGACATCTAAGGGGCGGAGTGGCAATCGGGAGAGTCGGGAGTTTCCCCGGTGGGCTGGTAGTGTTTCGAGGCCGCGAGGGCCGGTCTGATAAAATGTATTCATTGCAAGTTCGCCGTGCGCACTTGTGGCCCAAGCGAGGGGAAGGAAAAAAAATATTTTAGATAACGGAGCGTATATTTGCACTAAGTGCCTGTGTTTTAAGTAAAAAGACGCCCGTCACGGAATAGCTACAGTGGCGTAGGTCCTAGCGTGTCAAGTGCATGAAAGCAGTTTTTTCCCGAGTTTTCAGCTCGACCCGAGTTCGAATTCGCCTTTTGCCGAACTCTCTCTTCTCCCTTTTCCCAACACATATGAGATGTAAAATGTATAACCTAACATAAAGGTCTCGAAACCATGATATGGCTTTGTGCCTTTATAAAACAGCACAATACTTTAAGAATAGGCATCCTGTTTGTGCTGGGTGATTTAAAGAAAAGTGTGCACTTTGCTCACGCGATCAGCATGGTTATCTGGTGTTTTCTCCTAAATAAAAGCTCAAGGGTTTATTTCTTGCAAGTGAAGAAATTAGGACAAAAGTATTTTAATTTTCCTGTATTATAGTGTAATGTAGACTAAAATATACTTTTGAAATATTCATTTTCATTTATAGTACATTTATAGGCTAAATGGATTTTATGTCATAGGAATAATTATATAAATCATTATTACATTATTATAATAATTGTTTGGCATCCTAAAACACCATTGATAATGTAATGTAGACTGAGACTCTCATAACTAAAAAGATGTTTGAGCCCTCTTTATTGTCCTGGTACAAATCAATGCTTTTTCTTTGTTCAACGAGCAGTTCATGGGTTGAAGCTCTTAATTTTGATCTCTCAAAGAGCACCAGATTGATGCATTTAACCTTAAAATGTACAAAATTTTCTTCCCCCGAACCCCCCTAGAGACACAGAGGTCCACCCAACATAGTTTTACAAATTCCTATGGGAAAGAACGACCATTTATGAACTTTACTCCAGCATAGTACAACAAAGTTCCTTTTAAGTCAGTAAAACTGTTAATGCCATATTAAAATGTCCTTGGACAAAATATACATTTGGCCTGCCTAAGGGGGGGCCTAACAAGACATTGTGCCCAGGGGCCTCTGAACTCTTAATCCGGCCCTGGGCAGAAGGCCGCTCTATGGGGTTTGGAACAGAGCTGATGACCAGAGACCTTCAATATATCATGTAGCTTTCATGTGGATGTGTGTCTCAGTACCTGAAGAAGACGTCTCTGGGCTTCCGTCCCGACCGCGGATGGACCAGCTGTTCTTTGAGGGAGTCCAGTGAGCAGTTGTAGATGTAGATGGGGCAGCGAGGTCGAGTGGCGTCGGTGCCGCTCTGCTGAGACACCTGTCTGCTGAACGTGATGTGACAGTCTCGCTTTTGAGGCTCCATAAACTGCACACCATCCTTCTCTTCTGAAGCTAAACGTTATGGGACAGAGTTATGGAGATAAACATCTCTCCCAGACATGTTAGGCCATGTTAAGTTTTTAATATTGTATTTTATTTCAGTTAACATTTAAGTAACAAAAAAGTTCTTTAACGGTTTTAGTTAACTGTAATAACCCTGATGTGAAATGCCTGTAAAGTCCCTTGTTTGGTTTTGGTTTCTGATATTATTGCAACTTTGTTGTGTCAAACCTGCATCTGTTTGTTCTGTAGACGTCTCCAACGCTGCTTCTGGTTTAGCTGTGGACCCCTCTCTGGACGCAGGGTGGCCCCTGACATCTTCTCCATGTTTTCCATTGGCTGAACTGCTGATAGAGTCTGCCTGTGATTGGCCGTTGCCGTGGCTACAGGTCTCATCCTCTTCCAGGAAGCTGCTGTTGATTGGAGGTTCAGTTTCCAGCCCAGATGACATCAAAAGCTGCACATCTGCACAATCAAAATAAAATATATTTGTGTGTTTGTGTATGTATGTGTGTGTGTGTGTGTATATATATATATATAATTATTAATAATTATATAAATAATTATCAATAACAACAACAGTAACAACAATAATTATTATTAATTTATATTTATATATGTAAAAAAAATTCTAGCAATCTATATGGTTTCAAATTTATTTTATGTTCTCTAACAATGGCATTTACAAGTATTAAAGTATTAAAGAAGTATTAAATACAACATTCACCAGTTGGTAATACTAGTTTGGTAAACTGTGGGCATGTTTCTTGCTTTCAGCCAAGAGTGTAAACGGCTAAATAGAAAGCATTAATCTCATGATGTGTGCAAACCTAAAAGGACAACTGAGTTCTAATTGGTGTGGCATTGACAGATGATGCACCTGTAAATGTAGCTGGCAGGAATGTGAGCAGGATCTGCTGATGGCTGATGTATTTGGCGTAACATTTCCAGTGAGGAGATAAGCCGTCTTGCTCCAGGCCAGCTGGCTCGTCATCCACAAGATCTGCATTGCTGAAACTCTGCCAGGAACAGAGAAACACACACTGTAACCACTCTGCCAACAACAGAAAGATAAAAACACTACTGTTTAAATAGGCCATGAGATGGGACCCCAAATTTGGGCTACCGGTACCATTTTGAGGGATTAAATTTATTTTTGATTTTCATGAAGGTACACATCTCTAGAGTTGGAAAATGTGTGATAGCATCCGATCCATGGTAGCTTTCATTAGAAATCAACACTTATATCATCCTACCTCAAGGTAAGGTGTTCAGTGACTACAAGAGAGAAAAATTGATCCTTTTATAATTAAAAAAATTTATTTTAAAAAAATATAATTTTTTTATTATAAAAATTTATAAAAAAAATTATAATTTTATAAAAAAAAATATACATTTTTATAAAATTTATTTAAAGATAAATTCATTTATCCTTTTTCTTGACATATGTTTGAAAATCGTCCTCCGTAACCAAAAACTACCTTGAATCTAATGCTATCACACATTTTTCAAATACAGGGTCATATACCTACACAAAAATCACCATGCGGTTTAATCCCTCAAAATGGTACCAATCAATCGTCTCACGGCCTAAAAGGTTTGGGGCCAGGATTTTTTTTTTTTTTTTTTTTTTAAGAAATTATAACATTTATTCAGCAGAGATGCAGAGATTAATCAAAAATGATAGCAAAAGCATTTATAATTTTAGTCAAAGACAGTGGGTTTGTCCCAATTTGCATAATTATGCACTATTCTATGCTGTTTTGTAGTATAAATAGTGCAAGTAGTGCGTTCACACTGAAAATTAAACAACAAAAAAGTGCACTTTAAATACCCGGATGATGCACTTAATTAACCAGGGGAAAAAAGTGTGGAATGTTAGACACTTCATGTACTCGACTGCACAGCTTAAATTACATGGTTGAATGATAGCACAATAATAGCACATAGTGCATAAATGCATAGTTTATAAGTGCACAGTGTATAGCGTGTCATTTGGACGCAACTAGCTTTTACACACACGTGTGGACGGGCATTTGAACTCTAGTGGAGATGTAATATGAGATGGCATTACCTGTAGTGTGCTGGAGGAGCCCGTCACATCTTTACTGCTTCCTATAGTGTGGAAAGAAAGAACAGTGTCCTGCCTCTCCGGAGGCTTCAAACTCTCTTCTGAACACACACACACACAGATAATAACATAATGAGAATAATAATCTCTTCTTATGTCACTATCAATTGTTAATGAATCACTTAAAGCTTCATTGAGGATGTCTGGCATCCATTAGCATTAAGTCTTTCAATTACGCTGTTTTTTAATCATCTACTTAGTTAAAACATTTTGTTTGTCCTTCACTGATCACAATGCTATTCAATTTATCAAACACTTTGGCAAGAGTAAATGCAAACCACAAACCACCTGGGGTTGTTATCCGTTTCCACTTTCCAGAAATTAAGGAAATGTTCTGGGTTTAATACAACTTTAGTTCTATTAGGACAAACTTACGCAATAAACCCCATGAAGCCGTGGTTTATAGTGAAGTTAGCTCCGTTATAGTTCGGAGCACTATCCTTCCTAAATCATGGTAGTTAACCAATATTAATGGAGTAGGGATGTGCCTGAAAACCGAATACTATGTTCGGAAAGGAAATTATGTATTTTCTGAGCCCCTAAAGGGATGCGGGAAAAATTTGAGATGGGGTGAAAAAAATATATTTCAATGCTTTTGTATTCTCTCGCAATTGACTTCTGGCTAAGCCACGCCCCCTCCACTCACTTGGACAAACAGTCAACATTCGGTGACAGGCGCTGTCACAGTAGGAGACATTTCACAGGAGGCAATTGATGATTTTTGGAGACAGAAAGATTATATATCATCTCGAAGTCACCAAAAGGGCCTTAACTATTCATTGGAGGGTTATATTAATAATTTTATTGTTGAGAAGGTTGATGAAAAGCTTCAGCTCCAGGCAAAATTTACAGGACACAGTGTAAACGTGATAAACGTTGCCATCACCATCTCAGACAACAAGATAGAGGATCAGCATTGTTCATGCACTGCAGTATTTACATGAATCATTCAGCACAACATTGCTAACATTTTTTATCTCGGTTATTTACAGATACGTTAATGAAGCTAAGTGACATGATGTACAACACAGCTAGAAGCTAACATCAAAGTTTTCTGATGTTAGGCTAACGTTAGCCTAAGGTTACGTTAGAGATGTTAAAGATAACGTTCAAATACGTTGTTGACTTAGAACAGATGTAGACATCCTTGTTTAATTCTTGTTTAATTTAACCACGTTTAGTTGGTGTTGTGGTCTACCGCATAACTTTATCCAGAGCAGACACTTATCTCGGTTGAGATGTGGCTTGGGAAAGGGTAAAAAATACACACCGGCGCCCTGCCTCTCGGGATACCTAGTGTCGGAGTTGCATGTACACCGTTTGACCATTTTAAACTTAAAGGATTAGTTCACTTTAAAAAAATAAACTTTTGCTGATAATTTACTCACCCCCATGTCATCCAAGATGTCCATGTCTTTCTTTCTTCAGTCGAAAAGAAATTAAGGTTTTTGATGAAAACATTCCAGGATTTTTCTCCATATAATGGACTTAAATGGTAGCCAAACGGTTCAAGGTCCAAAAGACAGTTTCAATGCAAACTGCAAACTGTTCAAATGGTTTTAAATGACACCAGACGATGAATAAGGGTCTTATCAAGCGAAACGATCGCTCATTTAAAAAATAAATAACAACGTTTAAGTTTTATAAGCTCACATGCCCGCCTTGCTCTGTTCTGTGTGACTCTCCTGTTCGAACTCGTTCATCAAAATGAACAAATCTTTTTCCGAGTCAATTCGTTCATTTCGGTCGTTAAATGAATCAAATGACTCGAAAAAAGATTTGTTCATTTTGATGAACGAGTTCGAACAGGAGAGTCACACAGAACAGAGCAAGGCGGGCATGTGAGCTTATAAAACTTAAACGTTGTCATTTATTTTTTAAATGAGCGATCGTTTCGCATGATAAGACCCGTATTCATCGTCTGGTGTCGTTTAAAGACATTTTAAGCTGCATCTGAAACTGTTATTAACTGTATTTTGGACCTTGGACCGTATGGTTCCCATTTAAGTCCATTATATGGAGAAAAATCCTGGAATGTTTTCATCAAAAACCGTAATTTCTTTTCGACTGAGGAAAGAAAGACATAGGCATCTTGGATGACATGGGGGTGAGTAAATTATCAGCAAAAGTTTTTTCAAAAGTGAACTACTCCTTTAAAATGATAAGAAAAAAACATAAAAAAACGAATGAAAACTGACTAACTGCAATGCATTTCAATGGACGTGGAACCAGAGAATGTCCGAGTGTTTTGGGTTAGCTATGCGCACTGTGATTGGCTCATTGTGTTTGGGGGCGTGGCTTGGCCATAGGTCAATTCTATAGTTGGGTAATTACATTGTATCTAATTTGCAGGCATCAGGGAGCCGCAATCAATATGCGGGGTAATGAAATCACTTTTGAACGCACGTTTGCTCGAATTTGCGTGTTCTCTGTGTACAGACCTTATGCACCAGAGAAACGAGGGCGCCGCCATCTTTAGAATATTGTCTTTGAACTTCCGTTTTTGCGGTTGCTCTGTATATTTCTATGGCATCGCTGTCCAGGAGTAATAAGCTGGTGAAGTTGATTTACTTATTGTAGAGTTAACTAAAGTTATCATGAGCATTGTAATGTTTATGATAAGCATTGTAAAGCATATCTTAACAAATGGACCTTGGGAATTTTTTTTAACGAGCCGTTCATTCATAACTAGGCAAGATCGCTGTGAAAATACAGACCGGAAGTCAAAAGACAATGAGCTCAGCGCGGAAAAGGGGCGTGGCTACATAAGGTCTATAGGGAGATAAGATATTTGTCAATGTCGCTCAGGATCGGTTTCACACCAAATCCTCCAAAATCATCCTGTCAGTCATCCCTACTAACTATCTTAACATGATAAGTGAAATCTGATGTATTGTAATGTAACCGACTACCACAGCAAGCCTAATTGTAGTCCATTTAGGGGATTATGCTTACATTACTCATTTTCTGTGCCTTTCCGAATTCGGATATAGGCTTCGGGCACATCCCTATACCATTCAAAAGTTTGGGGTCGCTTAGATTTTTTTAATGTTTTTGAAAGACATCTCGTGCTCACTAAATCTGCATTTATTTGATCAAAAATAGAGTAAAAATTGTGAACAATTATTACAATTTATAATAACTGTTTTCTATTGGAATATATTTTAAAGTGTAATTTATTCCTGTGATCAAAGCTGAATTTTCAGCATCATTACTCCAGTCTTCAGTGTCACATGATCCTTCAGAAATCATTCTAATATGAGGATTTGATGCTCAAGAAACATTTATGATTATTATCAATGTTGAAAACAGTTGCACTGCTTCATTTGTTTATGGAAACTGTGAAGCATTTTTTTTCAGGAATCTTTGATTAAAAGAAAGTTCAAAGTTAACATTAACTAAGAATAATAAATGCTTTAGAGGGATTTTTCATTGCTAGTTTTTAATTATTTTAAATAATGTAGTTAACTAATGTTAACAAATTAACCTTATTGTAAAGTGTTACCAAAAAATTTTGAATGGTAGTGTAATTTGTATTTCCCTGCATGATCGTCATATACACCAGAATTAAAAAAAAAATACAATTAAATCACCTTTAATGACAGGTAGTGAGAATGGAGCCACATGACCATCTCTCTCCCGCTCCAGGATGTGATGCATGAACGCCACATGATCCTCGTCGGTCAGTGGGATCTCTCGATCACTGAGCTCGTTCTGCAGAGAGCCGTGGAAGAGGCTGAGGAGGAGGTCGTTGGGCAAAGAGGAGGCACTATGGGATACATCCGCCTGCCCCTCTGCAGCAGAGGTTAAAGGTCAACAGAAACACAGTGAAACCACGCCCTGATTTGATGGTTGAATAAAGGAAAATGGGTAACACTTTAAAATAAGTTTCATTAGTTAACAACCTTAGTTAACATGAACTAAGAATGAACGATACTTCTTCAGCATTTATTAATCTTAGTTAATATTAATTTCAACATTTAATAATATGTCATTAAAATCAAAGGTTGTATTTGATAACATTAGTTAATGCAGTGTGAACTAACATGAACAAACAATGAACAGCTGTATTTTTACTAACATTAACAATGAATAATAAATTCTGTAACAAATGTGTTGCTCATTGTTAGTTCATGTTAGTAAATACATTAAGTAATTGGCTTAATGTGTTATTTGGCAAGTGACCATGGTATAAGCGGGTTAATGCCCGACGAGGTGTCCATTGTCTAGGTATTAATGGACGATGGCGAGGCGTGACGGTTGCCTCCGCCGAAGTCCATTAATACCTAGACAATGGACACCTCGAAGGGCATTAACCCGCTTATAACATGGTCACTTGCCAAATAACACATTTTTAAAACATTAGTTTATATTTTAATTAGTTTTACAATCGAAATCGTAAGTTTTTACAAACAATAACTTGGTTTCCCTGGTTACGCCTAGCAACCGGAGATATTTATAGTCCGCTCAGCTCGTAGAACCCTTCAGTTTAGCTAACTTACTTTGTTGCTATGGTTACTCACAGCTGATGCAGCCAGCGCATTTATTTATTAATTTCGAACGGTAAACAGTCAGTTTCACCGGAACTCCTTTACTAGGTGTCCTCTATCACTTTTTAATGGACACCCTGCAGCCAATCAGAATCGAGTATTCACCCAGACCATGGTATAACTAATGTTAACTAATGAACCTTATTGTAAAGTGTCACCGGAATATGAATGCAAGAAGGGTCGAGGTGGGTGAATGATCAAGTCGTACCTCGGCTAAAGGTGTAGAAGAAGAGCTCTATCTGCTGGCACTTGGGCAAGAGTTTCATCAGGTCAAACTGGAAAGGCACAGTGTGTATGCAGTCGTCAGCGGCGGCGGGGACCTCGCCTGCAAGAGTTACCACATCACATTGAGCATCCAAACTGATTGAGACGGTGTGCAGGAGACATGTGATGGTGGACGTTTGTACCTGGAGCATCTTTGAGGCTGTTGAGAGGGCACACCTGCTCTTTATTCTGACACAGCTGAATGAGGTATTCAAAAGTGATCATTGTGGTCATGCACGACAGATCACAGGGAAAAATCTGAAGTGGAGAAAAAAAAAAAAAAAATTCCCTAAGCTTTGGCACTGCAAGTTCTCAGCAAAAATGCCTGAATACATTAAAGTCATATTTTGGCCATATTTTCAAAGTCTTTCTGGTGTTATTGAGCACAATTTCTTATAGCAAAGAAAAATAATCTCTCTTCAAAAAGTCAGAACTCTCTTCGTCTCTGAAACGGATATAAACAAATACAACACGAGCAGGCAAAAAATAATAGATTAATAATTCTACAATAATCAACCATTCTTGCCTTAATCCCTATTAGTTTGGTCATTCTTTCTCATATGGACGTCTGTAAAAATAACTCACGGCTACTTGGTTGACTAGTAAACGTATTAGTCATACAAGCCCTAATTTATATAAATGTATATAATACATACATTAGCATTGCATTGTTTACCTGTTGCTGCCATTTTAAAGGCCCATTTCAAAAGCTTTTGAATTTGTGCACTTTTATTCTTTTTCTTAACATCTCCGTCTCGCTGTAGTGGAGCGGATTTAAGAAATGACAGAAAATATCAGTTTTTACTTATTTTACTGTATATTCACTGAAAAGTTCACTCAGAAATAGATTATAGAACTTAAAAGCTTTGTCACTGCCAATTTATGAATGCTCGTGTCAGGGGTAATTATAGTTAACTAAAACTAAAACCATAAGAAAAAAAGGTTATAATAAACTGTAACTTTATTTCAGTCTCATTTTCATTTAGTTTAACTTAATGTACTAAAATAACTCAAACTAAAGCTGAAATACAAGTTAATAAAAACTAGATAGACATTTAAAAATAATTATAACAATAAAGTTAAAAAAGAAACAAAATTAAAGCAAAATATTAAAATACTAATTCAAAAATATTAATAAAAACTATAATAGTACCTCAATGATCCAAAATAAAACTGTCTCAGGTAAAATTAATATTATTGATCACTGTCAAGTCCCAGAATTGTGTAAAATAGGTACAATTGCGAGGCATTTATTAGAGCTGCACGATTCAGTATTAATCAGCGTTTTTGAACAAATGTCTTGAATGAATGATTCAATGACAAATAAATTCTTAACAGTCACTTGTCGCCACCTACTGGTGTAACGATGTAATCGATACAATCATTTGAAGCGCCAAGTCACTTATAAAAGGTGATTCACTCTATTTTGATCGCTTCCGTAGACATCAGTGTTTTTATCCGAACTATTAACTTTCATCCCATTACTTCTGTGATCATTTAACATATTGTAAGACAGAAATAACAATACTGTGTGGTTGAAAAGACTATTTGTGAAGCGGTTTCATACATATACGTGATAACTGCGTGCAAACAGATTTGAGAGTTCGCTGTGATTGCACTTATCTAAGGTTTAATAGACAGATCTGAATCATTGTCATTTAGGAATAAGATTATGTGGGTGTTTGAATCGGGATTAATCGTCTAGCTCTAGCATTTATTATTTTAGTTTATTTTTCAATGGTATTTGATGTGTAAGTGGAGGTGAGGCTGCTGGTTACTAACAGCCTGAGGAATCTCCTGGTACGTGAGGTTGTGAAAGTGCCTCTGCTGGTCCTGTGAACTGCAGATGGATCCACTCTGAGGCTCAACCCAGCACTCAGTCACCAGACTCAGCTCTGTGTCCACATCTATGGCCTCCACTTCAGTATCATTGTCATCATCTGTGGAGAAACTTTAGGCACGACGGCAACAAGAGTTAAACCAAAAGCCCACTTCAAGACTATTCTGCCACAAAAAAAAGCCAACTGTACTCTTCTGGTCTATTAATTGACTTGTAATTGATGCACCTAGTAGGTGATTAGCTGTGAGTACCAACAACATAAACAATATTTAAATGTGTAATTGGTTTCTGTCTTGTACTGTGCGCTGAGCCTTACCTATCTATTCTAAATAGGGCTGTGAAACGATTAATCACGAATAATCGCATCCAAAATAAAATAAACACATATATATATATATAAATAAACACATATGTATATATTTAAAGGAGAAGTCAGGCGCAAAATGCTAGACAGTTTAATAAGAAGATATTTTAAACATACAGTCAACTTCGCGTATACAGGCAGAAGCCATCTTTGAAAAACAGTCTCTACCAGTCGATCTACGAACGCCGATCCAAGTGCGCTGGTGAGATGTGAACGAGCTATAAGTTGTGATAAGGTGAGCGCGAACAGCAGGCTTGGATCGGCGTTCGTAGATCGACTGGTAGAGACTGTATTTCAAAGATGGCTCCTGCCTGTATACGCGAAGTTGACTGTATGTTTAAAATATCTTCTTATTAAACTGTCTGGACACTTACAAAGTTCTCAATGCTTCGGTTTGAAGGTAGGGACCCTCATAATGCTACCGTGGTAGTGTGGGGCTATTTTGAGCCTTGTTAGTGGTATTAACAAGCGATTTGTGTTTGTCATTACACTATGCCCAATATACTAGCGTTATACTAGCTTTATAGGCTAAACTGTTTTTAGAGATAAAACTATTTACATTCGATAATCATGAAAACAAATCTCAGATAACAGTTGACTAGGTAACAATGTGTAATTAGACCAAAGGTTCATTTTGCGCCGGAGTTCTCCTTTAAGAAAAAATGTGTTATTTATATATATTTATACACTAAATATTTATATATTTTAAATATTTATAAATTTGTACACACACATATATTATGTAAATACAAACTTTTATTTTGGATGCGATTAATCGTTTCACAGCCCTAATTCTAAACTATTAAAGCATAAGAAACATTCAGCTGAAGCCATTTAACCCTATAAAGCCTACTGTATCATACTTGATGTGCAAATTTCTAAGGGTCTAAATTATCAACATGATCAAAACTTTGCTGAAAATCCTGCTGTTCACAATCTACTACATGCCTTCTGTCATCTGATTGATAGTTTATCCTGTACGATAGTCTAAAACGTCCTTTGGGTCATGGTTCTTTTTATATTGCTGTGAAATCTCTTATGATTTTTATAAAGTAAACGTAAAAATAACTTTAATATTGTTAGTAATATTTCATTTACTGGACAGAAGCAACTCAGGTTTACTTGTTTATCCATACTTCTTTCTTTTTTTTTTAAATCATGTTCAAATGCATCAATTATGACACATCAGGCTTTTTTATGTTTTGTGAGACATATTATTGGGAGATATAGAGTGACAAGATCTGACAACTGATATTTATATGATTGTATGCAAGTAGTTTCACTAATGTTATAAAGATCTCATGGACTTCAGAAATCCATCTTTTAGCCACATAAATATCAGCATCTGCACCAAATCGTATATTTTTGCTCAGTTTTGTCCTCAGAGCTCCGTATTCTAACTATATCATACTATATGAGCCATAAAAGCCTAATGTATTAAATATGATACTCAACAAAAACACATATGCAAACTTTTTTGTGTAAAGTTGTGCAAGTAATTATTTAATCCACGGCTAGCCGCTTATCCCGCTTATGCGATGGTCATTTGCCAGCATTGACAACATAAAGCTGTTATTGATGTTTATCAACAACAATATTTGATGGGAAGGGAATTAAACTGACTTGGAACTACCTGTGCATTAAACGGTTTTATTGCACACCTTTCAGCCAATCAGAATTGAGTATTCAGACAGACCATGGTAAAAAGTTAAATCTTTTGTGTAAAGGTTCAATAAACAATTCAGTTTCAAAAAATAATATTCCAGGCTTTACATGGTTAAGGATTTAGCAGTGGACAGAAACTCAAGTTTCTCATTACCTGTCCTTGGTAGAAGTGTAATGAGGTGGAAATAGGATGTACTGGACTAAGCAGGAGTGTTTTTCTCCGTCCAAATCAGCTGGAAGACTCTGCATACACACAGTAGTGGCTGAAAGTTAGCAATGCATCGCCAACAAAATGCTACAACTGGGTTATACTAGCAGAGAGTGTTTATTCTTTCACCTGCATTGGCAGCTCTGTCACCATGTTAACGATACCCTCCCCGCTGGCAGCAAAATGGAAGCCTTCAGACAGACGAATACTGTGCAAAAAAAAAAAAGTAGCAATTAGTAATTTTGTAGATGCTTTTATCCGAAGTTGCTTATTTTGGATTTACATTACAAGCTTTCGTAATTTTACGATTAAAAAATTACGATTGCTTATCTTGGGAATTTCCCAAGGATGTTTCAGACTCACTCAGAGAGCATGGAGAGGATATGAGCGACTGCATGCAGCGATACAGCGGTTCCCGGCCCGTTCTGCACGGCCCAAACCCAGCGCTGGTGAAGGAAGTATCGGGAGAGTGACGCCACGGTGGAGGAGGCCGTCCTGCTGGCAGCCATGCTGAGAGGGGCGCCCATGATGGCCGGCTGGGCGAACGGCTCCATGTTTAGGATAAAAGGGGTGTGGAAATCTGACGGAAGTTTCTCGTACCTGTAGCAGGACGTCAGAACAAGATTAGGGGCCAGATTTGGGCTCTAACTGAAGTCAATGTTCTAACTGTAAAACTAAAACTATTAAAAATATTTTTTGTTTATTGAAATAAAGTTAAAATTAAATATAAAAATTTTATGAAAACTTAAAATTATAAATGTTGCCTTGGCAAGTAACTGAAATAAAGTATACGGTGAAGAACTAAAATTACTGAAACTGAAATAAAATAAAGACAAATTAAAATATTATATATGTTTTAAAAACTAATAAAAATGATAAAAGCTTATAACAAAATTACTGAAACAAACTGCAATTAAATTGAAAACTGAAAACATAAAAAAAAAATACTATAATAGTATATATAACAATAATAATTAAATAACATTGATTGAAGTCTACATGTTCGCAAACCATTGTACTTACCGTATATAATGTGACATTTTGGTGTAAAACAGAATATTCAATGAGAAAAGCATGAATCTTTGGAATTTAATCCAGTTAATCAATCAGTAATTGATCATGAAAACTGTAGGAGTTAAACTCCTATAGGAAATGTAAAAAAAAAAAAAAAAGTAAAATAAAATGGCTTGGTGTCAGCCAAAAAGAAAAGCCATTAGAAAATAAGGTCAATTTTGACGTGAAGTTGACTGTAGCGCTGTCATAACTTTTTGTACATGCTAAAACCGTTATCAAGATAACAGAAATGAGATTGATAATTGTTTTATGTTTACGTCACTGACCTGATCAGTAGTTTCTCAAGAGGTTTGTTGAGCACCACCACACACGGCCGGTCAGAGAGCGCCGGTTTGGGCACCGGAAGAGGCGGAGACTTGGAGGGTGAAGCGTTACCCAGAATCTTCCGTTTGGTCTTTGGTGTGGCCTCCTTATTCTGGACTCGATGAGGGAAGCGCAGCCGCAGGATCTGCTCTCGAAGTTCATCCACGATCTACAAACAGATCGTCAGAGTTGCTGTACTGCACTGTTCTGAAAGCAGTTTTCACATCAAATGAACTGAACTCTAGTGTGGAAAACGCTGACTCACCTTGTTCCTGGTGTGTGCAAGAGTTCCTATCGGGAAGCCCAATCGCAGCACCATGCAGGGAGCTTTAGAGATCAGACGCACCAGATAGAAGGAGACGGGCGGCAACTCAGAGGCACTGTGGGAATAATGCTTGTTAAAACACTGCTCTGTAAATCTGGCAAAAGTACTGTGCATGTACCTGTAAATAAGTTTGACGTATGAGTATCCCTCCACCAGGACGAAACTGCTCCAGTCCCTGAGCAGCGAGGTGAGCGCCGAGTGAGAGATCCGACACTGGACGGTACTGAATCGGCCATTACTGCCAGCGTTGTGCACATGCTTCGGGACTGGGCTGAACAGAGAGACATAAAGCAAAGAGGGATTTATTAACCACTGACTTTTATATGGAGCACTACCTGTACCTCCAAACCAAGTCTTTTTATACCAACTCAACGTGTTGTCAGCTAAAAAGGAAAGCCATTTCAATAATTTCTCTTCAGACTAGTCATGTCACCTTAATTTAAATAGCGCTTTTAACAATATAGGTTGTTTCAAAGCAGCTTTACAGTGATAATAGGAAATTAAAGTAACAGAGATTGGTTGGGCTTTACAACAGCTCTAGAATAAAGTTATTGTCCAGCTTAAGTTAGTTTTGATTGATTCATTTCCGTTGCAAAGATAATTATTTATTTATTTATTTATTTATGAACATTTATTAGAGGATCAGCCCCATGAGATGAAACATCTCGTTTTCATGGGGGTCCTCAGGATCATGTCCAAACAATATAGAAAAGCAAAACAACAGAGTAGATACAAAATACAAGAAACAAGACAAACCTCAACGCACGCACTCACACTCATTCACCCCCTCACACCACACACACACAAGCTCTCACTATCCCCACTCTTCACAGATAGAGTTAAAGTAAATCACAGTGGTTCCCTAACTGTGGTATGTATACCACTAAACAGTAAAACCCTTTTTAATCTTAGACTAAGCATGATGGTGCTCTGAAAGTCAAGCATTTTAAGAGTGGTATTAAGTGTGAGATGTAAGAGAACAACTGGTGTAACATATTGCAAAACACAATAATAAGTTATTAAGTTAGGGGCCGCTAACACGACTGTTCTGACAGAAAACCAGAAAAGGGCAAATTGCAGGTTAGAGGACCCAACGAGTCAATGTATAGAAAAATAATCTAGGATCTAGATTTTCTTTAAAATATACTTATAAATAGGCTACAGAGAGAGAGCAGGGACAGGCCAGGACTAATGTCAGACAGCACGGTCAGAGACACCATGAGTTGTGGTGTGAGAACCAGTGGAGAACAGGACAGGTGCTTGGTGAGAGACGTGCTTATAGATATACACGTTCGCTAACGATATACACTGTGCTCACAATATTGTACAGATTATTACCATCGTATATATCAGGCCAGCAGACATTAGTATGTTTAGGGTATATACTATTAAATGTATAAAAACTATACTTGAGTATATTTCTATTGTACTAAAAATATACCCTAGTAAATTTTTAATACATATTTTTCACCTGGGTTATAACATAAACAGGTTGTTTAAATATTCAAATCTTTAATTTTCTGAGTAATTTTGTTTTTCAATTACAAGTTGCCTCTATTTAGGGCATGACTACCTATATCACACTATTTCATGCCATTGGTACAGTATTAGACGATCAATATTTTTGCTTCGGCATCCCATGTTGAACTCCATCATATCGCCGGAAAAGATAATCCTCCGATCTGAAGTGAACGCTACACACAACCGCGTTTTTCGAAGCCGATGTGGAAGAGAAATCCCGTCTCTTCACCTGCACAAACCGCACCAGGCACGAAAGATATACAGCACCGTCCCTTTTCTTGTTATAGAAACCTGTGGACTCGATGTCTTGACAGGCCGGAGTTTTTGCAACCTCCACAAACAATAATTTACCATGACGATGATAAATTAAAATACAAAAACTACCGAAAACACACTGACTCACGGCCGCTCTCACTGAAGCCTACTCTGCACTGAGCCGAGGCTGAGGCTCCCTGGCGTGACGTAAAATGACGCGTTTTTGGGGAAAAAAAGCCGTTTTTACGAGCAGTCCAAGAAACGCTCACTTTATCTACTAAATTAGTGCCCTTATGTCGTTTTAAAACATTTTAAATCCTGCATTAACTTTTCAAATGGTATTTTCATACAAGGTTATATATTAATTGTGATTTTTTTATTTTTTTTTACCTGCAATATGCTCTTTAATGCGCTCCGGGTACCTAAAAAAAAGTTATCTTCTCCGCACAAACTTCAAAAACGCGAATATGTGAAAACGCTGACGGCGTGCACATGCGTATTAGGTGTTTAGTCTATAGGTATGCGCATTTCAATATATGTGCGCAGGCGTGTAGTCTTTCTTTACAAATTGACCTCGACAAACTACCTGTCTGGCCTTAAAATCATAATACAGAATTTTTTTTTTATCACCTCCGTGTGTCCATGCGAAACGGAATTAATTTGACAACGTTTTATCTGTCCAGAGGTAAAGGGAAGATACTAACACGCATCAATGAATTGATCACAATAAGACGTGTAGTAAAAAAATAAGGTCAGTTTTGACTTTTTATATGGAGCAGTATTTCCAAACCAGGTCTCTCTCTTTTTTCACACCGACTCAAGTTAAATCTTTTGGAGTAACATACCCAACACTAACAGGACTAAACTATATTGACCGCTGAGCGGTCCAGGCTGTGTCCACTCACATGTCATGTTCCAGAATGATAGCGATGCGATGCATGTGCAGCCAGCGCTGCCAGAAGTTAGCGTCCATGGACAGGATTGGCTTCCAGTAAGAGGCAAACTGCGATTGGCTGGAGTCTTTAGAGCCACTGTGCTGGAGGGAAAGGACCTGATGGAGAGCAGGACTGTGGTTAGCATGTTACTATCACCAAAACATTAATATTGAGAAACATTATTACAATTTAAAATAAGTATTTTCTATGTGAATATATGTTCATGCTAATTTTTAGCATAGTCTTCAGTGTCACATGATCCTTCAGAAATCATTCTAATACGATGGTTTTGTGCTCACTCACCGGCGTGGTCGATCCAGGTGGGATGTAAAACAGAGGAACACCATTTTTTGTGCTTTCTGGGATGGTGTAATGTTCTGGGATAGAATTAAAGGACTGCAGGTGCACTAACATCTGGTCCGTCTGATTTATGCTGTTGAGAACAAACGACATACAGCATTACTTTATGACATCAAACTAAAACTGACAGCAAAGTATCTAAAATCTTCCTTCTGCAATCGCTGTTCAAGTTAACCCAGAGTTTAAAACCGAAATCTGACCTCTGCAGAGTGTTCCAGAAGCGACGGATGACAGATGTCCGGTAGGGGCTTGTGATTGGTTTCCGCATGGTGCAGCTGATGTCATGGAGGATATCATAACTGCCCTCCATGGTCACCTCCACCCAGGTGGTGCGTTTGATTGGATCCAGGGGCCAGGACGCCACGGCAAGGTACTCGATGCGCATGTTATGCTTCCAGAGGAGGACAAGCTTCAACTCCAACTGACTCCCTCCTTATAGAGATGATTACATGATTACATGATTATTGAGAAATCCCAATTACCTATTTCAAGGCTGCATTAAAGATGCAGTGTAAATTGTAGCAGCATCTAGTGGTGAGGTTGCGAATTGCAACCAACAGAAGTTACGGTTGCCGACAGGAAATGATGTCGTCGTCTGAGACAGCAGAGAGTAGCCAGTTAAACAATGAGGTTTATTTACAAAGATAAATTAAGAAATGATGTTCACTTAATTATTCAGTAAAACGATATGTTATTGCAAATATTATCGTTTAATTGTTCATCATTGTGTCAGTGTTTTATTCACTGACTTTAGCTTGCTTCTTTGCACGAAGAACAACATAGTGACGAAACGCGTTTGTCCGTTTAGGGCCAATGTAGAAACATGTCAAGGGGACCCTAGGTGTGTGTAGATAGAAATTGCTCATTCTAAGGTAATAAAACATAACGGTTCATCATGTAAGGTCTTTATATAACACAGAAAACAGTTATGTATATTATATTGCGTTTCTGCCAACAGATCCTCCTAAATATGCACTTTAAAGGTGAAGTATGTAGTTTCTGTGACACTAGTGGCACCAAGCGGAATTACAAAAAATGATGAAGCTCCTTCAGGTACTTGTGAAGACATGTCTCAACAGGTAAAATTAGGTTACTTTCAATAAAAGGTCCAACATTTTAGGAATACTTTTAGCTGTGTTTCTATGCGTCATGAGTAACCAACTGAGTAGTATAAACCCATCCAACCTTTATAATAACCCCATCCATTGATCTGCAACGGCAGCATTTGTTTACATGACGTGCCACAACTGTTTGAGGCTCAGTAAACATCAGGTACATTGAATCTGAACGAGTGCATGATGATGCTGTGTGGTAATGAAGCGTCCATTGTAGTGTGCTGCAATGTCAGTTTAGTTTGCTGTGTTCATGATCTGTTTAATCTTTGAAGGTCTAAATGCAGCGAATTTTGTCTTGCACTTTTGTAACTGAAGATACATTTATTTTCCCATGTAGCCACGCCCCAAACTCACACTATAGGTTAAGAGGATGTATTTTATCATAAAAAATCGTACATACTTCACCTTTAAACGCATAAAATACATAATTTGCATAAGTTCATTATACAAGTATATTTCAACATTCAATACCACACCTTGTGAGGTTAACCCTCTGGGGTCGGCGGTCTCGCCGGCGATACCAGCTCACTTTTTTCCTTATCAGTGCAAAAGAGACTCAAATTACTCTGTTGATTTTGATCTTACATATAAGTGTTGTACATCATTCGATCCTGTTAAGTTTTTTTTTTTTTTTTGTGGAACCTCATAATAAAAACAAATTGTTGTGCTTTTCGCCTAATAAAGAAAAATAAACATGATGCGCGTTCTGCGTTCTCTCTGTCAGTGAAGTCCATTCTGAAACGCGTCCGAAAAATGAACTGTAACTCTGCAAATACTCAGTCAAACAGGTATACAGGCACACAGGCATGAAGCCTGAATTATCTTCTTTTAAATGAAGTAATTTATATAAAAAACAAATTTTCTCATTTTATGTAATCTGTACGAAAAGAGAGAGATGATAGTCGTTCTCGTCTCAGGTCATTAAAGTTAATTTGACCACGCCCACGGAGCGCGCGCTCTATTCAAACACAAATGCTCTGAGGCGATCCACGCCCACACATCAGCTGGATAACCCACCGAAAGAGACTCATATTTACAACGCTGTGAGGAATAATACTATCTTAATAATAATCCTGGAAAAAATTACCTCAGAAGTAGGCTACAGGTAGTTTCATTTGGAGGAGCAACGGATCCAGCCGAGGAAATAGGTACATTCTTTATTTTCAAGTGCTTTGTGCTAATCGCGATATGGAATAGTGTCTGTAAACAAAAAGACTGTTTGAATCGCGTTTTTGTGTGTGAATGAATTAACAGCTTTTACCTAACTATATTCCAATACTGAGATGAATAAAAATCGACTGAAATATGTTGAAATAAAATATTTTTGTATAAGCAACGTATTAAACTGCAAATTAACATTTATATGTCCTAATCATAAAAACGATATGTTACATATGAAAGACAAGATGTCGTTTTTACTGTAAAATACTGCCACATCAAATAAGCTTGTTTGCTAAGATGTTATTATAGTGTTTGTTCGATTGTAGGCTATATTCAAACTAATTAATCCGCAACTGTGAAATATGTATGATAAAATGTATACTTTAGTATATAATACAAAGAAAGATTACATTTGAAATATAGTTAAAATTTTAATTGTTGTTGTAATTGTAACCTTTTTATTAAAATAGCAAAAATATATGTAGGCTACATATAAATAAATCTTAGGTAAATCTTAAAAGCTCAATATAAGACTCCTCTTTAAATTATTTGTATTGTGTTTTTTTAGTGACACATTTGGGATATATTCCCAAACTTTCTGTAAAAAAAGTATGATAATTAACTGCACAATTACTAGAAATTTTTACATTTGATAAAACACAATTTGCACAATTTGCAAAATAAATAAATAATTGGAACTGTTTTGTTTTATATAGGCATATATATATATATATATATATTTTGTCATTCTTGTGGCTCAGTGACACACCTGAATGAAAGGCTCATTAGTATGCAGCCCCATTATGCGCTCATTATGCGGGCCCATTGTCTTCTCAGGTGTGAATCACAGCAGGTCACACCCCTGCGCATATTGCCTTTCCAAACAAAAAGTGTCATTTTTAAATTTAAACCAATCTATTGTTTTGTGTGAATGATTAGGCAAGATGATTTTCTGATCATTTTGAAGAAAAAACTCTAGGCGACAACATCCATTAGTCAAAAGTCTTGTGGACAGATATTTAGTATGTGATTTGTGGCCTTATTTCAGAAACTTTAAGTTTTAGTTTTTTCAATAACCACGCATAAACAATATTCTCTCAAAAATACAAAAATGTACATACATGTTGATAACATATTATGGTAGCCCTGTTTGTGCTAAATAGAGTGTAATTACACCTTTGCCAGTAATATGTTTATAAGCAACTGAAAAAAGCACAAATGTCAGAGTATGTCAAAACATCTCAAGGACCCCAAAAACACCTTGGTCCCCAGAGGGTTAAAATCAATCTGTCTTTTCGAACAGATTGATTATTATGCAAAAAAAAAAGAATAATAATAATAATTTTTGTTGTTTTTGTGTTTAATTATTTGTATGGATACTTCATACGTATTGCTGTCTTTATTTATTTATTTTATTATTATTTTTATTAATTGTTCGAAATAAAGATTTCATTCATTGTGAGGATAAAGTACCTTTAGTGATGTTAATCTCTCGGATGGTGTATCCCTCTCTCAGTCTGATAGACAACACACTGATCAAATCAGCGTGCACTTCCTTCTCGGTGTGTTTCTTCCTCCGCATCACTAAGGCGGGGTTTCCACTGGCCGACACCAGGTGTTCATTAAAGAGCCTGTGCTGGGAGACTAGAAACACAGGGATGACACAGATCAGTCATTACAGTGCTGTTTGCATAACCTAATGTGTGTGTGTGTGTGTGTATATATATATATATCAAAGATATATCAATTTCTATATCATATATCAAAGCCAATCAAATCCTAGGTGTATCTAGACTTTTTATAAGTGAAAGTAAAATCAAGTGCAGTTCCATGCTTCCTTTCAAAAATGACTCAGCATCTTTAAACATTGCAAAAGGAAATAAGCAGATGACCAACTGAAAATCATATGACTAACTTTTGACCAAATCTCATGAACATTTATGAAATCGCCTCTAAAGTGATTGTAATGTAAATGTAATTTTGCTTAATTGTGAAGCAGAACTGAAAGTTCACAGACAGGGTTGAGATACCGAGTGCTGAGAGCTCTGTTATTGATTGCTTTGCTATCTAATGATGTATTGTGAAATAACACAATAGTGTTTTAAGTGGACAGAGCAATCCTCTCTTAGAAATGTTCAAGTGTTTAAACATCTCTGAATGCTTTCCTTCCTTCTCTGCGGTTCTCAGATCTCATTTAGCCTAATAACCCAAATACTATTTTTTAAATATTTTAAATATGAGGGAAGCACAAAACACTAAACTTGGTTAAAGTATTTATCTGACGAAATTATTTGGAAAAAACGGCAAACTACAGCTACAGATTTTATTTTACTATGCAAAAACAGCATTCACAGCATGCATTGACTACAGCATAATCAGTTATTAATATTTTTTTGGTTCTCTCTTGTCTCTACATGTGTTCATAATTTCTTTGTATGACAGCCAGGCCAAAAATTATGTTGGCACAATTTCATTGCATAATCACAAGTAAAACAATTGAGTCCAAGCACACAACTAAGAAAAGCTTTAACACTTTTATAATAATTTCAAATAAAGGGTGAAGATGTAAATTTCCCTAGGCCGGACATCATTTTTGGCCACTACTGTAGTATAATAGTATATTTCATATTTTAAAGATACTGCAGGCTCATATTTCACGAAAAACCATGGACAGTTTGAAATGCTAAAACAATGAAATACTCAGCAGGACCTTCTCTTAAAGGGGTCATATAATGATACATGCACTTTTACAAGTTGATTGTACTGAAATGTGTGTTGGCAGTGCCTGTACACAACCATCATAAAATGATAAAAAAAATCCATTCAGTGTTTTGTTTTAATCTCCTTATATGTTTTCCCCTGCCTCAAATCGAGCCGTTCGACCGTGTGCCGTCACAAGGTCGCACGCCCCTTCCACGATTGTTGATTGACAGGAGCCAATCATATGTCATGATTGGCAATCATAGTCTGCGCGGACCGGCGCGGTCATTGTTGATATGCTGCAGCACTGTCTATGAGCAGAATGGCGTCTAAGCGATTGTGGTGTTCTGTTCTTGGGTGTAATAACGAACACAGTCATTTTAATGTTCCTAAATCCGAACCGCTGAAGACGCAGTGGCTGAGTTTGTTTTCGAAGGGAATATTCCCCACGAGCAACGTCAATGCTCTCATGTTTGCCGAATCATTTCTCACCAGACTGCTTTATAAAGGAGGGTCAGTATGAGCTGGTTTTGCTAAGAAGCTGCTCCTGGATAAAGGATCGGTACCAGATATTCGTGTTCCTGCTGAACCTCCAGAAGAACTGAAGTGAGTGTAACGTTATTAACCTTTATATTAATATTTATATTAATCTTTGGAAATCGCTTGCACGCTTCACGATGAATGCGTCGGTTTACACTCTGGGTACATTAAGGCATGTTTTCTATGTACGACGTTCTCAATATAATTCATAATCCCACGTTTATACTGAACAACGCGTTATGGTTATTGTGTTACAAACGGTGTACGCACAGAACAGAGAGGCGGAGTGAGCAAAGCTCATTATTATTTAAAGTCATATGCACTGAAACAGCGTGCTGAAAACAGAGCTGTTTTTGACCAAGTAAAATAAGTGTTTTCTTACAATACTAATGAGAATTTTTAATTAAAGTATATTACAAACTTTTAATTTAGACCCTAAAGAATCAAATTAGCTTGTACAAAAATGGCATTATATGACCCCTTTAAGCCTGAGTTGAGCTTACAGCAGTAGTACTCCGGGTTCATGGACTCGCCGGTCCTCAGGAAGGAGTATGTGAGGAAGGAGCGGTGGTAAGCGTTCATCTCGTCGCCGGTCGAGTCGGACTCGGGACACATGGACAGATAGGAGCCAAAGGTTGCCATGGAGATGAACTTCATCAGCTCCACGTTGGGGATGTAGCCAAAACTACAGTCGTAGGAGTATGCGCCGCCCACCTGAGGGAAACACCGTAGAACAAAAGGGAATGTTATGCTTTATAATAGACCAGTTACACAGTCAAACTAAATCTACTGCATTTACAATATTGTTCAAAAGTTTGGGGTCAGTATGTTTTTTTTTAAAGAAATTAATATTTTTATTCAGCAAGGACACAATAAATTGATGAAAATTGACAGTAAAGACATGTATAATATTAAAAAATATTTCTATATCAAATAAATGCTTTTTTTTAACTCACATAAATGTTTGAGCAGCAAATATTATATAGCATATTATAATGATTTCTGACAGATCATGTGACATTGCAGAAAATTCAGCATTGAATCACAGATAAAAATTACACTTCAAAATATAATCAAATAGAAAGCACTTATTTTCAATTGTAATAATATTTCACAATATTACAGTTTTTCTGTATTTATTGATCAAATAATAGTAGCCCTGATGAGCAGATTTTTTTTAGATTTTTTTTTTAATACCGATCTCAAACCCTTTGAATGGTAATGTAAAGAGCATTAATATATTTGTGGCAGCCAGACTGAACATGAACATGTCAAAATGGATCTGAGCAGTACTTGAACAAAGGAACAGGCGATGGTTCCACTTCTCAGCTGGTTCAGCAGAGTCTCACACACAGCTACATCAGGAACGCTCGTCACTCCATCTGTGATGATTATTATACCTGCAGGACAACACAAAAGATGATTAATTGTACTTTATGCATTACCATTCATACTGCCCACTCAGCAGCCAACCACAATTTGTTTTGTTCTTACGTGTCATTTAGCCATGGGTAAATGACGTCTTTAAAATCATTCATAGTATAATTAATTTTGTTTCTGGGTGCACTGATTAAAACTAATGAATAAATGTAAAATAAATGGTTTGTACTGGTTCATACTTGTAGTTCAGTTCTCTTGGTTCGCTTGCTCCGGACCAAAAAAATAGTAATTTAGTCCTGGTCCGCTTAGCGTTCACATTACCGAACATCCAAAGCAATGCTGTGTTCTGGGCTAAATGTGCTTATTGTATGTGCGTAGCTACATATGATGGTATCCTGGCCAGCTGAGAACTCGTGAAGAGCTTATAAAATGTGTAAAGGAGTCAAAACAGCAGCAGGAATCCCTCAGTCACACACAAACCAAGATCTTCTGTGACCTGATGCCTGTACTGAACTGTGATGGACAACATCACGATTACGACTAGAAAAAACAGGTATGATTGAGCATTCTGTCCTTTTTAGGGGCGCATCTTGTGACATCATGTCCTGTTTTTGGTTCGTTTACATGTCTTTGGTCCATGTTGCGTTCGTTTGGAAGTGGACCGAGACTCATCTTTTCAGCGTCTCGGTCCGCTTGTTTGGTTCGGATGGCAGCGTTCACACTTATTAAAAAAAAAAGCACTAACAGTAGCCTGACTTCGTCATACTCATATTCTAGTCAGAATGTGAGTCTGATACTGCTCCATAGGGCTTTGATTATGAGGCGTGTCTTAACCGAACCAGGAAAAAAAAAACTCTGCACTCAATTGGATAGACCTACAACCAATCAGAGCAACACAGTGACGTATGTTGAGCTACGCATAGTTGTCAACATAACTCAACTGCACGCACGCTGGAAGAAGTAGTAAAATAATGAGTGTTGCTTCTTTGACTTGGTCCTCTATGAGTGCGACCAAAGGAGAAACCACAACGACCACAGGGCTTTCATTGCGTCCCATCTTCTTAGCGACCATCAGAGCCAGCTGATAAATTAAACTTTTGCCGAATCCCGTAGGAAGGACGGCAAACACATCTTTCCGATCGACAAATGCCTTGATTGCAGTTCTCTGTTCGTCTTTTAAAATGAATGCGCTGTCGATTTCTTTTACAACAGACGCGATGGCTGAATCTCTACATCTCAGTTCTCCAGCGGCAGTCATCTCTGAGGGAAACCAGTTCAACCCAAGCGCTCTTTGATAACGTGATGATTACGTAACTGCAGATCATCTGTCCATCATCGTGTAAAGCCCGCCCTGGCAATTTGATTGGCCCGACTAATTCTCCTAAATCATAATTACTCCTCAATGGATCGAGTCCAGACCGAACTTCCCGACCAAAAAATGTTGTGGGCGGGGTTCAGGCTGGCATCCAGGCTACACTAACAGAGGAATCGCACCAGAGTTAATTTCAATCCAACTAAACATGCCAAGTGTGAACACACCCTAAATGTGATGCTCACTGGACTTCAGCATCATGTGGGGAACAGGATAGAGACACTGACCTGCACCAGAGTTTGGAGGCAGAAGTTGCAGTGCCAGAATCCCCTGCCTCACCATGCTGACCAGCCCCACATCTGCCGTCACCATTGAAACCCCCGGCTTCCTCGGAGACGGTTCCTCCACAGCCTCATTGGAGAAGGACTGATAAACAGATCCATTGAACTGAAGAACATACAGAGAGATGTTTTATAGACATAAAGTGTCAAATGTAACAAATTCAAATCTACAAACATACACTACTGGTCAAAAGTTTGGGGTCGTAAGATCGTTTCATGTTTTTGAAAGAAGTCTCTTCTGCTCACCAAGACTGCGTTTATTTGAGCACAAATACAGTTAAGACTATTGTGAAATATTACAATTTAAAAGAACTGTTTTCTATGTGAATAGATGTAATGTAATTTATTCCTGTGATCAAAGCTGAATTTTCAGCATCATTTCTCCAGTCCACTTTTTAGGATTTTTTGATGAATAGAAAGTTCAAAAGAAAATATTTGAATTAGAAATCTTTTGTAACATTTATTCAAAATGTCATTACTGTTACATTTGACAGATTGAAAGCCTCCTTAATGAATATATGTATTAATTGAAAATCTCACTAACCCCAAACTTTTGAATAGTAGTGTATGACAAGACGCTGTAAATTTACACATGAAAACTAATTAAGCAACAACATATGAGAGGTTATGCAAAATTAGCACACAGAACAATGGTACCTTTTATCATTTTACACTTGTTGTCATTTTATGAAAGCAATGTGATTTTTCAGTGATTTTACCGATGCTAAATTTTGTTTCATACCAAAAAATAACATTTAACCAGGGCCTAAAATTAACTTTTTGCCACACATGCCGGTGACTTAAGAAAATGTATCGGCCATAAATATTTTTTTACCGGCCATGAAAAAAAAAAGACAGTAATGACATTCACAATTCTCTATTCCAATTTTGATACCACAGCTGAACCTACTAGCCTAAATAACTAATAGACATTTTAAAACATTATTAAAGACAAGTAAACAGTCAGTAATAAAATAAGAACTAATAATCAAATTACAAGCAAAAGCACCAATAATAATACAATATAACAAAGATACAAATGAAATAAACCGTGCTTTTTAGGTTTTTCAGGTACAGGAATTTAATAAAGTAAGCAAATGTAAAGTAACTGCATAGTTATTCCTTAAGAAAGTTACAAAAGTTATTCAGTCAAGAGCAGTAAGTGACTTTTGTTGTTTGATTAACATTAAAAACAGTCAGCATCAGGAATATTAGGCTGCTGTCACTTTAAGAGCGAATGCACGAATCTAATATATTGATACTGACATACATGCGTTAACTTTCTCAACTAGTTACATTCACTTAAGACATAACCGACTATGTTTACTAGGATACTCGTTATTTTTGTCAGTTTTGTGTGAATTTGTCCACTCAAGTGCAACAAGACGTGAAAGAGAGCTCAGTTTAGGAATTAAACACAGCTTTCTGAAGGAAATTAGCTCCCTTTGGTGTCTTCTTGCGCTTGAATGTTTAAATTGTCAAGGCTTAATCCTTTGTGACAATGCAGCGCTGGCCCGTCAACTGTCCTGAGCGTCGTTCACATTTGTTCACTTCTATGCATTGTTCACTCATAAAAATGTTACCGGCCAACTGGTGAGTGACACCATTTCATAGACCGATTTTAACTCGCATTTGGCACTTGGTTAGTGTTAATTTTAAGCCCTGCATTTAACTTGGGGTGAAATTCCTATAATGCACTGCAATGTGGCCTCTTGCTGCTTATTGCATGCCTGTATAAAAACCACAAGCGCTCTTGCCTGATTGTGCTGCTGCTGTAGGACGTCAGCGATGCTGCTCTCCACGGCTCTCAGCTGCTGATAGATCTGATGCAAGAACTGCTCCAAATCCATACAGTCCAGCTGACAGCCCTGAACCAACACCTGAAGGGCAGAATCATGGCATATAACCGGTCAGAAAACGCACTCAACTAATGTGCATTTATAGATTCACAATGACCCGCAATCCAGACCTGATGAGAACTAAGGCCAATGATGGAGGAATACGCCAGAATAGTGATGAAGATCTCTGGCTGGAACAGGTGATCAGTTCCTGGGACTTTAAAGGGTTTTGCCAGACCAATTAAGCACCGAGACAAAGCATGGAAGACTTCGTCAAAGATCATCTCTCCTGTGCTGTCATCCTGAAGACAAGCAACATATGACAACGCACTCTTAAAGGACAAGTTCGGTATTTTACACTTAAAGCCCTGTTTTAAGATCGTTTCTGATGAAATAGAACGGTTAATTCTTATTCTTTTATTTTGGATAGCCCCTTGAGATGTACCATCTCATTTTCAAGGGGGTCCTTTCAATCACTGTTTGAAAATAACAACCAGAGCCACACATGCTCAAAACATAACAATACACAATAACACATGTAAAAAAATAATAATAATAAAAAATAAAAAAATAAAACATAAAGACCAAACTCAACAAGACATCATTCACAGCATGTTCCCCCCCAAGAGAATTTTCGGTTTCTGTGGTTGCACCCCCCCCCCCACCTCCACAATGGTTGCATAGGTGCACAGGAACAATCCTTCATAAAATGCATTAAACTTTAGTTTACAAAGACGTGAAACTCACCGAGTGGTCAGGGGGGTTCACTGATACACAAAAATCGCTTTCCAACAGGTTTTATCGTAGTTTTTGTCCAAGTCAAGTCAATGGAGTTGGACAAAAACTACGATAAAACCTGTCGGAAAGCTTCTTTTGCAGCGATTTTTGTGTGAGCATATCAGTGGGTGCAATGGGGTGCAACCACAGAAACCGAAAATTCTCGGGACAGCAGCATGTGTTAACCGTTCTATTTCATCAGTAACGATCTTAAAGGGACACTCCACCGTTGTTTCTATGTTATTCCCTTAAAGGTGCTCTAAGTGATGTCACGCGTTTTTTAGGCCAACATGTTTTTTGTCACATACAGCAAACATCTCCTCACTAACCGCTGGCTGCCTGTCCCCTGAACACACTGTAAAGAAACGCGATCTCTGTAGACAGCCCAGGCTCCACAAACAGCAACAAAAACAAACTGGGCTAACCCGCTCCACGAAACATGACAAACAGTTCCAGCCAATCACCGACAAGAAGGACTTGGGGGCGGGGTTTGGGGGGTTAGTGCGAGGATGAGGAGGAGGGAGGGAGGGTCTAGCTAGCCTCCGTTTAGTTCAGTGGCACCTCAATGCAGTACATAAGATCCACGGGAAGGAGTCGGATCAAGATCCAAGGGGTGGAGATGGGTAGGATTAGGGGTGGGTTTAGGGATTAGGGGTGTGTTTAGGGATCAGGGGGCGGAGATGGGTAGGTTTAGGTATATGTAAGGTGGGAGGAGTTGGATCTGGATCCGACTCCTCCCCGTGGATTTCATGTTCTGCAGTGAGGACCATCTCGTTTAGTTTGACAATACTTTAAACGTAAACAAGAAGTCACGTCACCCGACATCGCTTAGAGAACCTTTAACTAAGACGAGTTGATACATACCTCTCCCGTCTCAGTGCGTGCACTCAATCGCTCTGGCGCGCGAGACACTTTGATAGCACTTAGCTTAGCCCAGTTCATTCATTAGGATCCAAGCAGAGAAGCGACCAAACACCTCCACGTTTTCCCTAGTTCTACTTCGTTTTCTTAGTTAAGGGAAAATCATAGTTTAATATGAAAAAATGGTGGAGTATCCCTTTAAAACAGGGCTTTAAGTGTAAAATACCGAACGTGTCCTTTAAAAGAGTTGATTCCACTTTAAACAAGCCACTGAATGTGATGGTGGCGATGTCTTACCACGATCCCGGTGGACGGGCTCAGGTCCAGCTCGATGATGAAGCGGTACCTGCGAGCCAGGAAAGTCACGCGTGTGGAGGGAACCAGCAGACACGAGCAGGACGAGGGAGGAGAATCGGACTGCCATCCTTTCGGGATGATGCTCAAAACATCCAGCTCATTCTCTGACTTCAGCTGAGGAGATGCAACACAAACATGACCAGAGACACACACACACACAGAGAGAGAGAGATTCTCACAGGGTATGTATAATGGCATACAATGTCACGTGATCCATGAAGATCTGAACTGATCTGGGTGAAAGCTATTGTTTGCTTTTTCTATGTATAGAAGGAAGACCTGAGACATGCATGGAAAGATAATAAAAATACAATTTATTAAAGTAAGATTAATAGGCTGATATTTGACCATTTTGAGGTTATTGTTATCAGCTAGTATATATTGTACCAAAGAAGTGTTCATTTCATTTAATGACTTTGGCAATTTCATTTTCCACCATTAAACATACACTACCATTTAAACGTTTGGGGTCAGTAAGAATTTTTTTTAAAGAAATTCATGTTTTTATTCAGCAAGGACATGTTAAATTGATCAAAGGTGGCAGAAAATACATGTATAATTGTGCAAAAGATTTCTGTTTCAAATAAATACTGTGCTTTCTATTCATTAAACAATCCCGAAAAAAATGTGTCATGTTTTCACAAAAATATGAAGCAGCACAAATGTTTTCAACATTGATAATAATAAGAAATTACATTTCTGAAGGATCATATAACACTGAAGACAGAAGTAATGATGCTGAAAATTCAGTGTTGGCATCAGGAATTAATTACATTTTAAGATATATTCAAAAAGAGAACAGCTATTTTAAATAGTTTTTATTTTTGATCAAATAAATTAAGGCTTGGTGAGTAAAAGAGACTTCAAAAACACTTACTAACCCCAAACTTTTGAACGATAGTGTATCAGGAGTAAACCACCTATCAGTCACCCTTTTCTCCATTGGAAAGCCATCAGTCGACCACTAAATAATCCCAGTCTGTCTCTTACCAGCTCAGACTGTGGACTGGGCCGAACGACCTGATTGAGACGGCTGAGGAACCAGGACAGACGCACGTTGCGTGATATCCTGTACTCCTCCTTCATCAGCAGGTACACCTGCTCGGCCTCCTCCACCTTCACACAGAAAAAATATATATTTTATTATAGCAACAAAATGTCATCAAAATGTCATAATTTCAAAAGCCAAAGGCAATAATGAATGATCCTCATGATGTTGAATGTGTTATGCGGTACAGTAGCCTAAATGTTCGCCATCTTACTACAGTATCACATATACAACAGAATCACAGAATTGCACAGTGCATAATCGGATCTGTAACACAAATTAACCAGCAAATTCCCCAGATATTTTAAATGTCTGGAACATAGTGAAAACCTCTGTTTTTTATGTCCATTTACAGATCACAAATTCAAAATAAAGGCCCTAGTGCAAGTTCATTAATATACAGGCTGGAGAGGAGACGATATGTATATATATTTATAGTACAATGGGATCCAAAAGTCTGAACCCACTGCCTTTTTCTAATTTAATATTAAAACACATAACTAATGATATTATCACAACAACAATTTGAGTGCAAAGTTTAATTAAAAGTCAGGGTCAGATATTAACCAGGGCAAAAAGAAAGTGACAAAAATACCCCAGATATTTCTTTTGAACGTTAGTGGGCATAGCGAAAACTAACATCTAATCTAACATTTAATATATTTCATCATTTTTATCTGGTTATGGTTATATCTAGATACATGTATTCACTGTCACTTTGAAAGTGTTGCTTATTTATTATAAAGTGGTTCATTTACATTAACTGATTCAATCGAAGCATTTGAAATAAATAGGCAGCACAACACCGATAAACAATGTTGTTATGTGGTTAAAAATATGGCATCATAAATTTTAAAAAAATTCCCTCAAAAAAAAAATTGGGCAAATACCATGAATCCTCTCAGAAACAGTAAAAAGAAGAATAAAACTAACATTTCAGATTTCACTTTGGACATCAAGTGGCGACAAAACAAAGAACCAAAACTGTTTATCATACAAAAGTAAAGGAAAACAAAAAGGGTTTTATAGTTTGAGTGTCTGATTCTATTTTTGACAGGACTGAAAAATGAGTCCAGTGCTGAGAGACACTTGCTGCGGTTGTTGTCCCACAAACTGCATCTATTGCTGGAGAATTTTAAAAAGCTTCAGCTAAATTTGATGAACAGCGATAGATACATGCAGTGTGTCCACATGTAATAGCATTTAAATTTGATCTACACGAACAGCATCTTATTGTTGTTGTTGTGTAGTCTGAGGGAGTGGCTGCAAACACATGACACAACTGCATTCATCTAATTTATTCCAAACCTCTGCGTTAAACTCTTTGCAAATATCTCTCATTTAAAAAATAAAAATAAAAAAGATTTATTGCAGAAAAGGGCAGTCAGTATAAGAATAACAGAATAAAAGTCTCAATTTTTTTCTAAACTAAACGTGTTCCTCCTGTTCTGTTTATTTGCTCTGTTACCTAACCTGTAAACAATTTCCGAAGTGGAACTGAACAAAACAAACAAACTCAGTCAAAGTAAGAGTTTAGTTTACCTCATTGTCCTGTCTGTCTGCCATGCCGTGCTTCGCATTACTGGCGGGTTGTTTTTGAGCGAGTTTTAGAGGGTTTGTGTCAAAATCTGTAAACTGCAGCTCATCTGACTGCAGCTGCTTCACTTCCGGTTCCCCAATTTACAATAAAAGTCCTCATACACTGATCATACACATGATGCTGTGTGTACGAGTTATAGAGAAATTTTTATTTGTGTATGAATGTACATTACAGTATACTTAAGATACAAATGTGCAAATTCAACTTTGGTAAAATTGGTATGGTGATAATATCATTGGTAGAATTCAATTATTATATATTTAAATCCTCCTGGTTACACTACCAATTATATTATCCCCATACCAATTTGAGTGAAAAGTGGTATGAATGTACATTAAAATACAAATGTGCAAATTCTACTTTTCACTTACTACGGTGATAATATAATTGGAGGTATTTAATCAAAAATAATGATAATAAAATCTACCAATGATATTATTACCGTGCCAATTTGATTGAATTTATTGCTAATTATAACTATGTATTAGAAAAGTAAGGAACCATTCTTTCGGGCGCGTTTTGACAACCGGACTCGAATTACTGCTGCGAGTGTTTGTTTACTTCCGCTCAGTGGAGAAGTGTCGCTTGTCGCTGTAAAATGCAGGTAAACTGAATTCTCACTTTATGTCCATTTTTGCAGCTGTTTTACATTTCGAAAAAAATAGTTATACATAATGACACTAGCACGCAGATAGTTTGCGAGAAGATGACTTTTTGTAGTTGGTTTTATCTGCTGGCATGCTAACTGCCGAGACAGAAAAACGCGTTAACGGTTATTGTTGTGTTTGTGTTATATAAGAGCTAAAGGATGATCTGTTTGTGTTTTATTTCAATAGCAGCGGGAGGAGAAGCAGCTGGAGGCGTCTGTGGAGTCTCTGGTCACTCGAGTGGCTCATCTGAAAGGTTCCCTGCAGAGTTTCATTTATAAACTGGAAAATGAGTATGAGAGGCTCACGTGGTGAGTAAGAACTACACCCCTTTCCTAATAAACTCCACATTTCACTATGTTGACGCTAATGTTTTGGATTCAGGCCCTCTGTGCTGGATAATTTCGCCCTTGTGTCTGGGCAGCTGAACACCATCAACAAGCTGTTGAGAAATGAGAAGACCCCATCATACAGGTCACAGGTCATCATCCCTCTGCTGCTGTCTCCTGATCGAGATGAAGAGCTGGCGGTGAGCGCTTTCACAAAGTCACCCTGGTTATGATGACACCATAACCCGCAAAAACAGGCCTTTTAATTTTAAGATGCAAACTTTTGTTACTTCTCAGAAACTGACAGAGCAGCGAGTGCCTGTGTTCAGCCATGAGATCGTGCCAGATCACCTCAGGACGAAACCTGACCCGGAGGTCGAGGAACAGGAGAAACACCTGAGCGCCGAAGCGGCCCGGATCGGAGCTGAAGTAGCCCAGGTGAGCACGAAATTGACAAAGCAACACCCTCGCGACCATTCAGAACACTTTAGTAACCTCCTAGCAAGACATCTACATCCTTTTAAACTCAAATCTGATGGCCTAGAATAGATGTTCAGACTAAATGGAGCTTATTAAACCCTCTCTGATATTCCTCTGATACACTTGTGATCCTCTGCGGTCAAAGCAGACAGAAAACAATGAATAAACAAATAAATATAAAGAAATGAAATGAATGTACTTAATTTATTTTCCATAATATTTTATATTTTGAGGGATTTCATGGTACTAGACCAGAGGTCGGGAACCTTTTTTGTCCAAAGAGCCATTTTTTCATTTTTGGTTAATGCATTTTTCCAAAAGAGCCACAGTAAAAAATATATAATATTATTATTAAAGACGTGCTTTTTTTTTCAATAAAATTTCAACAGCAGTAGTTATTAGGTCCATAGACAACTAAAAACAAACAAATATTCAACAAACAATAAAGTTTCAACATGTATTAATTGTGAAGGGCTTTCACTATGAGATTGAGTTACCAACTGATGAGCGTAAATTCTCTCTCTGTGTGAGAGAGAGAGAGAGAGAGAGAGAGAGAGAGAGAGAGAGAGAGAGAGAGAGAGAGAGAGAGAGAGAGAGAGAGAGAGAGAGAGAGAGAGAGAGAGAGAGAGAGAGAGAGAGAGAGAGAGAGAGAGAGAGAGAGAGAGAGAGAGAGAGAGAATGCACACAGTACTTACATCTACTGTGTTTACGTGAATACTCGACTTGGCATTTCGATATATTTCTGTTTATTTGGCCGTCTACTCTGCTTGTCCGTCTTGGGCTCGGAGCGCACAGCATCCTGCCAGTAGAATTCCGTTCTCTTTCCCGGCTTATCGCGCTTTTAATATTTATTTTCAATATAAAGCACATCCTGCTCTTTTTTTCTCTCATTCCTTCATGTTTTGTTATAGGTTCCCGACCCCTGTACTAGACATTATCCACCTCTAAAATATACACATTATACTTTTCTACATAAAATAATAATAAAAACAATTATTTAGTTATCCTTTATTTTACCAGGATAGTCCCATTGAGATAAAAATCTCTTCTTCCAGGGAGTCCTGGCCAAAAATGGCAGCACAAAAAGTTTCATGTATACAATACAAACATAAAACTCAAAATCTTACATAAAATTTCACTCATAAAATGACAACAAAAGTTACTTTACAAAACATGCACACGTTTACTTTAAATTGGTCGTTAAGAGATTTTTAAAAACGTTTAAAGAGGGGGAGTGTTTTTATCATTATTATACTCTGCAGCTCATTCCATAACCAGGGAGCATAGGAAGAAAAGGCAGTTTTACCAAGCTCTGAACGTACTCTAGGAACCTTTAAAAGCAGTTTTGCACTAGTGCTATATTTACAGATGCAATAAGATAATAGACGACAGATATAAATGGGTAATTTGCCTAACAATGTCTTTTTGTGCTGAACACAAAAAATCATGGCAAATATACAAATCATACAAATATACAATATGGCAACAATCTACAAATCAGCTAAAATAAAGTATATATATTGTAGATTGTACCCCAAAACATTTCTCTGTATTACTATTTTTCATTTTTGTTGAAGATCATTTTTTGTGTTCATATAGCAAGTCCCACAAAAGTCACCAAGTGTTTCCCGTTCCGATGAAGTAAAAAAAAACACGAGTTTTACTAACCTTTAAACCACTGTAAACACATCTTGGCCTGCTATCACAGACAGGCTTAGACTAAGCATGGATTACGCCTTAGTTTAATTAGGACATTTAAAGTAGCTTTTATAAATGTGTCTTAGTAAAAACATTACTCATAAGCATCTTGAGACAAAACAATGGCACTGAAATATTTTAAGATGTATCAGTGCAAGTTGTGCTTTATGACAAGGCTTAATCCTTGTCTGTGAAACGGGGGGATTAAAATGTATAAAGGGTTGGTTGTTGAATTTTGTTCTTCTTTGTTCTTGTTTTCTTTTTAGAAACAGATCCAAACATTGAATAAACTTTGCTCAAATCTTTTGGAAAAGCTGAATAATCCTCGTGACGACAGAGACTCTGAAACATCAGGTAAACGTTAACCGTCGCTCCTAGTTTTATATTTGCCAGTGTTTCATGTGTGCAAAGTCATTGATGTTAAAAATGGATGCTTCTATTCAGCTTTAAGACAAAACAAGCCGTCCTTCAATCCGGCCGACACTAATGCACTGGTGGCAGCGGTGGGGTTCGGGAAGGGTCTGTCGAAATGCAGACCACCTGGACCCGTGGCCCCGGGTCACCCTGGACAGCCGATGATGTCAGCGGGCCCCACACTACACCAGGTCACCGTCGCTGGAGCCTCGGGTCATCAGGCTGGCATGGGCGGACAGGTCACCCAACAGCAGCCTGGACAACCTGGTACCACATTTAATAACATTCACAAACACATTTAGGCTTGAAATCAGCATTTATCATGCTAATTACATTTTCTGTTTTAACAGGTAAAATGCCCAGCAATATCAAGACTAACATCAAGTCTGCATCCATGCATCCTTATAACCGATGAGTTTCATGCATAAATGCGGCATTTTGTATTCCGATGTTGTGAGATAAAAAAGCTAATTTGTTTTGTGCATTTTCAATAAACGAGTTTGTTGAAATAATCAAGTGTCTAATCTTATCACAATCAGGATTGAGGATTTCAAAGAATGAGCATAGCGATCTGTTTTAGTCACTAGGTGGCAATATTGGCTTTTTAAAAATGTCTAAGTACATTTGCTAAGTAACCTTTTTTAAAAGTTTAGGACCAGGAAGATTTTTTTTTTTATAAAAAAAATACTTTTATTCAGTAAAGAAGAATTAAATTGATTTTAAAAAATGACATTAAAGACATATTATAAAAAATGTCTATTTCAAATAAATGCTGTTCTTTTGAACTTTCTTTTAATCAAAGAATCCTGAAATAAATCACATGTTACGGTTTCCACAAAAATATGAAGCAGCACGACTGTTTTCAACATTGATAATAATAAATGTTTCTTGAGCAGCAAATCACCATATTATAATGATTTCTGAAGGATCATGTGACACTGAAGACTGGAGTAATGATGCTGAAAATACAGCTTTGATCACAGGAATAAATTACATTATAAACATTTAAATTGTAAAACTCGGAAATCTTACTGACTCCTAACTGTTGAACAGTAGTGATTTTTGTTTCAAAATGAATAATTAAATTAGCGTATATAATGATTTAAAGCTGTAAGTTTAAAGTGTTGACCTGGGAGCTTTCTTTTACAATTTCAATACTGTATGTTCCTCATTTAGGAGATAACAGTGTTATAAGTGTGCACTGTTATTCATTTCATTCTAGTTTGGTGCCATTGTAGTACCATGGTGTTTTAGACATGTATCATGGTACTCTTTGTACCTCACAAATACATGATGATCATCAACGTTTCTTTTATAATTTATTTTCACACATTGTGTTGCTCCATCAATAAATATCATACACTTTAGGACCAGGTGGGAAAGTATTTTTCTTTTAAAGTGCCCCTTTAACGCTATTTTAATGGTTCCTAATTTAGTTTGGAGTCTCCTACAACAAGTTTACATGCATCCATGGTCAAAAACACTTCAATTTCTCATAATATACATTACAAAATTGTTCGTTAGAAGATTCATGAGTCTCTTTAAACTCCTCCTCCCCGAGTGCTGCTCTTCTCTGATTGGTCAGATGGATGATTGGTCTGTTGTGATTGGTCGGCCGCTTACAGCTTTCCTCAGCGCTTGATACTCTGCCGCGTTCCAGGCAACCTGTAACCCGTGTTTTTTCAACTCGTAACTGGGAGTACATCGATCTAGTACGAAGTCACGGGTTTGACTGCCGTTCCAGTGCACTTTCACGGGTATAAGGTTGGAAAAACACGGGTAACAGGTTGCCTGGAACGATGTACTCCCAGTTACGAGTTGGAAAAACACGGGTTACAGGTTGCCTGGAACGCGGCATCAGATACAACTACAGTGTTTGAGGGCGGAGCAAAGAGACGCTTTTCAGCCAATCAAGAGCACAGGCTGGAATTATGAAAATGTGTTACATTGATCTTTACAATTTTGCAGACCTTTTACTTTCACAAACAGCTAGGTTACACACTGCATGAAAGGGAATATTCAAAAAAGCATAATAGGGGCACTTTAACCCTTTATTAACTTTGATCTGCTACCATCAGCCTGTGATAACCTGCCAACCAGCGCTGATCCCATGACATCACACACCTTCAGTATCACCTCACATCGTGGGGGTGTTTAATGGTAAATCTAAAAGTGAAAATGAAAGCGGTCTGGGACCCTTTTGAATTCTTCAAGCCAATTAGCACATCAGGAACATCGCTGGGTGAAACATGAATCTTCTCAGAGGACTCCCAAATTTAATCACATTCCTAAATTTGCACATAAATTAGGTATACAATTCCAGTTCCCTTTTGTGTTTTGTGGGTGTTAATGAATACATAAGAGGAAATAATCGCTGAGAACGAACTGCTTTGAGTTTCACGCTTTTGCCCACCAATTCAGATCTCTAAATATTCACAACTATAATAGAAAACGGTCAAAATAATCAGTAATCATATTGAAAAAATTCTCCTTTTTTATTTCATCCTGATGCACCTTTTTATTATTATAAATACCTCATTAGTATTTCATCAGTAGCAACCGGATAGCAAATTATTTTGTAATAATTTAAAACTTCTGTCAAAATGAAAAATCTTTCACTTTAATTCGTTGAGATGATCATGGTAAATGCAAGTCTTGATGTTTCCATCATTAGCAGGCATGACATCACATGACATGATCAATGTAGTCAAGACAAAAGGAAAGCATAACGTGTGTGTTCTTGTGTTATTAGTGTAGAAAACTCCTCTATATGAGGTCAGCATTGGCCTTCAGCACAGCTCAACTCACTCGATGACAGCGTCTGGTCAGGTACTGGTCCCGTTTGAGCTACAAACATGGATGTCACTTTGTTTTGGGGGGTTTTAAGTCACCATGAAATAAAATTGAGAATTCTTATTTTTGTATTAAATATTGCCGTATTCATTATAAATGATTTATCCGTGCACATCATTATTGTGCCTCATAATCCTGAATCAGAATAACTTCCTCTTGCAGCATCTCTTCTCTTCTCTGATGACGAGGGCGGGGCTATAACCTGTCACTCACATGAGATCCACCAATAGCAAACCACAACCATCCAATCAATTCCCCACAGACACAATCAAGCCCCGCCCACATTTGTTCTTGTTCCAGAAGCGATTCACTCGGATATACGACACAATAGAGAAGAAAAGACGAGCGCAACTTCTGTTTCATGCAGATTGACTTATTTACGTCATTTGTAAATGAATGGTGCTTTAACTTCCAGAACCTGACTTTTGCACTCTGAAACACTGAAATATTTATTATATTTTCTGTTCTCCATTGCCATGTCCCTTTACGGGCTCCGTTGCAACCAACTCTCTGAAATCACCCAGAACACCTTAAGGAAGCACGATATATCGGCCGCCATATCGGTATCGGCCGATATATGACGTTTTTAATGTTATAGTTATTGGCCAGATAAGAAAAGTTGGCCGATATATTAAAGCCGATAAATAATGGATTATTTCTATCAGCTGAGAGACTTCAGATGTGCACTGTTCAACATGATGGTTTTGAATTGCTTGAAATATGGTTTAAATCACTTAAAAAAAAAAAAAAGGAAAATACAGTTTGTCAAATATGCTTAATTTTAGATGTTTCTTTTTCAAAAGCATTGATGCGTTATTAATAATAACTAGCACTTTTATTTTTCTCATATTATTTTCATCGACAATATAGTGATTCTTTATATGCAAGTAATGTTGTCCAATGACTTGTTTGCATTATTTAGCCAATAGATTTCATCTGATAAAGAAAGTTGACCATATAGGAGTGTAAAATTTATTGTAAAACTTACACTGGTTCAAAGTGCTACTATATATTTGATTTATGTTGAAGTGCTTGGGACATGACTTATAAGACTTTTGTTTTGTAATCAGGCTCTCAAAAATCATATACAAATTTGGAGAATATATCGGTTATCGGCTTTTAAATCTAGAATTATCGGTCATCGGCCAAAATTTTCATATCAGTGCATCCCTAAACAATACGTAATGCAATTTTGCACAGGCAAACGCTTCAACGTGAGATTTTTAATTTGTCACAAAAAAAAAGTTAATTTGTTGTTTATTTGTGTGTTTTTTGTTCTTGTTGTCATGGATGAATTCTATCATCTATATGATTTAAAAATGAAGTTCACAGATGTGCAAGCACTGTTGTCATATTGCAGGGCATTTCCCAGTGTTCAGTGGGGCAGGGACAGAGGAACTGGAAGTGACAGTGGCCTTCAGTCTCATCTGAGCCTCAGACATCATTATTCTGAAAACTCTTCTGTTTCTTTCAGACATGTAAAGCTCACCACATCTGAGCTGAGACAGAAATAACAACAAAGATTTACCCATGTAACCCTGAGTACACACACTTAAATAACTTATCAAACAAATCAACTTAACCTGACCCACAAACCAGCAGAATGTGTCGGAAAACAGTAAAACTGCAAATCAAACAGGCTTTTTGTTCTGCCAAACGCACTTTTAATCCTTCAAAACAGTGATAATTGTTTGACAAGAAAGACAGAATAGACACAGGTCTGGATGAGCTTCCTCCAGGACTCTGACAATCTGCCATCGTCTTTCAAGGGTGTTTAGATTGTATCCGCATCAACACAACGCGTCCCACACTTTCGCGCTTCGTTTTCGATCCGTGTTTCAAAGAGATAAGTTTCTGTTTGTCTCGAGGCGTTTTTTTTTCAAAGATGCTCGCGCACAATGCGAGAACGCATGTCTGATTCATTAACACGAGGCGCTTTAGGCGCATCTCCAAAGCTGCTGTTTAACTTCAACACCCACATCGCGAAAGTTCATCTCGTATAAACACTGCCACCGTTTCACAGATTTCCGAGGCGTTCTGCGGTTTGATCCGCATGAAACGCGTGAGTGACACCATGAGCTGCGCGAATCTTCCCCAAATGGTACTGAACGCATCTCTTTTTAGGAAAAGTTGGTGTGTGAGGCAGATCAGAGGAGTGTGTTTATCTCCCTGTAGGGTGGAGGATCCGAACGGGACACTTAATGAATACATCCGCCCTGTTACGTATCTACATATCCTATACTGTACGTCCTCCTGAATTAAGCGGAAAATCAACAGCAACATCTAACCTGATCTCTATTCTCTGTGCCAATTCAACACGAGCCATCAGGGAGGAACTTATGATGGAGATAAATCCTTACAGCTCATATGCACAATTCACGAGCCTCATCCAGCATGTCAATATGATGAAGCTCTCGTACAGAACACTTCACATGTGTGCTCGATAGAGACGAGAGGAGATAAGATGCTCATCCTCCCTCTGGTCTGCTCTGTAGCCTAATCCCCGCACACACACACACACACACACACACACACACACACACACACGGCTTTAATTCTGCCCTGTAGACCTGAGACATGTTCCCATCCGCCCCTGAGGCTCACACAGACGAGCATCACACGTGTGTGTGTGTGTGTGTGCGTGTGTGTGCATTGTGCTGCCAATAAGGTTTGTCGTGCATTATGCAGAACGCAAAAACACGCTTCTATATGTTGTTTTTACAGCATCATAAAAGCACAAATGCCTCATTCTGTTTAAAGAAATGCGGCCAAATTTTCAGACGACGGATTTAGGAAAGCAATCTGGATTGTGAATGTTTATTTTTATGTACATAAAAAGAAGAAGAAGAAGCTCAAGACTTTCATTATTATTTTATTTCAATGGTGTCCTGTTATATTGTAGCCTATTATAGTGTTTGTACAGTATATGGGTGCCTCAAAATCTGTGCAGAATTTTTGTTCCTTCACTTTATATTCAACCATGTTATGCTGTGATATTAGTTATCCTTTAAAAATAACAAATGATGTTATTGGAGCACTTTTTTTGTGGGGTTCCTACTAACTACTAATCTGTAAAGAGTTTAATGTGTTGTATATCACAAGATAACATTTGATATAACATGAAATACTGATCATGTGATTTGGTGAACTATATTCTCTTTAAAAGTATAATGAATCATGAATTAGTAAGTATAATTTATTATACATTATATGATATTATTATTAATATACATGTAATGTAATACATAATATATTTGTATATATCTATGTATATAAATGAAGTATAATACTTTATTATAACCAATATATAATTTATTATAATTTAATTATGATTTTGTTATTATTAATAATATATATATATATATATGTGTGTGTGTGTGTGTATATATATATAGTTGGTATTATAATTTATTTTAACCAATACATATCTATTCTAATTTAATTATGATGTTATTATTAATATATATATATGAACTGATTATAAGGTGTATTTTTTAGTTTTTTCCCCATTCTTCTGTGATTTGTGATGTTCTCTTTACGCTGGTGTTTGTGAAGCTCAATCCAGCATTTTTGACTTCACTCAAAGATTTAGGCTCTGAATTCAATTTGATCACAAGGTCCCGCTCGTGGCGAGTGAAAAATGGACTACAGAGATCCTCTAAATGGTGGCCATCAATAAAGGCGCAGTGCTTTGCTTTGCATTCATCTTCCTCCCTTAATTTGTTTTCCAGACCTCAGTCCCTCGGCTGCTGACCTTTCAGAGAGACGCTCCTGAAACAGCAGATAGAGTGAGACGCTCTCCACCGAGGACTCGTGTATTTATGAAGTGCAGCCGGGGAAGAATAGACTGAACGAGCACATTTAACATGAGAGAGAGAGTCTGGAGTGATGTTACCGTGGTAAAACAGCATCCGCTATAGGGACATTCTCAGGAAACGCTGCCATTTGTGCCCGGAAATGTTTCAGGATTATTATTCTTTTTTTTTTTTTTTTTTAAGGCTATTGCTGAACTTTTTTTTTACAGTACCAGACTGTAATACAGTAAGCACACATGACCTCCAGTATTCAGATGATGATGGTCTTACAGCCTTACTCTTAGAAATAAAGGTTCAATGGGGTTCTATATAGAACTCTAGGGTTCTTGCCAGAATTTTAAAGAACCCTTTCATGCCAAAAATGTTCTACATAAGAAGAAATGTCTTAAATGATTGCATAATACTTTCATGTTTCATGTGTTATTTCATTTTTTAGTGATAAAAGTAGCCCATGTTAAAATCAGTCCATGCTTTCATAGACAGCCTAGGAAGTCGGGGAAGGTCTCAGTCGTTACAAGCTGTTCACACATTAGCAATAAAAAGTGATTAATACATAATAATTAGATATAAACCCATATAGAGGCATTTCTTCTAAGAGTGAAAGCAGAATGTGCATGGACGAATTCTGCACTTTCACAGAAAAAGCATAAATCATTTAAAGACAATACTACACAACATATTGAAAAAGCATGATTTTTTTCACTTTAATAAAAGCAAAATATAAGCCAAAGTAGTTTTTTTTTTTTTTTAAATATGCAATCAATTTCAGTGCAATGGTAATAAATTGGGTGTCCAAATTGGCTGATATTTCAATGAAAAACAATGACACTAATGAGAGTTAAGATCATTCATATTCACTTGATTATTCGGTTCGCTCACAAATGGCAGCTTTTCCTGAGAATGAACCATAAATATAAGTGTTTCACATTTTTCTGAAGGTGTTTAAACATGATCTTCAGTGTGTTCCCTTAAAAAAAATGCAGAAAGCCAGATCAAAATGTACAATATTTCTTAATAAGTCTGACAGTCGTCATCACCTTAAACTCGGACCACAGACTAAAAACAAACTGATAATTTGCATCCCCTGAAAAAAATAAAACTCACACAAAATCATCCATATTCTCAGTTTCATCTGGGAGAAGGAGATAAATGCCATTTCTCTTTTCATTTAACTGAAAATAGTAACACTTTCACACTTTACAATAAGGTTCATTTGTTTACATTAGTTACATTAATTAACATGAACTAATAATGAAAAATACTTCTAAAGCACATCATTAATCTTACAAACCCATTATTGAAATCAAAAGTTGTATCTGTTATTAATATGATTGATGGACCTGAGCTAACATCAACTAACAATGAAGAGTTGTATTTTGATTGAATAAATACTGTATGGGAGCTCGTTGTAAAGTGTTACCGATAAAATAATAGGGATACAGTGACCAGATGGTCAATATTATTGTAAATATTGCATGTTATTTCCAATTCAATCAATAGAAGAGATGCAATACAGAGATTCTCATAGCTCAAAGTCCTCCAATGATCAGACATATTAATGACATTTAACATGTTAAAGTAATTTAACTTGAAATCAGACACCAGAGAGAAACATATGGCAACAAAAGAATCTATTTATTCTGAATATGCATTACCAGTACAAATGAAGAGACCAAAAAACCTACACCTTGTTAGTTTTTCTTCACAAAAACGAGTTGGAATCAAAAAGACAATAGTTTGCTGTTCCATTTTATTCCTTTTATACATATGCAGAGATCTTTAAAGTTAAAACTTGACAAGAGAATGTCTCTGCGCTTGATATAAAAAAAGAAGAAACATTCAAAAACACTGCAGGAGTTTAAAGAACAAAAGACATGCAACAAAGTAAACATTTGATGTTTTACAAACCGCTGTATATGCAAAAACTAAACGCATCATTATATGAGGCTTTTCTGAGTGTGTTGCTGCTGGGCAGGCAGTGATGCGAACGGCGTGAGCGAAGGGAAGCGCTTCCGAAGTGAGGACGAGACTGCGAACCCAACACAGAAGCAGGACTAGGACGGTCCGGAACCTCTACATGGTCTCATTCTCAAGTCACAACCCTTTCCTTGCAGTGATTGTAGCCCTGATCTCTCCAAGCCTCCACACGCGCTCGGATCCATCCGTGTGAACAGCGGGTCACTTTACACGGGGATGCGACTGTTATAAAAAGAGCAAAACAAGAGCAAAAGGTGCACATCTACATATAGAAGCTAGCGCGCATTCACATTATGCTTGCGAGAAACTAAAATATATGGCCGCCCTGTAAACAAGCCCAATATGAAGTAAGAAACGAGAGTCGGCTATTCACAACAGGAGGGCATCAAAAATATATCCAAACGATTTCTGCATTAGTGTGCCATCATTAGCTTTTCCTTTTCTTCTAGAGAAACGCGACGGAACTCCAGCTGGATTTTTGGTTTCGAGTGTATAACGCACCGTGGACATTCGTGAGAAACGCATCCCAGCGCACAAGATATTACACAATTTACAACATGAACAGTGTCGCGTGACGTCAACGGAAAGAACGGACACGTCTGGGGTTTTTGGTATCAAAGCCGCCCGAAGAGAAGGCTGACGTGGGACGAAACTGGAAAAGAAAGCCATTTCACATTTGGGATTTGTTCACTTGTTCTGATTTCCGTTTATTGCATTCTCATGTGCGCTAATGAAAATCCTTCATGATGATGATGATGATGATGATGATATATAAAGGGATTCGTGTGTCTGTAAATGAATATCAGACAAACAGAAGCGTGACGTATGTGAATCTTATTTAAGATGCAAAATAACATGATGATAACTTGATAACTGCATTGCCTTTATTTCTCATTAAAGCAGGGAAATTATGATTTTCCCTTATGTAGTACATAAACATAATCTAAACGACCAAGGGCCAGATTTACTAACAGCTTATACCAGTGCAAACCCTGCTTTAGAGTTAAGAAAACTCCTGTCAGGATTGACTAAAGACACGCTCTGAAACGACGGGGACAGGGTTATTTTTGCGTCCCTTATTACATATGCAATTGAAGAAGTTTCCCTTTCAGACGCAAAATTTATGAGATGAGAGCGTTTAAATGAATCATGCAAGGTGATTTACTAAGGTTTGCGCTCGTCAATTTACTGGTATTTGCGCCATTATTTACCAATAGCATGTTTTAACCAGATGGTAATATGCGCTGCTCTTGGTAGATTGTGTTGGTCATTATGGAAATGATCCGCTGCGTCTGAGCTTTCATTTGTGTGTCGTCAGTAGATCACGCACTGAACTTTACACTTTTGGGGATTTTGCTCTCACGCTAATTTGCCCTGTTTGGTAAATCTGGCTCTAAATATTCAGGAGATTATTAAAGGTTATTAGACAAACAGAAGTGAAGTTGACTTCAGCTCAGAGGCAGTGTGAACCCAATCAACTGCTCTTCAAGCATAATACGTCTAATTATAATGTAAAATCTGTTGTGTAAATGTTACTAAAGAGATGTATAAAAGTATTTTGGCACTATGGTAAAATTGCAAAATGTTTCAAACATAACGTGATGTTTGTTGTGAGGACGAAGGCATTGAGTTATTTCTGGAACGGGTTGATCTGTCTAGTCTATTGTCTTGGTTTGCAGACACTGATGTTTAGAGAGGTAGCATGAAGATGAGGGATGATGATGATCTGTTGTGTTCACAAAAGTCCTTTACACACTGGAGGGAAGAGCGTGTGGCGTGATGCAGAGAGTCCGTGTGTGTGTGTGTGGAGGATCAGTTGGAGGTGTCGGAGTGAACGCTTCCGGGTCCTTCTGTGGGGGAGGTGACGGAGGAGGGGGTGGTGGGGTCCTGCCAGCCACCGTTCGCCTGGCGGAGAGAACAACACACACAGCATGAGGGACCGATTACATCACAATATCAGGATATCATCACAATATCATCACAATATCATCACAATATCATCACAATATCAGGATATCATCACAATATCAGGATATCATCACAATATCAGGATATCATCACAATATCAGGATATCATCGCAATATCAGGATATCATCACAATATCAGGATATCATCACAATATCAGGATATCATCGCAATATCATCACAATATCAGGATATCATCACAATATCACCACAATATCATCACCATATCAGGATATCATAACAATATCAGGATATCATCACAATATCAGGATATCATCGCAATATCATCACAATATCAGGATATCATCACAATATCACCACAATATCATCACCATATCAGGATATCATAACAATATCAGGATATCATAACAATATCATCAGGATATCATAACAATATCAGGATATCATCACAATATCATCAGGATATCATCACAATATCAGGATATCATCACAATATCAGGATATCATCGCAATATCATCACAATATCAGGATATCATCGCAATATCATCACAATATCAGGATATCATCACAATATCACCACAATATCATCACCATATCAGGATATCATCACAATATCAGGATATCTGTGACGAGGGGGGCGTGGTTTTCGCGAAGTCTGTGGTGAGAGAGGAGTCAATAAGCTGTGCGGTGAGTAAGTGGTTCAAGTGCAGATGATGAACACCTGTGTCTGATTGCAGTGATTGGCATGGAGAGACGGATATAAGCCGCACAGATTGAGAGTGCGGGAGAGAGAGAAAGGACTGGGACTTGTGCAGCGATCGAGGGAAAGAGTGTTGTAGAAAAGCACCGAGAGCTGAACCAGCGTGGAAAGAGTTTTGATTGAAATTGTGCTGTGCTGTAGAGAAACTACGGTGAATGCGCTGTGTGCGCGCCTATTGTTTTGTTTTGATTCTGAGTTAATAAAGTCTGTACGAGTCCCAGTATCGCCGACCCTGTGTTCTTCTTCCTCGCCCACAAACAAACTTTGCTACAATATCATCACAATATCATCACAATATCAGGATATCATCACAATATCATCACAATATCAGGATATCATCACAATATCATCACAATATCAGGATATCATCACAATATCAGGATATCATCACAATATCATCACAATATCAGGATATCATCACAATATCATCACAATATCAGGATATCATCACAATATCATCACAATATCATCAGGATATCATCACAATATCAGGATATCATCACAATATCATCACAATATCAGGATATCATCACAATATCAGGATATCATCACAATATCAGGATATCATAACAATATCAGGATATCATAACAATATCATCAGGATATCATAACAATATCAGGATATCATCACAATATCATCAGGATATCATCACAATATCAGGATATCATCACAATATCAGGATATCATCACAATATCAGGATATCATCACAATATCAGGATATCATCACAATATCATCACAATATCAGGATATCATAACAATATCATCAGGATATCATAACAATATCAGGATATCATCACAATATCATCACAATATCAGGATATCATCACAATATCAGGATATCATCACAATATCAGGATATCATCACAATATCAGGATATCATCACAATATCATCACAATATCAGGATATCATCACAATATCAGGATATCATCACAATATCACCACAATATCAGGATATCATCACAATATCAGGATATCAGGATATCATCACAATATCACCAGGATATCAGGATATCATCACAATATCAGGATATCATCACAATATCATCACAATATCAGGATATCATCACAACATCATCACAATATCAGGATATCATCACAATATCAGGATATCATCACAATATCATCACAATATCAGGATATCATCACAATATCAGGATATCATCACAATATCAGGATATCATCACAATATCATCACAATATCAGGATATCATCACAATATCAGGATATCATCACAATATCAGGATATCATCACAATATCAGGATATCATCACAATATCATCACAATATCAGGATATCATCACAATATCAGGATATCAGGATATCATCACAATATCAGGATATCATCACAATATCATCACAATATCAGGATATCAGGAAAGAAAATGGCTTGTCAGTCAATATGTTGTTGCCAAATCCATTATTTCAGTCCATTTTACTCCATTTTGGAATATGATTTAAATGGACAGAAACAACGATTTAGTTGCCAACAGTGAAAAATGAAACGCAACAGACAAAATTCTTTAACATTTTGGGGATGTGTGTGTACACACTTTCACTCACACACTACCGTTCAAAAGTTTGGGGTCATTTAGTTGTTTTTTTGTGCTTTTAAAAATAAAGAAATTTATGCTTTTAATTTAAAAGCAAGGATGCTTTTTTTTTTTTTTTACTGACAGTAAAGACATTTATAATGTTACAAAAGATTATATTTCAAACAAATGCTGTTCTTTTAAACTTTCTATTCATCAAAGAATCCTGAAAAATAAAATGTATCACGCTTTCCACAAAAATATAACCGTTTTCAACATTGATAATAATCAGAAATGTTTCTTGAGCAGCAAATCATCATATTAGAATGATTTCTGAAGGATCATGTGACACTGAAGACTGGAGTAATGATGCTGAACATTCAGCTTTGATCACAGGAATAAATTACATTTGAACATATATTCACATAGAAAACAGTTCTTTGAAATTGTAATAATATTTCACATTTGTACTGTTTTTGATCAAATAAATGCAGCCTTAGTGAGTAAAAGATTCTTCTTAAAAACATAAAACAATCTTTTTTTGTAAGTGCTTACAAAGTCTAAGAAAACCCTTTGTCTAGTAGAGTTTTATCAGTAGTTTTGTTGACAGCACAGGTTTCTGTCGCTCTGAAATGGTCCTCAGAAAACAGGAGTCAGCCTGTAAGAGCTCAGTGTGTGTAACGGCTGTCATTTGAACTCACACACACACAAATACTGAGAAACAACAAGAGAAAAGAATCAAGACTGAGAATAAAACAGGAATCAGGAAGGACACAGAGGGAAAGAAATGTGGAAGAAACACACACATGCAGCAGAAGCCATCACTAATCTCACAGACAGCGAAGCTACGCTACTAATGCTTTAAAGAAACTCAATTTAATGTACGGTTTAATTTAATCTACACTTAAGTCACAATAAAAATGCATTAGAGTGTCAGTGCGTTAGAAAATAAAATATCAAAGCAAGTGTCATTAATTGCAAAGAAAGACACACACACACTGTACAAGAACAGTGTATCGTGCCTCTTTGTGGTTGTGAAATGCTAGTGGAAAATGTTCATAGTTCATGTGGTGAACTTATCTAACGCAATGACATTCAGACATTTATAAATGTCACTTAATATTTTTGGGGCGGCTGTACATGTTTTTTTTTAAACGATATTTCGAACGAGCCACATTCAAAGTCTTAAATTAGCTGATATATGCATTCATTTTATATTGATGCAATCATTTGCTACCAATTTAAAAATAATATCTAATATCAAACTGACAAAAGAATTTCTATGGATGAGGATTAATGTGTAAAAACTTGAATAAAATAATTTTTATAGAGACTGCACTCACACAAGCAGTATTTAATGGTTAGAAGATTTGGACATAAAAAGAAATATTTTCATTAACAATGTAAATCATGTTAAGTTTGAATACATTTTAATGACTTTTTCTATATTATATAATATTAAAAACTATCATTCAAAAGTTTGTGGTCTGTAAGATTTTTTTAATGTTTTAGAAAGAAGTCTCTTCTGCTCACCAAGACTGCATTTATTTGATTAAAAGAAAAACAGTGAAAGCTGAATGTCCAGCATCATTACTCCAGTCTTCAGTGTCACACGATCCTTCAGAAATCACTCTAATATGATGATCTGAAGCTCAAGAAACATTTATGATTATTAGCAATGTTGAAAACAGTTGCGCTGTTTCTTTGTTTTTTATAAAAAAAAAAAAAAAAAAAAAAGCATTTATTTGTTTTGTACGGAGCCCCCCTAGTCCCACTTTGTCAAAAAAAATTATTATAACTATCTCGTGGCCTCAAGATAGAGATACTATCTTGAGGCCACGAGATAGTTATAATAATTTTTTTTGACAAAGTGGGACTAGGGGGGCTCCGTAGTTTTGTAACAATAAAATGTATTTTTTTCTAACAATTTAATGCATCCTTGCTGAATAAATGTTTTTTTTTTAAATGTTTCAAACTGAATTGTATGCTTAATTAAGTATGAATTCATCATCCGGCTTTGTGCCTAAATGACTGTCCTGTATTGAATGCTTTCTAAAAAAAGCTCGATGTGAATTTCGCAACGTTCTCGGTGTCTGTACATCAAAGTCAAGCCCGCAATTCTCTGATCCCGCAGATCTCCACACGGATCCAGGAAAACACAGGATTTGCATACATCCCCCCCCGAACGCGTATGATCTCATTAACATACGGCCAGCGAAGCGCGACAGAACGTAAGCGGGACAGAGACGCTGACCCCCCCCCCCTCTCGTTCTCGGCTCGCTGTCAAGCCCATTAGCTCGGCAGGAACCTGATCTGAGCAATGTGCTTGGATTGCTGTCCCGAGTCCACACTCCGCTCCCTGTGTGTCTGTCGTATTGATTTTCCCCTTTACCACACGGCTTGTCGCTGTGAATTTTCTCGTCGCGCCAAGTTGCCAGCAGCGCCCCTCCCGTTCCCCCGCTTCCCGAATACACTCAGGATGTCCTCCTACGAGCGTTTCACCACGGCTTTATTTTTAGCGTTCGATTGTCCGCAGAGTGTTTTTCTCTGCCGCCCTTTGGGGGATAATCAGGGTCAGGTGACTCTGGGGCACGACGAGGACTCATATATTTGCAGCCGGTGTCACCTGTTCTCCCCCGTTCCCGTCAGCGGGGTGTGTGGCTGCAGGTGCCGGGCCGATCTGATTGGATGTGATGGGTTCAGACAGACCCGGGCCGGTCTCGTGTCCACGTCTCGCTGGGCAGCGCCGCCCGTGGCGTTCACAACACACAGGCAATCAACTAAGTGACCACGATTCCCAGACAAGTCCCACTAAGTGGCATTCTGAGCCCTATGGCTTTGAAATAATTGGTAGAGGGCAAAACAAGAGGAAGGGGGAAAAAAAAGAAGTGTTTTTTCTCGCCTTACATTGATGCCCTGCGGACTGTACATCTGGTTTGCTGCGAGGCCGTCACTGTATCCTCCTGTCTGGCTGATAACATGGCGAAGGGTATCCACCTGAAACAAAAAACAACACGGCAAGGTCAGAGCGCACACAAAAAAAGCGCTAACGCAAGGTCGGATGAAGCGACGCACGCAAACAAAGCAAAGTCAGACGACACGTCAAAGAAGAAAGCAAGGTCAAAGAAAGCAAACAACAATAAAAGACAAAGAAAACACGATGAAACACAGACGTACAAACACAAGATGACATGCGAACAAAAAAACGCATTACAAAGCCAGTCTCTACGGCTCTGTTCTGAAACCTAGTGAGCTGCCTATAGTCCTAGACAGCATTTTAAGATGTGTATATTCCATACGCTGCCTTATAAGATGCCTCAATTCTACAGTAGCACTGTGGTAGACCCCAGAATGCATTGCATCAAACCAAAAAAGAGAAACTTTGATTAAAAATATACTTACACTACAGTTCAAAAGTTTGGGGTTGCTAAGATCGCTAAGTCTCTTCTGCTCTCCTAGGCTGCATTTATTTGATCAAAATACAGTAAAAACAGAAATATTATTACAATTTAAAATAACCGTTTTCTATGTGAATATATGTTCAAATGTAATTTATTTCTGTGATCAAAGCTGAATTTTCAACATCATCAATTCAGTCTTCAGTGTCACATGATCCTTCAGAAATCACTCTAATATGATGATTTGAAGAAACAATTATAATTATTATCAATGTTGAAAACAGTTGTGATGCTTCAGATTTTTGTTTTTTTCTCAGGATTCTTTTGAGGAATAGAAAGTTCAAAAGAACGGCGTTTATTTGAAATAGAAATTGTAACATTATAAATGTCTTTACTGTCTCTTTTGATCAATTTAATGCATCCTTGCTGAATAAAAGTATTCATTTCTTTCCAAAGAAATGCAAAATCTTACTGACCCCAAACTTTTGTTTATTTCTCGTGAAAAGTATTCATAGAGAAGTTCATGATCAAACGTTCCTATTTTACACAATATTTGTGTGTACCATGCATTGGTTTCGTTAGTAACATGCTAATGTCAAACAGAAGTCATTATTAGAGTTGCTGTCTATTGTAAAGTGTTTCAAATCTGGTTCAAATTCAGTCAGCTTCCTATGTAGAGAGGCCGTTCACAAGGTATCTTTTTCAACATTTCAAATTGACTTTAAAAAACGGTAAAACTGTATTTTGATGGTCCCCTTTAGACTATAAGTAATATTGCAACTACATGTTAACTGACTCGAGTATTAGTAGACTGCTTAATATCTGCTAACACTTTATTTTGATGCTCTCCAAACACATTCTACTAACTATAAGTCACTTTGCAAGTACATGTCAACTTATTCTACTAACCCGAACCCCTTATTCTACTCTAATGAGAGTTAGCAGACATGTAGGAGCAACGTTACTTATAGTCAAAGAATGTCTAAAGGGGACCATCAAAATAAAGTGTACTCAAACACACACACACACACACACACACACACACACACACACACACACACACACACACACACACACACACACACACACACACACACACACACACACACTGCAGTGTGTGTGTTGCTGCTCGGAGGTGATTTATTGGCACTGTACCTGTGACTGCACATTGGCTCCCACCTGAGAGCCCTGGTACGAGTCCCCGTTCAGAGACTGAACACTCATAAACAAATCGCCAGAGTTTGACATGCTAAAAGAGCCAGCAGAACCTGAGAGGTGCACAAACATGACAGAGAGGGACAGAATAAGCCAGAGAAAATGAGTCTGAAAACTTCCAAAGAGTTATAGTTAGATAAGCTTTAAGATCATAAAGCAGCCCGTAAAGAAGACGAAGAACTGTTGCAAAGCAGGAGAGATTCAGCTGGCAGCAAGAGGAAGCTCCACGCCACAGATCATAGCTCAGATTCGTGCAAGTTTGATTTTTTTATTGAAATCTTAATCATTTTATAATAATCGACCAATTGAGAGCAGATGCCATATTTAATTTGATGCAATTTAAAATGTATATGCTTAGCCATCATTTGCATCTCAATGTATTTCTAATCTGATATCTCATAAAGATGTGTGAAACTATTCTTTGCACTGAAAAAAAAAAAAAAAGATTCATTTTTACAATACATAACATGTTTTTAAATGTACACTATCGTTCAAACGTTTAGGGTCAGTAAGATGTTTTTTTCCCCACAGAAATGAATACTTTAATGCAGCACATTAAATTGATCAAAAGTTACAATAAACTAAAGACTTACAATAAAGACTTTATAATGTCACAAAAATTCTCTTTGAAATAACTGCTCTTTTTATACTTTCTATTCATCAAAGAATAAAATGTATCATGGTTTCCACAAAATTATGAAGCAGCGCAACTGTTTTCAACATTGCTAATAATCAGAAATGTTTCTTGAGCAGCAAATCATCATATTAGAGTGATTTCTGAAGGATCATGTGACACTGAAGACTGGAGGAATGATGCTGAACATTCAGCTTTGATCACAGGAATAAATTACATTTGAACATATATTCACATAGAAAACAGTTATTTTGAATTGCAATAATATTTCACTATATTATACTTTTATTACTGTATTTGTAATCACATAAATGCAGCCTTGATGAGCAAACAAGACTTCTTTAAAAAAAAAAACGTATTTCCTACCGACCCCAAACTTTTTAACAGTAGTGTATTTTTACTACTTTGTCATCTGAAGGATTGACGCCCCTAGTCTCTCCCTCAGTCTTTTTTTTTTTTTTTTTTTTTTTTGTGTGTGTAGAATTAACTCTCACTTAACTCTATAGACACATGTTTTCATGGCTTTAACAGAGCAAAAAGCTGTTTGTTTTACCTACACAAGTCCTCTGAGTTACACAAAGAGAATTACTGAGACCATACATGTTGTGATCCGCACAGCACTCATTCTGTGGGCTATAGCTTGACATGCAGTAAAGTTACATTAAAGAAATCAGCTTTACAGCAGCATCGCTACACGAGGTAAAGTCCTACGCCTCGCCAGTCCTCAAAAAAGCCCTGCCTTTTTTCTTTCTTTCTCCATTCTGTCACCTGATTGGTTCATTGCCACTGTCACATTTTTTCACCTGTGTCGCCTTTGGCTTTTGGCTTGCTTAGTTGGGGACATTTAATTTAATATTCAATAATATTATTGATCTGCCTGCATTGACACCGTTATATGAGAACTGAACTGAGCTGGATGATGACATCACGGTTTTCTCCAGAGCGGCTATACTATATACAGGTCCTTCTAAAAAAATTAGCATATTGTGATAAAGTTAATTATTTTCCATAATGTAATGATAAAAATTTAACTTTCATATATTTTAGATTCATTGCACACCAACTGAAATATTTCAGGTCTTTTATTGTTTTAATACTGATGATTTTGGCATACAGCTCATGAAAACCCAAAATTCCTGTCTAAAAAAATTAGCATATCATGAAAAGGGTCTCTAAACGAGCTATTAACCTAATCATCTGAATCAACTAATTAACTCTAAACAACTGCAAAAGATTCCTGAGGCTTTTAAAAACTCCCACCCTGTTTCATTCCTCAAAACCGCAATCATGGGTAAGACTGCCGACCTGACTGCTGTCCAGAAGGTCATCATTGACACCCTCAAGCAAGAGGGTAAGACAGAAAGAAATTTCTGAACAAATAGGCTGTTCCCAGAGTGCTGTATCAAGGCACCTCAGTGGGAAGTCTGTGGGAAGGAAAAAGTGTGGCAAAAAACGCTGCACAACGAGAAGAGGTGACCGGACCCTGAGGAAGATTGTGGAGAAGGACCGATTCCAGACCTTGGGGGACCTGCTGAAGCAGTGGACTGAGTCTGGAGTAGAAACATCCAGAGCCACCGTGCACAGGCGTGTGCAGGACATGGGCTACAGGTGCCGCATTCCCCAGGTCAAGCCACTTTTGAACCAGAAACAGCGGCAGAAGCGCCTGACCTGGGCTACAGAGAAGCAGCACTGGACTGTTGCTCAGTTTTGCATGTCATTCGGAAATCAAGGTGCCAGAGTCTGGAGGAAGACTGGGGAGAAGGAAATGCCAAAATGCCTGAAGTCCAGTGTCAAGTACCCACAGTCAGTGATGGTCTGGGGTGCCATGTCAGCTGCTGGTGTTGGTGCACTGTGTTTTATCAAGGGCAGGGTCAATGCAGCTAGCTATCAGGAGATTTTGGAGCACTTCATGCTTCCATCTGCTGAAAAGCTTTATGGAGATGAAGATTTCATTTTTCAGCACGACCTGGCACCTGCTCACAGTGCCAAAACCACTGGTAAATGGTTTACTGACCATGGTATTACTGTGCTCAATTGGCCTGCCAGCTCTCCTGACCTGAACCCCATAGAGAATCTGTGGGATATTGTGAAGAGAAAGTTGAGAGACGCAAGACCCAACACTCTGGATGAGCTTAAGGCCGCTATCGTAGCATCCTGGGCCTCCATAACACCTCAGCAGTGCCACAGGCTGATTGCCTCCATGCCACGCCGCATTGAAGCAGTCATTTCTGCAAAAGGATTCCCGACCAAGTATCGACTATTGAGTGCATAACTGAACATAATTATTTGAAGGTTGACTTTTTTTTTTTGTATTAAAAACACTTATTTTATTGGTCGGATGAAATATGCTAATTTTTTGAGACAGGAATTTTGGGTTTTCATGAGCTGTATGCCAAAATCATCAGTTTTAAAACAATAAAAGACCTGAAATATTTCAGTTGGTGTGCAATGAATCTAAAATATATGAAAGTTTAATTTTTATCATTACATTATGGAAAATAATGAACTTTATCTCAATATGCTAATTTTTTGAGAAGGACCTGTATATATATAAATGAACTAAATTAATAACCTTTTTTACAACAAAAATGAACCATCACTGAACTTGCTTAAGCTGGACTGTGACGCTATTTTCTTCTGGACACAATCTTTGTTGCATTATTTTCCTGTTATCTCTGTAAAGCTGCTTTGAAACACTCTGTATTGTAAAAAGCTCCATATAAATAAAGCTGACTTGACTTGATCAGGGATCCTGGGACTCGGGACGGGTTTCTGGTCTCACCTGCTGAGTTCGGGGTGGATGGTGAGTTGGCCTGACTGCCGTGTGTGGACACACTCGCTGCGCTCACAGCCGTTCTGGCGGCGTACATGTTGGCTTCTTCCTGGAACTTTCCGATGTTCTTCTTGTATCGGATTCTTTTGTTTCCGAACCAGTTGGACACCTGCCGACAAAAACATCATCAAGACATGTGATTTTAAACAGTGTCCTCTTGAACCTCATGGATACAAATCATGATGGACTATTAAAGGGGTCATATAATGGTACATGCACTTTTACAAGTTGATTGTACTGAAATGTGTGTTGGCAGTGCCTGTACACAAACATCATATAATGATAAAAATCCATCCAGTGGTTTTGTTTTAATCTCCTTATATGTTTTCCCCTGCCTCAAATCGAGCCGTTCGTTTTTGTGACGTCAATAAAACGGACGCCCCTCCCACGATTGTTGATTGACGGGAGCGTTTCAACACAGACCCGCCCTCGCACATGAGGGAGCTGTCAATCATAGTCTGCACGGACCGGACCGGCGCGGTCATTGTTGATATGCTGGAGCACTGTCTATGAGCAGAATGGCGTCTAAGCGATTGTGGTGTTCTGTACTTGGGTGTAATAACAAACACAGTCATTTTAATGTTCCTAAATCCGAACCGCTGAAGACGCAGTGGCTGAGTTTTGTTTTCGAAGGGAATATTCCACACGAGCAACGTCAATGCTCTCATGTTTGCGCGAATCATTTCACACACCAGACTGCTTTATAAAGGAGGATCAGTATAAAGCTGGATTTGCTAAGAAGCTTTGCTAAAAAGGATTGGTACCAGATATTCGTGTTCCTGCTGAACCTCCAGAAGAACTGAAGTGAGTGAAACGTTTTATTAAACTTTATATTAATATATTAATCTTTGCAAATCGCTAGCAGCACGCTTCACGATGAATGAGTCTAAGGTTTACACTTAGGGTACATTACGGCATGTTTTCTATGTATGACGTTCTCAATATAATTCATAATTCCATGTTTATACTGAACAGCGCGTTATGGTTATTGTGTTATTGTGTTACAAACGGTGTACGCACAGAACAGAGAGGCGGGGTGAGCAAAGCTCATTATCATTTAAAGGCATATGCACTGAAAAGGCGTGCTGAAAACAGAGCTGTTTTTGACCAGGTAAAATAAGTGTTTTCTTACAATACTAATGAGAATTTTTAATTAAAGTATATTACAAACTTTTAATTTAGACCCTAAAGAATCATATTAGCTTGTACAAAAATGGCATTATATGACCCCTTTAAACATAAACTGTTTTTTAGACACAGACATTTACAATGAGGAAAAAATGTTACACATATACGCAAATACATACATTATACTACCGTTCAAAAGTGTGGGGTCGGAAAGATTTGTTTCCTGTTTTTGAGAGAAGTCTCTTCTGCTCACCAAGGTAGCATTTATTAATACAGTAAAAACAGAAATATTGTGAAATAATATAACAATCATGAATATGTTTTTAAACTGTAATTTATTCCTGTGATCAAAGTTGAATTTCCAGCATCATTACTCCAGTCTTCAGTGTCACATGATCCTTCAGAAATCACTCTAATATGATGATTTGATGCTCAGGATTATTAATTTTATTGTCAATGTTGAAAACAGTTGTGCTGCGTCAGATTTTTGCAAAACTGTGATGCATTATTTTCAGGATTCTTTGATGAATGGAAAGCGTTTATTTGAAATTTAAATCCGTAACACTATTTTACAGTGTGCTTGTTACACGTTACATGTAATTCTTTATAGTAATTACTATAAATTATGCATAATTACGTATATACAACTAACTAACTAACCCTAAACCTAACCCTATAGTAGTAGTTCACATAGTAGTAACTGTAACACTGTAACAAGGACGACACCTTAAAATAAAGTGTAACCTAAAAATCTTTTGTAACATTATAAATGTCTTTACTGTCACTTTTGATCAATTGAATGCATCCTTGCTGAATAAAAGTATTGATTTCTTAAAAAAAAAAAGCATACTGACCCCAAACGTTTGAACGGTAGTGTATGATGCAATGCATTTTTTTTATCTTTAAAAAAAAAATGAAACTACTAAAATACTTTTTTTTTTGTTAGTTAGTAGGGCGTTTTCTTTCAATTAATGAATGATGGTGGAAGCAATTAGATACTGATAACTGTAAATCTGGACTGTTTATATGCATTTTAGGTAGGCTACCATTGCAATCAAACTTCTCAATTAAGACAATTTATGAGGTGATAGTTTTAAGACAAATCTACAGTACATCATTCTCATCATGTAGCAACACTAGAACAATAAAATGCACAGAAAAAGCAACAATTACACACTTAATGTTCATCCTTTGCTAAAAAATGCAAAGTTTCCACTATAGCTAAATAAGTGGCTGGTCGATGTCAAAACAACGATGGATGTTATGGACAGAACTGGCCAGAAGGACATAGGTCTAACCACACACACACACACACACACACACACACTAACATAAGACTAAAACGATCACTTATACCAATCTCAGTGTCACTGTGTGCTGGCAGCAATGATCACAGCACACACTGACAGCAATCACTCAACACACACACTCACTAACGCCCATTACTGCTAATACACCAGCGGATGAGGCTCTGTGCTAATGATAAACACCATTACGATGAAAAGCTAATCAATCCTGCGGCTAAGCTTTCCGTTCCCGCGAGAGGCTAAAGGTGTTTCTATATTACAGACGGCGCGACGGTCATCACTCATCCCCGCGAGCCTGACTGAAAACCAGGCCTAAATGCATCATACAATCATTTCAGCTAAATTTATTAAATAGTTTAGAATGCATTATGCATTTAGCGGAGCCGATGAAAAATGCTAAGAGGCATGCAGTGCCGTGCTGCAAATGATTTTGTTTTCCAGTTGCATGAGGTTGAACTCACGTGAGTATTACTGATATATTTCACATGCAAAACAGGAGGAAACAAACACCGGCTGTGTCTCAAGATGGCATGTTTGGACATCATTGGAAAGTGTGCAATAGACATTCTAAGGTATTCTTTGAAATCGCATGGTATATGAATATGATAAACATTCAGGGCAATGCTAGCCTGGTTAAAACCAGAGCATTCTCAGTTGTAACTGAGTTATGGTCTGGCAAAGCGTCATAGACAAATCATTTCCAGAGGGGCGTCACCAACGGACGTCGCGGATAGACCTAAACCCAATCAGAGCGATGAAGGAGATGACGTATGCAGAGCGGCGGAGACACATCTCCGAGTGTTGTTCTTTGCTCGGTTTTTAACTAAAAGGAAACGTTCAAATGGCTTAAAACAGACGCGATAGCTGATTGGAACGAGTGATGTTCGACGGCGGCATCCATCTTTGTAATGTAGGCTACAAAATCTGCTTCAAAACCCCAGCGCTGTCGTCATCGTGTAAAGCCCGCCCCAACGTTTCTGATTGGTGCCGCGATTTCGGCGGATTGGAAATGGGCTTGAATGAGCTCTTTGCCAGACTAACTTTCAGAGCAAATCTAAATTTGCCGGAAGTTGTCTGGGTTTTCCCAGGCTAGGGCAATACTACACTGAATAGTAATGTTTTTGAGGATGGTACCTGCGAGACTGTGATGGAGCATTTCTTGGCCAGCTCCTCTTTGGCCTCTTCGCTGGGATACGGGTTACTGAGATGGGAGTAGAAATATTCATTCAGGATCTCCGTGGCCTGTTTGTTGAAGTTTCGTCTTTTCCTCCTGTGCAGACAGAAAGAGCGATGGATCAGATGTGCACATCTTGACAGAACTTGTGTGTGAGTTTGTTTAGTTGCAGTATTCCACTTTCATTTGAACGTTACTGTAAATAGCATATCTGTGCATAGACTTCAGTTTATAATTACATACATCATTTCTGTCTGTTTATTCACATTAATCTGTGTATCTTCTATATTTGTATTACTGTACTGTTTTTATTATATTTCATTTGAATGCATATTTTTATCATTCTTTTTTATTGACTTTATACCTATTGTACTAGTTAATCAATGTTAGATAAAGTAGTACAATTGAAAAAATTTGATAAATTAAACCTAGCATGAAAAGTACCATAAACAAACTTGACTATTCAACCCTGTTACCAAAGTTACTGTAGGAAAAATGATCAAACACTTTTTTGTGCTGTCAAACTATATTTTATGGAAGCTTGTTTCCGCCACAGACTGAAAAATAAAAAAGGTAATTGCAACTTTTTATCTCACAATTCTGACTTTATTTCTCAGAATTGCGAGATATAAAGTCAGAATTGATTGATATAAAGTCGCAATTGCAGGTTATAAAGTCAGAATTGCGTGATATAAAGTCGCAATTGCGTGTTGTAAAGTCAGAATTGTGAGATATAAACTATTCTGAGAGGAAAAAAGTTAGTCTTTTCTCCCCCTTAGAATTGGCCTGATAACTCGCAATTGCGAGTTCATTTCTCACAATTCTGAGAAAAGATGTCAGAATTTCGAGATATAAACTCGCGAGTAATAAAGTGTGAATTGTGTAATAATTCACTGTGTAATAAAGTGTAAAAATGTGTAATAAAGTCAGAATTGTGAGATGTAAACTCACAATTGTGAGAAAAAAAAGTCACAATTCTGTCTTTTTTTCTCGCAATTGCGACTTTATTTCTCAGAATTCTGACTTCATATCTCGCAATTGTGAGATAAAATGTCGCAATTATTATTATTATTTTTTATTCAGTGGCGGAAACAAGCTTCCATAATATTTATATTATGTTATATTATAAATAAATTGTAGTGCTATCAGATTAATTGCATCTAACATGAAAGAATAAAAGTTTGTGTATATATACTGTACATACATGCATATATACTCACACAAGTTATATACATAAATACATATACACTTATACATATATATGTGATTAATCGATTTGACAGCAGTAATTTTCCCCTTACTTTCTGGGGAATATACAGTTGATCAATAATGGCATACCAACTAACTACTGTAGCTCTTTACTGAGAGATAGCTTGATACAAACTGAAAATGCAACCCTGTAACCCATTTATTTTACTTTATTTTATTTTGATGTTTATTGGAAAACAACAAAACTGCAAATTAATCTCAATCCCAAGCGGTAACACGAAATACATAAACTACACGAAACAGGACATTTAATATTCAGTTTGACCTCCAGAGATTGACAACTTAAGAAAATAAGAAAGATAAACTGCCTTCCTATTTCCACAGGATAAGGCGCACGTTCCTGAAAAAGTGCCAGATGAATTCAAACGAGCAAAGACAAATTCTGCAGGCAGATGGAAAAGAGGAATAAAGCAGACCGCACACAGACTCGAAAGTGAAGAGCTTTAAAACGACAGTAAATTGAGCTTTGGGTGCCAATGAGTTCAACCTCCTCTCGGCATCACTCATCTGTGGGTTAAGAGTGTGCGATTGGAGCTCGTCTCGGGGGCTTTTACATATGCAGCTCTGAAGGGTGAGCCGATTTCCTCCCCAAAACCCCTCTTCACTAAATGCAAATGAGCACAGCATGGTCTCAGCCGAAGAGAGGATTAATCAGAGGAACCGAGCATGCTCCAAAGACACAGAGAATGGGTTCGGAGTGCTGGAAGGAAACATGAAGCTCATTTAAATGTTATGCCTCCGACTCCAGGCTTCCAGTGCGATTTATCCGCAAAGAAATGTATGCAAATCCCAGGCCCGTTTCAAAGAGAACAAGCGATTACATTGAGAAAGGGATGGACTCAACACGGGAAAGCGTGTGTGGGTTTGGACGTGGCCCTGAAAGCGCCGAGTCTGGGGCGTTCGACTCCCCCCCCCGGGAAGGATCAGGAACGGGAAAACGCATGTGTAAACAGTAAACAGCGGGAGCGTTTGTTTACATGGACGTGGTAGTAACAGGCTTAGCGCTTGTTAGAAGAAGAATGAGAAGAAATGCGCCAGAAAAGCGACACACTGACCTGGCGTCGAGGAATCGGGACCTGAGGATCATCACCGCCTCACAGGTGCTCTGCTTCAGCTGCATCTGGATGGAGCTGAACTTGCGGTGGATGATGCCCACCATGCGCTCGATCTCTTTGGGCGAGATGGGCCGTGTGCGAGACTGTTCCCTCAGCAGGTTCATCACATGAGTCGTGAACTCGTTACACGCCTGGACAGAGGCAGGAGACAGACGCATGTTACTGTAACAAGCTATGGTTTAACGGGCTCATTTCTTGGAAAATTACATATATGGAAATAGACACACACACATACAACAGTGGCCATAAGTGATGTCCGGAGGGGATGACCGTACAAGTTCGAATAAACCATCAAAATATTATTAAATTTGAAGGGAGCACAAAACACTAAACTTGGTTACGGTATTTATCTGACAAAATGCTTTGTCAAACTACAGCTACAGGTTTTATTTTACTATGCAAAGAAAAAAAAATGCAAAGAAAAATAAATGCACAGGAAAAAGCATACATTGACTACAGCATAATCAGTTATTAATATTTCGGTGGTTCTCTCTTGGTTTGTTTGGATGCGTTCATAATTTCTTTGAATAACAGCCTGGCCAAAAATTATGTCGGCACTATTTGGCATGTTTCATTGCGTTATCACAACTAAGGACAACTACACAATATGATGAAACGATCTTTCACAATTTCTTATTAATATTTGAATAAAGGGTGAAGGTGTGAATTTTCCAAGGCTAAACATCACTTTTGGCAACTACTGTGTGTGTATATCATATATATATATATATGCATACACACACACACACACTATATCATGTGTGCAAACATACTTGGCAATAAAACTCATAATTCTGATTTTTAAAAAAATTACTGAGATGAGTCAGGACATTTATTGAAACTAAGCTATACAACTGACTCTTTCAGTAATTATATGTTATGAAATCACAAGGGTGAGCTCATTAACATATGAGCGCCCACATTTACATAGCAACGACAATTCAGTATTAGGCAACTTTTACGGCAGTAACTCTTTTCACTCATTCTACAAGTGAAAAGGTTAACCAATCACAACACAGCTCATTTACATACAGAAGCAACAACAGTCTGGTTAACCCCAATGGTCAGAGCAGATGAACAAAGGCTAAGACAAATCCTTGACTAACTTTATAAATGTAAATTTTATTCAAAAATATCAAGAGCTTATTTCTATTTTCAAATAAATTCTGTTCTTCTGAACTTTCTATTCATCAAAGAATACTGAGAAAAGATTACACAAAAATATGAAGCAGCTGTTTTCAACACTGATAATAATCAGAAATGTTTCGTGAGCAGATAATCATCACATTAGAGTGATTTCTGAAGAACACTGAAGACTGGAGTAATGATGCTGGAAATTCAGCTTTGATCACAGGAATACATGACATTTTAACAATATATTCACCTCACCATAGCAAACAGTTATTTAAAATGCTAATATTTCTCAATGTTTTTACTCAGCAAATATCAGCCGTAGTAATACATACAATTATATCCAATTATAACGTCAATATCTCTGCATTCATATTCCAGATCCACACGTGGATCCTGAATGAAGATCCAGATTATGCTCGAGAATAATGTAGTGATGTCCATATAAACTCATTCATCTCTCGAGCCCTCATTCCTCCTGAGCAGATCCTTCTAGAGTTCATTAATCACGCATAAATATGAGCCGTTACGCTTTCAATATTGTGACTTAATTCTGAAATGGCCTCATTGGCGTGAGATTGTCATTACTCACAGAGAGACACAAACAGATGAGTAGGAGAGCAGAGCGTGTCAGGAGAACCGGGGCTCATGGGAAGGCGACAACAACAGTTACAGAAGGGATGATGAAGGACGTTTTGGGTCTTGTGCTGGGTGGTCCGTGTGTGTGTTTGTGCTCCTCTATGACAAATATGAATGTGCTTTTGTGAACAAACACACAGAGGACACCTGGCCCTGTCCCAGAATGCATTTCAGTATATCACCTCTCCTATGCCCGACCGTTCATCATCACAGATGGATCTACTATCCACGGCGAGAGCCGCTACAGCAGAGACGGAGGGCCCTATTTTAGCCATCTAAGCGCATGGTCTAAAGCGCACGGATCAAGTGCACTTAGGGTATTGTCTGAATCCACTTTTGCTAGTTTAACGACGGGAAAAATGGTCGGCGCACCCGGCGCATGGTCTAAAATGGTTATCCCTATTCTCTTAATGAGTAATGGGTGTGTTTTGGGCATAACATGCAATCAGAGTCTCATCTCCCATTCCCTTTAAAAACCAGTTGCGCTCGCCCCATGGCGGATACGCTATTTACACGGAGAGTTTTGCAAACGGAAAGACTGAACGCTTCTCTAGCGAGGAAACGGATCTGCTCGTGTGTGAGGTTAAAGGTCAAAGCACAAGCAGACCATCTACGAGACAAGCTTCCACCATATCTTTATGTACACAATAATAATCATTAATAATTGTAATCCTTTTATTTTAAATATTTGGCTATACCTGTAAAAGTGTGCTACTGTGCGTCCCTGTGTGTGTAATAAGCAGCACGTTGTGGACCCGCCTATAGGCGCATATTACTAATGTGCCCTTTAAATAACAAAACAAATACTGCCCCGTTGACTTTAAACCAGGTTTCAGTTAGTCAATGTCGCAGTTTATTTCAGTTCCTCAAAATAGCAACGCGCCAACAATGTGCCTAAACACACATCGTTTTCAGACCAGCCGCCGGTGGGCGCACAGATGGGCGCAAATGCATTTGCTATTTAAACAACGTGACGCAGGGCGTGAAAATTAAAACTGCGTCAGACTGAAACTAGCAAAACACACTTGCGTCGCTTCTGGCGCTGCATTGCACGCGTGTGTGATAGGGCCCTAAGACTCTCGCTTAAACATAAATGATACTCATGATGATGTTGATGCTTTTTTTAACCATTAATACCTACAGCAGCCTGATATGAGCAGCACTTCTGTACATACAAACCAGATTCACACACATTCCTTCAGGAATTTAGATTCTAAACAGAAAGTTTAATTTCAAGCCACTGGATTACCATATTTCCGGAATATAAATCACATTTTTATCATCTGAAACGTGCCACTTATATTCCATAGACATCTAATGCAATTAACGTCAAGCATGCAAAACACGCAAGCTGAATGAAAGACGTACATGACCTCACGTTTATTTGTATCGCGCATTTAACACACGCCGGCAGATTCAGTTTCGCGCAAAATAAGATTGGTTTAGGCATTTATGATAAATGTTGTTTATGATGAATGACACGTTTTATAGTTTTCCATCATGTTCTGTTCTGAATGCTATTATATGTAAAAGATTTGTTGTGGAATGAGTGGAACTAAAATACATGTTTATAGTGTTGTTTATAATGTTTGTATTTAGGGCTGCACGATTAATCGAATTTTAATCACGATCACGATTTTGGCTTCCCACGATCAAATTCGCGTGATCGAGCGATATTTTAAATGCGTCATTCAGTTCACAGAAAGCTTTTTTTTTGCCAATCTAGCGCACCGTAAACCAGTGTCTGATCACGTGCCTCCATGAGCCCAGGTGCGCGAGAGAGACCTACGGTCTGCGTGCGAGCGACAGTGCACGAGAGAGACCGCGAGTGTGTCTGCGTGCGAGCAACAGCGCGCGCCTACCGATTGTGTCGCGCGCGAGAGAGACTGAAGCCTTGTTTATACTCGACGCGTCCGCAAGAGCGCGAGTCTCCGCTGACTGCGCGCGGACCTCTCCAAACGGACGAGGCGTTTATACTTGACGCGCTCGCCGTTGTGCTATTCTGTGAAACGACAGGGGGCGACTCGGAGTAATTCTCTTCTAAACCACCAGGAATCAGCAGTGAAGAAGTAGTTTGCCGTTTATTAGTAGTTTATTAATTGCTGATTCATATAAAAATAGTATTAAATGCAGTAGGTTTATTGTACTTTCACTGCATGTAAACTAAACAACTGAAGCCTTATTGAAGAGTGTTTAAACCTTAATTTCATCAGCAGGGCTTACTTCTGCTATTGTAGGCTTATTTTCTAAATGTAAGCAGTTACTTTAGACAAGTGCAAACTGGGTGCTTAATGCAAATGTGTTCCTATTCACAAAATGAGAGGCTTTTATGGCTTTTATGGTCGCATCAATACAAATGTATCTGTATATAGAAGGACCATAAACATGCTGATACAGACGTACCAGTTCGGCCAGATTCGGCTCGAAGTCGTTCATCTTCGGATGCGGCGCCGCGCGCGATGTTACAAAAAGTGCCGTGCACACCGCCAGGCGAAATGGGGTCTTGCGCACCCAACGCGCACGACCGCCCACACCGCTATTACGTCATTTTTGCCGCGCGGACCTTCGCGCTCTTGCGGACGCGTCGAGTATAAACAAGGCTTGACGGTACTGATCCACTTGTCCGTGCGACACTTCAGTCGCGCCGCACTCCACTTTATTCCTATGGGTGACGTCACGCGACTTTAACGCGCCCGCAAAGCATCCCGGGAAGGCGGCGCTTCATTTGAAAAAATGCTGCGCGTCCAAAAGCTGGCCGATGCCCAGCTTTATGCAAATGAATCCGTCAAACGCGAAGCGTCTATCCAATAGAAGTAGAGCATATGGAGACGGGGGGAAGTCTCTCGCAAGTCCTCTGTTCTAGACTGGCCGCTGGCTCAAAACCCCGCCCATAGCGGTAAACACGAGGAACGCCCATCAATGTACAAATGTGGGGAGGCGTCACGACACCACGCTTCAGTCGTGTCGCAAAAGTGGATCAGTAACGTGAGTGACAGTGCGCATGAGAGACCGAGTGTGAGCATTAGTAAATTGCATTAGTAAATTGGTACATACTACATATATATATTTACTATTTATACCATGGTCTGGGTGAATACTCGAGTGATAGAGGACACCTAAAGTAGTTCTGGTGAAACTGCCTGTTTACCATTCGAAATTAATAAATAAATGCGCTGCCTACAACAGCTGTGTGAGTAACCATAACAACAGGCAGTCAACGTTAATTAGATATTATAGCCTACTACAATGAGCGACTTCGTTCGTTATTTCATCTTCAGTCTCTCACGGACTGACGGAGCCCAGTAAGCCCGCAGACTGCTCTCGCATCGATGGCCTGTCACCGACTTTATTTGACGGCTCTCCAGTCCAGCATCGGAGAGTCGACCTACAGCGGTGCTTCGGAGGCTGTGGTTAGTGTAGACTAGTGTAACACAAAGTGTTTTATGTGCAATAAAAAAATAACTATGCCTACCTTTGTGTTTCATGAAAAAAAAAAAAATGCATTTTTGAACCTGAAGGGTTCTACAAGCTGAGCGGACTATAAATATCTCAAGTTGCTAAATAAATCGTCAGGCAAGTTATTATTTGAAAAAACTAGATTTAGCCTAATTAAAATATAAACTAATGTTTTAAAAATGTTTTATTTGGCAAGTGACCATGGTATAAGCGGGTTAATGCCCTTCGAGGTGACCGTTGTCAGGTTTTAATGGACTTCGGCGGAGGCAACCGTCCTCCGCTGCGCGTCGGCCGGTTTACACCTCGCCGTCGTCCATTAAAACCTGACAACGGACACCTCGTCGGGCATTAACCCTTACATAAGAGGCATGGAAGTTCGATTAATGGACTCCAATAATCAGTCCTACAAACGTCTTGTTTTGACCTATTGTTTAACAAATAGAAATAATTTGAGCACATAAACTTTCACATGGAGAATTAAATAGATTAAATTTATGCAGTAAGACTTCACAACTAATCACTGACACTGTAGGCCTACCACAACATTTTACATTTATTAAGCGTCAAATAACAATGACTCTGAATTTCATCCATTAATCGAACTTCCATAGTGCAGTTCTGCCTTGAAATGTTCTCATTTGGTTACATTCTGTTATGGAATATTTGTTTTTTTATTGATTGTATATTTTGCGTGTTTTATTCACATCCATTATGCAGGTACAATGCAAGTTTATATTTTGCTTCCTAAAATAGATTTACACAATGTAAAATGTAAAATAGTGCCCTGTTGAAGTTTTGCTACATTTTCTTTATTGTTTTCTTTATTCTTTAAGGAGATGCACTGAATTTTGGTGAATAAGAGGACCTATTTTATTTAGATACACATACATTAGCAGAAATGTAGCACAATATGGATGTGAAAGCAGTTATAATTAGCCTATGTGGCAATAAAATTTGTTTTGGTTAAAATCAACAAATAATCGTGATAATTAATCGTGATCGCAATATTGATCAAAATAATCGTGATTATCATTTTGGCCCAAATCGTGCAGCCCTATTTGTATTATTAACCGGTATTTTACATTATGTCATAATAGTGTGTGACTTTTACACTAATGCGACTCATCTGTGTTTTTCTGCTGTCAACAAATGCAATTTTGACCTCACTGGCAGGTGCGACTCAAATACAGAATATAGTATTTTTAAAGTCTAACTAGAAATAATTATATTCACTATGAAAAATTCCAGGACTTTCTAAGATTTTAAGAGAATCAAGATAATAAAGTAAAAAAAAATGGTAATAAAAATACTAGCAACCAGTTGTTAACTAAAACAAAAACTATTAAAAACATTTCTGTAAATTGAAATAAAGCTGAGAAATACAAATATTAGTTAATGTTGCCTTGGCAATAAGCTGAAATAAGTTTAAGTTGAAGCACTAAAACTATTAACTGGAAATAAATAAAACTATCACTAAACTAAAACTGAAATAAAAATAAATCAAACCAAAATAGCAGTATAATAAATCACATAACAAAATGACAAAACAAATTAACTAAAAAATTTTAAATAAGAGCTAATTGAAAATTGTCACCATTATGTTCAATTGAATTCAGTTCTAGGGAGTTTTAGTTTGTTGTCTTTCTTGTCTCGTCTTCCTTGTTCCTATTTCCCGCCACTCATCCGTCACCATGGACACACACAATCATCAGCTGTTCCCCGTTTAGTTAATCATCTCTGTGTATTTAAGTGTCGTGTTCTCTTCAGTGTCCGCTAACGTCTATGTTAAGTGTGTGTTGCCTGTCATGTTCGCCTGTCTGTTATTAAAACCTCGTGTTGGAATATCTTAGTCTTCTTCGCCTGTTTGCCAGCAACCACTTTGTGACAAAAATATTGATATAAAATACAATACAACTAAAACCTAACCTAACCTACTTTCATGAACATGTCTGTTGTAGTTCAGATGAAGAAGAGTATTTTCTGCAGTGCTCCTGAATCTACAGCATCACTGCCACAGAAGTGATGCTTCAGCAGAGCTGTGCGCTTCAGGTCTGAATCCAATGTGATGAGACAGAAAGACTCTGACTCTGTGAAGTGATACAACAAGACAACAAATAGCCGAAGCGTCTTTCTGTTGCACTGTCCTCTCCAGCTGCACGCAACACACACACACACACACACAGCGTGAGCAATGCAGTGTGATTCATCAACCAATGAGGCCTTCTGTTTAATCAATCAATTAAAAGGCTCAGAAATATGCCTGGAACTCATGAGTAAATGAATCAATCTGATGATGACTCACTCACTCAATGATTCAGTCCAAATGAACGGTTCTTAATAGAATAACTAAATACTGTAGCACTTTATTTTACTGTCCTGTTCTCCATGTACATACTATGTACTTATTATAGTAATTGCAATAACTGGGTAATAACTAGGTACTAACCCTGAACCTACACCTACAGTAAACCTAACCTTAACCCATGTACTGTATAGGTACCTTATGTTACCTTGTACAGTAAGTACACTGTAAGTACACGTACTGTAAAATAAAGTGCATCCCAAAATGCTAGCATTCTGAAAACTAACAATGGCTTAAATCAGTGTTATTTTAGTATTATTTATATACTATTACAGTTTATAATCTAATAAGATTAGCTTTTATTTTTATACGGTCAGTTTTCATAAAAATTTTTGTTACATTTTTAGTAATTTGTCTTTTTATATATATATTATTAATTCTGTTAAATTTATTTATTTATTTTCAGTTGTATTTTTTATTTATTTAATTGCAGTTTTATTTATTTTATTTCAAGTTGGTAATTTTAGTGCTTCAATTCAAACTAAACAAAAACTGGAAATGTTTCCGTGGCAAGTTTTTCATCTAATATTTATATCTTATGTTATTCCAGCTTTATTACAATTAAGAAAAATGCTTTAATAGTTTTACTTTTTGTTAAAGATAATAATAGGGATGCAAGATACGGTACTGTATATCGGCCACCATATCTATATCGGCCGATATATGTTCATTTTGAATGTTATTAGCCTGATAAGAAAAATTGGCCGATTTATTAAAGCCGATAAATAAAGGAGTATTTCCTTCAGCTGAGACACTTCAGATGTGCACTGTTCACCGTGATGGTTTTTAATTGCTTGAAATATATTTGGAATCACTTCAAAAAAGGACAATATAGTTATGTGCTGTAATATCGGCTACATAAAAATATAATGAGAACATCATTATACTTGTGTGCTTGGGTCATGGCTTTAAATGGTGAGACTTTTGTTTTTGTAATCAGGCTCCCAAAAATTATATAAAATTTGGATTTAGATTTATCGGCCAATATATCGGTTACTGGCTTACAAATATAAAGAATTATCGGTTATTGGTATCGGTCAGAATTTTCATATAGGTGCATCCCTGTGCATAATCCTACAGTGGATACAAAACTAGTTACCAAAAATGATATTTTTTCTTTAGTAAAGAAATTGTGCATCCTTAAAACTACGAAAAGAATAGGAGAAATAGGAAGCAGAATCGTTAAATTCCTTTCCAATCCCATCTATATTTATTAACCCCCATAACAATTTGAACATTCCCGTGTGCTTCCCGGTTTTCCATAAGCGTGTGAACGCTGGGCTGTCAGTAGCAGCCTCTCAAACATTAAAACAGGAGTGTGTGAGAGCCTCTTTCTGTCAGCAGAGCCCCACTGTAACCCTGCCTTCACCGACAGCATCTTAAACACAGTCTTCACATCATGATGTGATCTGACACATTTTGGGATGGAAATGCTGCCTGCTGAGTTACACTTACGCACACACACACTACATTAATGTATGACAACGGCAGTCAAACAGATGTTGTACTAATCTAATTTAAGAGATATTACAGTCAACATGGAATCAAATGAAACTGTTTACTTCAGCACACGCTGCTGGTGTCACTGCACATCTTTTATTTTTCATCAAAATGCTTTCCAAAATATTGTCTGGTTTTGTGTATGTTCTAAGATGATTAAGATTCCTGTGAAATTCTCGTTCATTCAAATTAATAGCATAGTTATTAGGGATGCACGATATATCAGCCACCATATCGGTATCGGCCGATATATGTTCATTTTTAATGTTATCGTTGTCGGCCCAAATTTGGCCGATATATTAAAGCCGATAAACAATGGATTATTTCCTTCAGCTGAGACTCTTCAGACGTTCACCATGATGGTTTTGAATTGCTTGAAATATGATTGGAATCACTTAAAAAAATGAAGAAAAAAAAAAACTGTAAAGTGCAACATGTGCAGCGCAAGTCTGTCATATCGGCTACATAAAACTATTAAGAGAACATCATAATTGTGTGCTTGGGACATGGCTTTTAATGGTAAGACTTTTGTTTTTGTTATCAGGCTCTCAAAAATTATATAAAAATTTGGATTTAGATTTAATCTGCCAATATATCGGTTATCGGCTTTCAAATATAAATAATTATCGGTTATCGGTATCGGCTAATATTTTCATATCGGTGCATCCCTAATAGTTATTTAAGCATAGTTTACGCTAAAATACCAGTTGCTTCTGTAAACTTCACGTAGCATCTCCTGCAAAAAGCTCTCAGAATGCATCACTGATTACTTTGTACAGTATGTGTGATTATATCACATTATTACCATGTTGTTCAGCATGGGAATTTGGCTGTTGGCTTTTGCAGGCTTGCTGACCTGTTCGTATTTCTCCAGCTCGGTGTGGTAGATCTGGCGGATCTGGGAGAGTTTGGCTCTGTAGTCGGAGTGTTCTGCCGAGTTATCGGCCCCGACTCCTCCCGAAGCCGCTGCCGCTGCCGCCGCCGCCGCGGATCCGCCGCCTTTCTCCGGCCCGGACACGCCCTCCGCCAGGAGCATGTTGTCCAATCGCATCAGCTGGGCGTCGGGAGGCTCCTCCTCCTGCGCGCCACGGATACTCAACACTGGAACCAAACAAGCACATGAAAAGGTTATTCAAGGCAGACACTTTAAAAGGGGACATTTGTGACCCTGGACCACAAAACCAGTCACAAGGGTCCATCTTATGAAATTGAGATTTATACATCATTCATCTGAAAGCTTTTCATTGATGTATGGTTTGTTAGGATAGGACAATATTTGGCTGAGATACAACTATTAGAAAATCTGAGGATGCAAAAAAAATCGAAATATTGAGAAAATATTGATATAAATATATCGCCTTTAAAGTTGTCCATTTATGTTTGTGATTTTGCTGCATTCACTCACAAAAATAAATGTTTTATATATATATACAGTAGGAAATTTACAAAATACACTGCAAAAAAAATGCTTTTCTTACTTAGTAAAAAATGATTTTCTTGTTTCCAGTCCAAATATCTAAACATTCTTAAATCAAGAAGCATTTACTAGATGAGTAAAATGACATAAGAAAGTATATCTTGTTTTTGTTTTCTGATTTTTTTTTGTTAAAACAAATTAAAAAAAACTTTTCCAGTGTTTAAGTGCTATAATCGGGTCCCTGGTGCTTCTACCAGCACAGAACACATGAAAAGTGACTTAAAACAAACTTTGTTTTGGTGAGGCTTTCTCTGCAAGCATGTCAAATAATGAGCCAATCAGATTTCGCTCTCCTTCTGACGTAGGAAGGGGATCTTATTATAATATTACCGGCCCTTAATCTGCACGTTTACACCCACGGAGCCGCCATTTGGTTTACAACAGTGTGACCAGTTCTTCTAACACAATGGCAAAAGTTGGAGCAAAACATGAAACTGTTCTGTCGTTGCGGCACAGACGAGCACTGAACACTATTTGACCAAAAACTGTCACAGCCGTCTTATAAAAACATCAGGGAAACTGTCAACTTAAACATGACGATACATGCAAGTCGATGAGAGGAATCCTCCACAACAACTACATACATCAATGTATCCACTAACCATTCAGAAACGTCCATGTGCGTCTAACAGTCGCAACCACTTCTGAGTCTCTCCTTTCACCTTTAAATATACACGGCGTGTCTGACCGCATCGATCCACGGGGAATCTGCTCTTCCTGATAAATTGTCTGAGTCCGAAAACAAAAACTGGCCAAGACTGAAGCTGACTTTGCCAAGTTGTATGATGATATAATAAAACTTCATCTAATTCATATCACGAGTGACGAGCTTCCCCACTCAGCGCTGTAAATCTCAGTCCGAGTATCCCTGCGCTCTCCTGCTTTGACACTAGAGGGCCTTAGTGTTTATATTTTACATCAGATCGACCATCTGATCTTCAGTATTAAAACACAGACACACTTGACCATAGACTGGACACACACTTAAACATACAAAGAACAGGAAATGAACACACACTCAATTAGTTCTCCAATGAAATCAAGTGCTCTTTAATTCATATTATAAATAAATTAACTATTTCAGAAAGAAACTATAATTTGTTTGTCGCTTCAATTTACTATGTATATAAATATTTGATATCTTACATAAATATACAATATAATATTATATAGAGGATACTCTAAATATAATACTATTTATTATAAGATACTGCAATATTATCATGTAGGATTTTAAACTTTATTACTAATCATGATATGTTTCACTCTATTTTTAGTTCCAATTCAAATTTAAAATGCAAATGAATGGCACATCTCAATATAAATTCAGGGACTGAACAGTAGAATATGAAAGGCTTTCTCAGTTAGCACTGAATGGCACACAATCCTCCTGCCAGGTTTGATCTTCCTTCCATTTTAATTATCAGTGACATTCTCCTCTCTCATCCAACGTCACATCCAGTTAGCGAGTCAGAGGTAGATGTAGTAATTTCCTCACAAGTTCTGACACATGGGCAAAAAAAAAAACGACATTGAGACTTCAAGATTAACGCTGATTATGGGGCAATGCATTGTCTGGGAGTGAAAGGAAACAGGGAGGAGAACACTTCATTAATCCAGAGACAAAGCCCGTGCACTGGAGCATTAACCCCAGACCACTGCGGCCCGGTGAGAACGAGGCCGGCTGCATGGCCATCGGGAGGGGGAACGTGACTCTCACCTCCTCTTTAAGTCAAAATGCAAATGCAAAGAGTGCTGGCGAGCAGGAAAGGTCAAGAGTTCACGACTCGGGCCCAGCGGGAGCCAGACTGCGCAATTCTGTGTTGCTGAGCTTCACGGGCCCGAGAAACATCCTGTTTCATTAACCAACATGTTTCATCCAACCTGAAATGGTGGTGTGGCTTCAGATGGGGAGAATCTCACAGCCTATGCAGATGACATGGATTAACATCATGGTTCTGAGTGACCAAAAATCATATAAAATCAAATAAATAACAGAAAATATTACATGGATTAACATCACATGTCTGAGAGACCAAAAATAAAAGAAAATAAAAAATGGCATGGATTAACATGTGTCTGAGTGACCTAAAAAAAAAAAAAAATGAAATAGATTAACATCACATGCCTGAGTGACCAAAAAAAAAAAAAAAATATAAACAAAAATAAAACTAAACAAAATAAAATAACATTAAAACAAATAAAATAAAACAAACAAAATAACAAAAAATAATGTTACATATAACAAAATAACATGAAATAAAAACCTACAAAATAAAAACATGAAATAAAACAAAACAAAATAACATTAAATAAAATAACATTAAATAAAACTGAAAGAGACTTAAATAAAATAAAACAACAAAATAAAATAAAACAAAATAACATGAACAGAATAAAATAAAATAAGATAATATTAAATAAAATAAAACAAACAAAATAACAAAAATACATGTTAAATATATCAAAATAACATGAAATAAAAAACTACAAAATAAAAACATGAAATAAAACAAAACAACAAAACAAAATAAAATAACATTAAATAAAACTGAAAGACACTTGAATAAAATAAAAAACTAAATAAAATAAAACAAAATAACATGAAATACAACAAAAACTTAATAAAATAAGATAAAATAACATTAAAATAAAACAACAAAATAATATAATATATAAACAAATAACACGACACCTTTGAAAAACTATAAAGCCCAGGTAATGTAGGCTAAGTTTTCATTGAGTCTGTGTTTTTTTTTTTTTTTTCTCACACATTCATCCGTCAGGTGGAAATTGTAAATCTGATCACATATTAAAGTAACAGCACACGTCTGATTAAGACAAACTTTAAGGAATCATTCATATCTGGAGCACAAACACTACTCAAAAAGCAATCCAATACTACGCCATAAAGCAGGTGTTTCTTATTTGATACAGCTCCTGTGCTCTCACTCGACTACTGAAAACACACACACACCAGAATGTAAAGCGGTTTGCCTGTAGTTCACAACTCATAAACAGCACATTTAAGATCCCCAGTTCATTAAAGCATTAAATCAAACCAGTTACTGTGAATGAATTGTGTTCATAACCTGAAGTTTCTAATGTAGGCTCTCTGAGCAAGAACTCTCAAGTTGATTTCCTAAAAAATGAGAATAAGGATCCTATCACACAAGTTTAGCACATGTTTTACGGCACTTTTAGAAGTAAAAACATAGACTGTGAGCACAAGGGAGTCTTGACAGAAACTCAAGGCCAACAGAATTCCTCCCAACGTTATAAAACGTCTAGACATGTCAAGCGAAAATGGAACATAAAAATTCCCCCGTTCACGAAACGATTAGCTTTCCCTCTGCCAAGTCCCGGTTTCACATTCACGGGTGTTTATTTGACTTGGCTGGATGAATCTCCACCATCAGTCTGTTAAAACCAAAAGCTGTTTGGCCCGTGATGGACACAGAACGAAAAACCCAGAGCCAAACGCAATACGATATACACGTTTGAAAGAAAACAAAATGGCACGGGATCAAAAAAGTCAATGGAAAGAAGAAACATATTCTGAACATACAAGCATGAAAACCTTTATGGAGAACCATAGCAGTTTCATGAGGTCATATAGAGCAATACTTCAAGTGCTGTAAAATCAAAAGGCAGGTTTACAAGCGTGCTGTAACAGAACGATCTGGCAACATGACAGAGCAGAACCTGAGCCTGTTTATAGTTCTGCACGTGTTTGTAAAAGAAAGGGAGATTTCAGCCTAGAAACACACGCTCGACTACAGCATCTGTCGGGACAGGAGGATCCGCCGCTTGGGCCGGATGTCATCCCTCATTGACAGCTGATTGTTACCCAGAGCAAAAGACCAAACATCGAGAGAGCAGCTGCTCTTCACACAGCCGTCTGCACACACACACACACACACACACACACACACACACACACACACGGGACATGCATCGATCCACCAATCAAACGCTGTCATTTCCAATGGCTTATCCTGCAATGAATTAAAACAGTGACGTATGATGTCATGCTAGGCATAATAAAATAAAATAAAATAAAATAAAATAAAATTAAATAAAATTAAATAAAATTAAATAAAAAAATATATATTTTTAATAAAATAAAATTAAATAAAAAATAAAAATTAAATAAAATAAGTTAAAAAAATAATAATAAAATAAAATAAATATTTTCTGAAGAAAATGATTCAGACTCTAGGCTTGTAAAAACATCATAATAATATGTCTTTATATCTTCTGAAGAAAATGAGTCAGACTCTAGGCTTGTAATACAAAAAAAAAAGAAAAAAAGAAACAATAGAAAAGAATTACTTGCAGAACAAAGTCAGATCACACAGAAAAATAGCAGAACAGCTCTCCTCAACAAGCCGTGTGATTTGAAGCGTCATTCATATTCGTAGCACAAATAGTGTGGGACAAGTGCTGAAGTTTAATACTTGGGGTTTGGGTTTGTCCAAATACTGTTCTAAATGAGCTCCATTTTCTAATTATTTCCTCCATTTCTTTTCCATTGATGGATTACACTTTAAATAACAGTCCTTTGTGCCCTTCTTGCAATTGACACTTGGCTGAAGAGTCCGACCGCACGCAGGAATATCCT